TACGCTGCATAAGTTGTCGAACGAGATTGTAATTTATATTTTTTTCTTTCTTTTTTAAATTTCTGATTATACAGAAGACCCTCTGAGCATCCAAAGACTGTGCGCATGTGCGCCATTCCTCCATTCCGTCGCCATACCACGTGATAGTAACACATCCGCCAATCAGCTGCCAGGGCTGCAGATCGTCTTGTCGCGCGTACGTCAGGACTAGAAGTACAGAACTACAGGGAGCTCGCGAGGGTCGCCGGTGGACCAACCCTGCAAGATGTCACAAGTAACGGCGCTGAAGAAGACCGTAGAGCAGCTACGATCGGAGGCAAAGATCGAACGGATCACCGTATCTCAGGCTTGTAACCAGCTCCAGGAATACTGCTTACAACACGAGGCGGATGACTGTCTACTAAAAGGAATCGCTGCACATGCCAACCCGTTCAAGGAAAAGCAAAAGTGCACTATTTTGTAGGGGTAGCCAAAATGGCTCCCCTATTATTGAGAAGATATTCGTCAAGTTTGGACTCTCGCACAAGTAACAAGATCCCTCACTTGGTGTCAATATACCTTGTACTGTAGCAATCCTATACAATGGATAGAAAAAAGGGTTTTATTCATTTATTATCGATTTTAAGTTATTCATAAAAAAGGGGATTTTTGTACCTCATTCTTTTATCTACACTGGGTAAAGTTAACAAATTGTTGACAGTCTGATCGAGAAAAAAATTACGCGACAGCATAACACATGTTATGATGATTTTTCAGAGAGATAATTTTTTTGATGTAAGATTCCCTTAGAAATTAGAAATTGACACTGGACCCGATATATTGCTTTTTCTTCTGTTATATAGGGGGTTTTGGGGACGTACTCTCCCGAAGGGAAAAGGTTTTTAAAAGAATGGTGATTTTGCTCTCTACGTCATGTCAATTATCTATACATAATGGCAGCAAGAGAGCAGCAAACCTTCGATGGCGAGTCAAAGAGTTTATCTGTAATATTTACGATGACCAATTGTAATTCTACATAATTATTAAAGAACAAGGAGGAAATCGTTCCTCTATTGTTTCAAAATTATGATTACCTTTATTTTATAAGTCTCCATTCTCTTACTTTACTTTTCAAGTCTATCTATCTCTTTATATTTCTACTGTCATATTTTCTCTCTTTCCCTCTCTTAATCTTTAATTTTTCTTCATCTCGTTATTGTCGATTTATCTCTTTTTTCAATGAGTCATTGCATAATCGAGATTATGATACATTTGTACTCGTCATTCGCATGCAATGGTTCGAACAAATAGGAGACGTGGAAATAATTATGTAGAGATAGAATACTTCGTGAGTTATTATGAGCAGTCCTCTCTTGATACACGGTGTGTGCGTGTGTGTGGGTGGGTGCGTGTGTTTGTTGAATGTAGATATTATGCATCTGTCATAACTGGTTTGCGTTTGTTCGAAATGTTTTCACCTCATGGGCTTGCCGAATATATTTAATTGGCAAGCTGAATTCACAATGTCTCAAAGTTCTTTACATGTAAAATGTTATTATTATGTGAATGATAAATTGCACCCCGTTGAAAAAAACATGAAACCCAGTAAGGGCCTCGTTTTTCCCCGCAAAAGGATCACGTATTACCTTGAAATAATAGTTTTAAACAACATCTTAAAAGACAAGCAAGCAGAAGTGTAAATAGTGAATACTGGCTGAACTCTATTAAACGATAATAATTGTCAAGGGCGCCCTTCAGCAAGCGTAAAAACAGACCAGCAGCAAATTGTATGTGGACAGTAAATGTATCAATTCATAATACAGGACAAAAAGAAAGTCTTTAAAAAATAAAAACAATACAAATACATACAGACAACGATGGGAGGATATAACTTGCCTCACGTGTGGTTATTGGTCATATAATTGACTAAATGTATTGTTATTGACTTACTCTTATTACTATTTAGTTTAATTCGTAAGTAAAATTCTTCTTCCCTACTCCTCTTTATTTTATCAGTGTTGTGCAATAGTAGAAGAAGACGAAAATAAGATGGAGTCGTGTCATCAGCTTGTAAATGGCCTCAAATTTTGTATTTTTGTTATTAAAGTTATTTCTGGGTTTCTTTGTCGTTGTGATATCAAAGTTTCGTTCAACTCAAGCAATCGCGTTCCTTGTAGTTTATTTACTTAATGAAAGACAAATGTGAAAGAAATCTAATTCACAGAAACATTTAAATCCAGATAACGGAAGCTTGATTATTTGAACATTTTTTTTTAATGTGGACTAATTCCCCAAATATTTACTGTGATGTTTTGTTCAAACGTGTTCATAACATACAATCATGTTATATTAACGTTTATGTGATGTAGATAATGTGTCAAGCATGATATTGTTTTCGAAATTCGTTGATTTTGCATATAGAATTAGACTTAAATATTACATGTATTCAAGCCTCTGTTTCATTTCTAGTAGGAGAAAATATTTGTGCTAGTATGGGAATAAAAATTTGGCAGGGTGTGAAGATACATGGGCGTTTTATCAGAGCTGCACTATATGCAGAATGTTGATGTTTACGAGAAAAAAATTGAATTAAAACATTATGGGATAAATTTAAGGGTACAAGGTACCTGCACCTAGCATCAATTTTAGTATTAATAATCCTTAAAGAAAATAGCATTCATGATATTACATTTTTAAATCGGTAATTATATACAGGTAAATACAAACTTTTGCGAAGTACAAAAACATTCAAGCTCGATGAGTTAAATAACATTTGTAAATATTTCACAATAATACTGTTTAAATCTTTATGATGATAATAATACTCTTCAGAGACTCTTGCTACTACGATTTCATTAACAAGTTTATAGTGCATACTATGAACCGAGTAAGATCTTTTGATAAAATGACCTTGAGAATATTTGGCATGCTGGGAAAGAAAGATTTAAATGTATTGATTAATGGCTAATGTCACTAATGTTGTCCAATGATCTAATTTTCTGTCAACCCTGTACCCGCAGTGTTTATAACTGCAAGATGGATAGATAGTGTGATGTAATAGTCAGTAGTCGTAAACCTATTCAGTTACAAAACATTACCAGTGGAGTGCCCCGTGTGTCTATTAGCTTGGTTTGCATTATGTGATCATTATACGGTACCTGCCAAGTTATCAGTTATTCAGTAAATGGTTGTTGTACGTTTAGTCAGAATTTCAAAGCCTTACGACTTGTATGAAATTAAAAAAGAATCGTAAAAACGAAAATACAAAGACGTTTATGTATTTTGTAGGCCTATTGCCGTATTGAAGGGGTTGGATATCTTTGCCTCAGATTTTGAACAAAATCCAGGATTTAGCTCGTGCTGCAATCATTATTAATTATAAACCTTGGCTTAAGGTCAGACACGAATCCCATGCTAAAACCGGTCGCCGAAAGATTTTTACTTTTGTGAAGCACTTCATGATCATTTTGAAGCGCAAGTCTTTTAGGGCTTCAATATTACACCATATCACAGACAATGATAGCACGTATAGGCCATGCATCTCAGATTTGTAAGACTGTAAACATTGTTAAACAATGCCTTTACAGATAGACTGAGGGCAGAGTCTGGAAAGAGGAAGGTTCAAAGAACAGGGAGGGAGAAGCAGAGATGCGTGTACGTTATAATTATATAGAGATAGAGGCAGCAGAGAAAAGCCACGAGAAAGAGATACACAGAGAAATAAAGAAAGATAAAAAGAAAGTTGAAAACAGGGAATGAGAATGAAGACGCAGAGGGAGAGAGAGAGGGAGGCAGCGAGAGGGAATGAAATAGAAGAGGGAGGAAAGAGAGAGAATGAAGAAAAGGCGGGTAAGAGAGATAGACAGAGAAAGAGAGAGAGATAAACAGAGAGAGAGAGGGGAACTGAGAAACACAGGGAGAGAGTTAAAAGGAGTGGAGGGTGAGGAAGCCCGGGAGGAAGCCCTAGAGAGAAAGGCAAAGACGGGAAGAAAAAGAGAAGAGAAAAAAAAAGAAAAAAAAGAGACAAAGACAGACAGACAGACAGACAGATATAGGTAGAGAAAGAGAGAGAGAGAGAGAGAGAGAGAGAGAGAGAGAGAGAGAGAGAGAGAGAAAGAGAGAGATAGGAATGGAGAAAGCTAGAGGAACTGAGATATTTGAGGGAGGCAAAGGCTAACAAAGTGCGGGTTTACGGATGGCAAGGTCACTTTTATTTTGTTTAATAAATATGATGCGTATTTCGTCACATCATGATATCACTCGATTCCATTAGAAATTAATAAAAGAGTTGGTGTCCTACGTCACTGGCTCAAAAGGAAAAGAAAAGTGAAACTGATGAATACAGAAAAACGTGCTAAGCCGGGTGGAGAGGGAGTCTACTTTATAGTGGTATTGTTTGCGCTATAATAGCTGCTCGTCCCAGTGGAAACCTGGGTTGTCATCGAAGCTAAATATGAAAAAGAGTCAATGAGTATGTTTATCAATTCATTTGAGGCAAAAGGTGACAACATAGCCTACATGTACATAAAAGAAAGTGGGGTGGAGACAGAGAGGGAATACATCGAAAGATAGGTTCGAAGAGGGGATCGAGTGAGGGAGCTAGAGAGGGGGGGGGGGAGAGGAGGGGCTGAGATGCTGAGGGAAAGAAAGAGAGAGAGAGAGAGAGAGAGAGAGGGAGAGGTAGAATTGGAAATGATAGATTGGTGTCGGGGCTCAGAGTATTGAGAGAAAAATGTCAAGAATCAAGGATCGTCATTCCATTTAAAATTCAGATGCTAAAGACCATGGGTTGAACAATCGTGTTACTTCACCCCCCCCCCCCCCCCCCCCCCCGCAAAATACCAACATACTCGCAGATTTTGGACCTTTTACTTTGAGTATAATGTTTTTGCCACTGAGGGCGTTAAAAATGTGTCTCTGCACGAGTTTCATTCATTACAATGCAATGCTAAATTCCATGCTCAATGCATGCACGTATATGCGCATGCATGCACACAACGTATACAACGTATAAGCGTAACGTCGAGTCAAGCAGTACAGTTTTACTGTACATGCATTGTCAGTGCATTTACCGCGGGGCAGGATAGCATCATGGCGATCGTTTTCGAGAATATGCGCCTGAGTTCATTGTCAGATCAAGGCGATATAGCACAGCAAACACAAAATGTTCTCAAACTTCAAGTATCCACAAAAGATGACCAACCTATCTTTACACTATATAATGGTAAGATCCTTTGATTTTGGTTAGAACAAATCATTTACATATGCAATCTTTGTTAGCTCGACGCGAAGTTCGTATGCATTATTATTACTATCACTATCTTGCTGTCAAAAACACCAGCATTGCCGCCGCTGTCGGGGTTGCTCCCCATTCATTCACCCTAGACCTATTTGTTATATTCTGTAGATGCCGAAATGGAAGTACCGGTAGGCCTAGACCGTAATATAACTTTCATGATATTGAAGATAAGAAATGAAATCGGCACTACATTAGAGAAGCTCTGGCCTGGCCTGGGAAGACTTCCTTTTTGGGACGGTCAATTGAATTAAAAACAATACAAAAAATCAATTAATCTTCATCAATTGTTTTGAATTGTTCAAATAGAGTTTGAGTCTTTTGTTTAGGAGCATTTTTTCCTAAAAACGAAGCCATTATGATGTACACTTTCTCACAGGATTCACAGCAAACCGCTGCACCATACAATTCAATGGGATACTATCCTACTCCGTCCTAGGCCAATACTGACGATGGGGTGCGTGCGTGTGTGTGAAATTGGTGACGGCGCGTAATGATGATGATGATGATCATCATCATCATAATTAACTACAGTACAGGGAGCTCGTTTTTTAAAACGATCCGAACAGCGGGTCGGGTCACTTTTTTTGCAATGTTAAGAGGTAGATTCTAGGTCTAGTAATTACAATTTTGACTTAAAATGTGTTCGAAATTGCTGATTATGCAAGTGGTTAAGAAGGCCTCTGTCTCTTCGATTCATGCATATTAAGCAATTTCGAGTGTATACATGGCGCTCTATATTATGAATGCTCATGTTTGCTGCGAGCGAGCTGTGCTGCAGCTATGCGATCGTACCTTAGCACTAGCAGCCAAAAAAGATGCTCGTCATATTGTTGTTTTGAGCCTACAATGTACATTGTATGTAATCCATTTGCAGCAAACATGAGCACAGGAAAATCAGTATATCACCGATGGGAGACTCCCACTGTCCCACATATACATGTAAATGTACTTCTTTGCTACCAAATATCTTGTCCAAAGTTTCTGGACATTGGAAAACGTCTTCAATATAAAATGTATAGGAAATAGTCTCCCTTGGGCATGCAACTCATTACTGGGAGGCTGGGACACAGAATTGTTAATCTATTTCTATTTGGTGAACTGTACAACTTCCTATAGAGGGTAAGGGTGAGGGAAGAACTCTGTAACCGATCATCAGACAAGGGGCCGATCAGGTGAAATCAGATAATAAATTTTGATAGCCGATCAATGAAAATGATCAGGATAAAACATTGGTAGATTTTTTTTTTAATTTTTAAATGCCGAAAATATTCAAGTTTTGGGCTATCAAATTCTAAAAATACATGTACTGTATAGCTCGGATTATTTTGCAATTTGGAGTTGTAGAACATGTTTGTTGATATTAAGTGCCTTTTCAATGACTTTAAAATTGATAATATAAATAGTCTAAGATTAGAGGCAAACATGTGAGCCGCCATCTTGGATTATAATGTAGGCACACATTTTGTTTCCATTGTCATTAAAATCCAAGATGGCGGCTCGCATTTATTGCCTCTTCTCTTAGACTAATATTATTAATTTAAGTCATCAAAAGGCACTTAATATCAACAAACATTGTCTCAACAACAGCTACATATGACAAAATAATCCTAGCTGTGCAGAAAATTTTCGGCATTTAAATTATTAAAAATTAAAAAATGTAACCAATACTATCGGCCGATAACTTTTGCCGATATCGATCAAAGGTGCATGGGTGTCGCTCCGATCTTCCAATCCGATCAAAGCCCCAATTTACAGGGCTATGATCATGCCCACTCACATTCTAAGAAATAGGCCATTTTTATAATGTACACCTGTACAGGTGTACTCACATTTAATGAATTTTTCTTTAAATGCCTTGTTACAAATTATGTCATTCGTCTGTTTAAAAAAAAATTATTTCAATAATCAGAGTGCCAATCTCATATGTTACATGTTGCAGTGAAAAAAATACACGGGGGCTCAGGGCGAATTAGCCCCCGAAATGCCCAAAAGAGCCCCTGAAAATCAAAAAAGAGCCCCCATAAATTTGCATAGAGTTCAATGCAAAACAAGTTTAAGAATGTTATATTCATGCGGGCAAGCTTGAAAAGTAGCCCCCGAAAAATAAATATTAATTTTTTCCCTGACATGTTGTTAGAAAGGACAAGCCATAATGTTTGTGCTGCCCAGCAACAATTAATGCAATTCGCATTCTGATTTCTGACTCTTGAAATACGATTATTCATAACAGGTGAATGTGGTAATATTGTAACTAATATTTAAAAATGATTTATCAAATTTTATTACATCACACAAATGGTCAATTACAGTTGTTGACCTGTGACCTTTCCATCCTCACCAAGAATCATTAGGTACCGGTAATTATTATTTTTAAGTCATAAATGCCTGAAGTCGAATTGGCATTTCTTTTCTTTTCCATCTCAAAATTTTGAGATAAAAATATTGTGCTGAAAAAGTCCGTACATGAAATGGTCACCAAGGAAATCATTGATATGACAAGCAGGGCTCAAATTAATTTTTTGTCCACGGGGGCTCTTCCCCCCCAAAAAGAGCCCCCCGTGAGCCTTCTCACGGGGGCTCTTTTAGTACTGACGGGGGCTCTTTTTTTACAAATATCCATTGAATTGGTACCTACGATACTCCTCAATTATTTGCTATTTCATCATTATCATTTCAATCAGCATTTTCCCTCTTTCAAATTTACAAGCTACATAGCTGTTACTGGCCTGTGTATATAATATATATGCATACAACACTGATCTTTATGATGTCTTTAATGTGACATATCTTCTTCTCCCCTTGCAAACGAGAAAGAAAACAAGGTCATTAAAAGGGATTAAGCGACAAATAATGATTGTGATTCAAATTGATGCGAATATTTGTTTGAATAAGCACTGCTATTCACCCGAATCTTCTTTGTAAAAACAACTTTTACAAATCTCATCCATGCTTTCTGAGTTGTGACGTTCCATTCAATGTAAAATACTCATTATAGAATACACTTCTCCTAATCTGAAAGTGATCTTACAACACAGTGGCAGATTTGCATGGCTGAGATTTGTAAAAGTTGTTTTTACAAAGAAGATTCTGGTGAAAAGCATTGCTTATTAAAAAAAAATCCTTGCATCAATTTGAATCACAATGATTATTTGTCACATGATCCTTTTATTAAACAACCATGTTTTCTTTTTTGTTTGCAGGGGGAGAAGAAGCTATGTCATGCTAAGAAATCATAAAGATCAGTTGTATTATGCGTATATACATATGATACCAGAACAAATGTTGATTATCAGAATGTCATTTTGAAATACCTCTATACAAATACCACATTGTCTTTGCCCGTATCAGTATTAGTATGATCCAATATAAAGCTATTAATCTTTATTTAATTCAGTATAATGCTTTTCCTTAAAAATAGTTTTGCTATTTCTTTAGGGTTGCTATTTTTTTAGGGTTGAGACGCCAAGAAATGGTTTCAAATGTACATTACACGAACCCTGAACCATTGCAAAATGATGGTGGTTCTCTCTTTCTCTCTCTCTCTCTTTATTTTAATCATGCATTATCAACTACATATAAAGCAGCAACCAAAAACTTAGGGTTATCTGAGATACTGTAGGTGAAAGTAAGAGTTAAAAAGAAAGTCATGCTAAAACGGCGCTTCACTTCCCCCCCCCCCTAAAAAAAATTGATTAGTAGTCATCCTCTCCAGCATCTCTTCCCCCCCCCCCCCCCCCCCCCGCTTTAATGTCACATTTTCACTTGGCAGCCCAAGGGGGCCGGGAGGAGGGGGTTAAACCCCCTAACCCCCCCCCCCCCCCTAGATCTGCCCATGTTACCATATCATTCTTCAACATCTTGGTCTTCCTCTTCTTCTCAATAAGGACTTTTAGATTTGCGTGGACGTGTTACGTCCTTTTAAGGCACTGGCAGCCACACGTCACATCCTTTTAAGCACTGGCACTGCCTTAAAAGGAGGTCACACGTTGCAGTCCACGTTCTCATCGTGCAAATATAAAAGTCCCTAATATTGATTTACTGGTCGAGTTTCATTATTTGCTGGTCATTTGAAATCACCAGATTTCAGCGGGTTAACGCTTTCACAACGAAAAACTTCTCCATGACCATGTTTCTGCCCTTGCGTGATCGCCTCCAGCTCCAGCAGACATGGCGCGGCAGCGTGCACACGTACCGCTACTAACGGCGCAGTAGGCCTATAACCACTGATGACGGCAGCACTGCACTGCGAGCTGAATCGGTAATAACTAGGCCTACTCATAAAACGAGAAATCTTGCACGCTAATCTAAGTTCCATTTCATTGGTTTAAGGTTTGAAAATTGAAACTCAATATTGTGTTAAAGTTATAACAGAAAAGATAATCTTTATTTTATAATTCCACGGGGGCGATTTTTAATGTTGCAATCGCCCCCGTGAGCAGCCTGACGGGGGCGATTATGTAGCTCACGGGGGCGAATCGCCCACCGCCCCCGTGTATTTTGAGCGCTGATGACAAGTTGTTTAGTTTATTATTAATACTCATGTTCTTTCGCCAATGCTTTTTCTCTCAATTTTCTGCATTTATTTAAACCATCTTTGATTTTAGAAATACATGTGTGTGTGGGATGAACCTTTTCTCTAATATATGCAGCTTCTTGATGATAACCCACAATTAAAAACCGTCTCTATGATAATTTATTTCATGCAGGTAACCAACAAGTCTTAACCTTTGACCTTGGTAAGGAAAATAGTACAACAGTATGCCGCGCAACCAAACTAGCATACATGGTCAACATCAAGGAGAATGGTATTATACTTCACTTTGCATCAGAGTTTGGTAAGTTCAACAAACTTTTTTGTTGTTATTGATTAAGGCTTGAGATTGATTTATTTTTTAATTTAGCAACTAAAAGTAGAACAAAATAAAACAAAACAAAAATCTAAGAAAATAGATTAAAAAGGCATTGGAGTTGATAGCAAGCTGATCTGATAGCTCTACAGGCTGTAGGTAATGAATTTCAGTTGACCAAATCTTACTCTTTCAATGTTGAAGAGGAGTTAAAATCTGGTAAAAGTGAAATAAAAGTTGTGGCGCTCTCATTCTTTTCATTCTTTTGTGGAAGAAAATCATGGTGCTAGCAATATCTTTAAAAATAATAATAATAAATGTACCTGCTTCTTATAAAGCGCTCTTCAACTTCTAAACCGTCCAAAGCACTTTAAGTATGATTGTTACCCCGTTCACTTGATTCAATGACCATTGTTCACATGTACCAGCTACATGTACATGTAGTTGCCTTGTTATGGGCTTGTACATTAGTTCCTAAGAAGAAATGAATTCTCTGGGGCACTCATCTACAGTTGTACATGTAGCTATGTACTGTTCTTATAACGTACATGTCATGTCTCTCTGTACATGCCCACACAAACAAAATGAAACAAATAAATAAAATACCATTTCAAAAAAATAAGGGAAAGCCTGCTCAGCATTAAAATTAATGCATTTGCTTCCCTGTCTTGTCAATATTCAATTTTTATTTCCATTATTTGATTATATTCCCAAAAAATGCACTTACACTGTACACAAAAATGACAAAAATTGTATAGATCATCAATAATATTTCATATTGTGTGGAAGGTATTTGAGTCGTAACCACACTCTCTTGTACACAGTAAATGTACAGTATGTATATGGTGATGACACGTTGAGTCTGTATCTGATTATGAATAATACATGCCTGGTAGCATTAATGCCATATTTCTGTCAGGTATCGTTCACATGCAGAGGACATGTAATGCTGATACAACGAGAGCATGCCCTCTTAGGCTCTTCCTAATGCATATTATTTACATACATACTTCAGCCATAATCTAATAAGACAGACCAGCATGTTTCCTTTCATATAATCTTGTCAGGCACACATTGTGTAGTATTAAATAAATAATGCTTGGTGTAATAATACATGTATACACTGTTCACATGTACTATACTATATGTACATGTACAGTGTATGTCATTCAAATTGTACATCAAGCATTAGGACCAATTTTCTTTTATTTATTATTATTATTTATTATGGGTTCAATCTATTTAAATATAGGTGATCAATATTTTTTTCTTGGGTAAATGTGTGATCTTCTTTTGAAGTCGGTGATTTATTTCAAATCGGTTTTTGTTTTATTAATGTGGCATGATGTGGAATGAAATCTTTGTATGCACAAAAAAAATGTTGTAATACTCTTCAGACTATTTCTGTCTTATCTCTTTTTCATGATGTGATTTATACCACGATTATTTTTTATCTCTTCCGATTTACTTTTTACATGTCTGTATAACATTGTGAATAAGCTTTCTTTTTCCTTGAATTAATGTATTATACATACAAAAAATGTAGTTCATGTGTACATACATTAACATTTATATTAACATTTTATCAATATTAATAATAAATATTGGATATGTTGTCTACATGGCAACGCAAGAATTGGCCCGGAATGGCTTACATGACTTGAAATCCAACGCAAATGGACATATCTGCGTATATCCTGGATATACATGTACATGTACATGTATCCCGTTCAAAGCTTACAATATTTAGGCCTATCACAATATCGCCACAACAGCCACTGTGGCATGGATGATGGCAGCTCTTCTCGCAAGCACAGTGTGTGGTATTTCGGAAAAAGGTGGGAGTAGATATTTATTTTCAGATGTATTTCTTTCTATGATGAGAGATATGAAGCATACATACAAATGATACGATGCACTCTTTCCCAGGCACGGGTAAAATTAGGGGTATTCAGTGACTGGCAAACTGCTATAGTGACTTTTTTTGTGGGGGGGAGGGGGGCTGTGCCCCTCAGAACACAGTACTTTGCCAGTCACCTCAGAGAATCCACAAATTCAACCAGAGCCTCTCAGTGCATGATATGTTTACATGTATTTATTATTTGCCGAGATACATGTAACTAGATGTATTACGCATATTATTATTTTTGTACAGAGGTGACAAGATTTGAGAAGATTCTTGAAGGAGCCAAGTATAATGCAAAGCAAGCAGATAAGAAATCGTTGTTTACACAAAGAACGGATGAAGCCTCGGCTGTGCAGTATTTTCAGGTAAGCAATTATAGAATTATTCATGATTGTTAAAGTGACTCAATAACATTGCCTCAGATTCTGAAACAAAATCCTGGATTTAGCTCATGCTGCAATCATAATTATAAACCTTCAGGTTAGTCAGGAATCCCATGACTTTTACAAGCCGATCGCCTGTCTAATTATCAAGATATTTATGATTGAATATCAACATTTCTTTTTTGTTGTTTTCCTAACAGTGTTTATAGCACTAAAGTCTATTTGTTAAAACTGGTCACTCAAAATTTTTTGCTTTTTTGGTAAGCGATTAGATTTATTCATGACCAAGAATACAAACCATACTCCTGCACATGCTAAGTTGTGTTTAGTTGGTAGAGGGGATGAGCACCAGAGAGAGGCATGCAAGCCCAGGGGTAGGGCACAGGGGAACAAACTACTTTTCTCCACAATCTCAACTATGCCAGTTCAATTTTCCAAGAAAGGTAATAAAGGTGTTCAAAAATAAAAATTCTATTGCCTTTCTTACAATTTTTTTCAAACGAGTTGACCGTGACATCTTTTTTTGTTTACCCCTATTTTGCCTTCAGTTCTATGGGTATTTATCCCAACAACAAAACATGATGCAGGATTACATCAGGACGTCTACATATCAGAAAGCCATGTTAACAAACCATGAGGACTTCAAAGATAAGGTATGTTTAAAATCATTGTCTACATCATATCACAGTCTGACCTACTCTGGATCTGACCTACTCTCAGTGCTTGGCAACAGATTATTGTATTCTTTTAGTCATCACTAATGTTCCTAACATGTTACTTTCTGACGAACTTCAACATTTTTTTTTCTTCAGCGGCTTTAACCCTATTTAGCCCGGGGGGGGGGGGGCTTGAGAAGCCCCCCCTCGACATTTTTCGCGATAATTTTTTAACGCAAGAAAATCTTGCACTGAAATTTTGTGACTTTTTCTTTCGAGTCTTGCGCAACTTTTGAAAGAAATTTTTCGAAAATCGGACCTACCATTACAAAGTCACGTGTCCTTTTGTCTTCGCATGTCAGCCCGAAAATCGCTCATTTTTGTGATTTGTGTACAAAACATATGGAAATCTCATTTTTCAAATAAAGAGGTAAAACATTGGTTATTTGGTCTTGTTTAGATTTTAGGTGTTTATTTTGGGGTCAAAATAGTTGAATTATAGTTGGAAATGAAATAAAACAACAAAAACAATAAAATACATAAGTTAAAAAAACAAAGAAATACATAAGAAATTATCAAAACAATAGATAACATAAGGAATAACCCTGGTTTTTCAAATTTTTGTGTTGTATTATTATTCCAAATGGTCTAACAAATATATGTAGTGAGAAAGAATGCTTAAATATGAATAATGTCTGATTTATGGGCAAAAATGTGAATTTAATGACCTTATTTGCATAAATTACCATAAATATGCAAATGAGTGAATTTTTCAAAAAAATTGAAATTACCATAGTATTCTATACACTTCACTTGACATGTATGCAAATTTTCGCGGCGATCGGGCGTTTCACGGCCGAGATCACAGGGGGGGGGCCTGAGAAGCTCCCCCCTGGGCTATGCAGTTTCAAAATAGCCCGGGCTAAATAGGGTTAATGCAGCTCATGTTAATTGTACCAGCTTTGTTAATGAAGATTTTGTTTTTAAACAATCTACCGGTATTTGCAGTGATAACAAATTGACTCAGTCTTCCTAAAAGCCCCATTACATAGAAATTTCTTGACAACACAATCCTGTGGCATGAAACTGAAATTAAAAAACTCAGCAATTTCATATTTTGTGTATGAGGGCATTTTAAAAATCATCCTTCTCAGGGCACATTTCTACTATGCTGTTAGCAAAGCTGACAAAACAAAACAAAACAAACAAAACAATTTTTTTACCTGTAATTGAATGGTAGCTGCACGCATTCACTAATCTCTGCATTATAAGATAGGTATTGTGAAGCATCGTCATTAAAAAAATGCAGCAGTTCGTCGCTGTTTTCACGAAGTGACGGTAGTGAAAAAAAATTGCATTCACTTTGCGTTACGATTTTCCTCACTACCGTCACTTCGTGAAAATAGGGACGAGTTTTGCCTCACGTTATCTGAACAGGGCATTACAGTATTTAATTTCAATGAATTTTCTCCCTTCTAATTCAGGTTGTATTAGATGTCGGTGCTGGGTCAGGGATCCTATCGTTCTTTGCCGTCCAAGCCGGAGCACGTAAAGTCTATGCCATTGAAGCCAGCTCAATAGCAGAACAAGCCAAGGTAGGTCATGTGAACATCCTGAGGTCGTGTGAACATTCTGGGCTTGGTGGAGGGACTTATTTGTTATTGCTAGAGGACCTGTAAACATCAATCACCAAAAAATGTCTTTCTCTCAAAAGGGGGTCTTTGTTGTGGCTATACTGTAATCACAATATGAGCTTCCATTGATACTTCCATTGATACTTCCACAAAGAAATGTTGCACTTTAAAAACTCAACAAATTGTTGAGTGGACTAATCGACGCACTCCTAAATGCTCACAAAGAATAGGGTGCCTATGGAACCCAAGTTGGACTTTTATTTTCTCCAAACTCCTAAAATGGTTACCTGTAGAAAGCTAGCTAAAGTGTTTTTTCCAACGTTGTTTTTATACATTCTACACTTTCATAGACTTTTTTTCTTCAGGTGATTGGTATTCTTTAACTTTTCTCTGGGTGTCGAGAAATATTTTGTCTTGACTGAAGTTTGGTTCACTTATCTTTTGGATAAACGCTGCTGGCACTGTTCATGAAAGAATTATACCTGTGTTTTCCGGCTTCTCTGTAAGACCAATTTGGAATGATAGTTGATTTAACCCCAAACAATAAGAAAATTCCATGTTAATAACGTGATTGCCATTTTCAGTAAATAGGATTACTGAAGAATAGTGTACTTGTATATGAAATTTACTTTGTTGTGTGTTGTTATTTTGTACGTTCAATGTTTTATTTTATTCTTTTACCCTTTTTATCCTGAGAAACATTAATCATACTTATTTTTCTTATCTTTTCAGGCTTTTCAAAACAAGAAACTACACCAGTAATCTACATTTAACTCCTCTTTGTTTTTGTTTTCTTCCATATCGTATCACAACTAACTGATTTTTTGTTTTCTTTGGTATTCGCACCTAGCCAGCTTTAGCTATTATAATGCCCTTTACAAATCACAGGGTGGCATCTATCTTCACATCAAGATGGGGCTGTTGATTCCATGCGTACCATTCAATGGTTTTGTAGTACTCTTCTAAACAACGCTGTATCGATTCATTCTGGTTGTGACGATGATATTGGTGGCCAACACAACCCTGTATCGATGCACTCTGGTTGTGGTGATGATGAAATTGATGGTCACTGTGGGTCACTGGTTGGTCAGTAAGTACTGCAGCGGGCAAGGCTCAAAACTGGACATTGCTGGTTCAGTTCCTCCATCTTCATTAAGTCTTTCTCAAAATGCAGCAAAATGTGGTACTTCATGGATGAAAAAAGATTATGTTCCCGCAAAACCAAGTAATATCTCTTTTCTTATTACCATCTTCCATTTATTTATGGCAGATTTTGTGTGTATGTGCCTTCCTTTTCTTTCTGTGGCTTAGGATGTTTAATCAGCAATGTAGCAGTTTTGCCTTGCCCGAATTCGATGTTTCATATTCACTGTTCGTTTTACTTTTATTCCCTTAGCAGGTTGTAAATATGACCTAACCGTCTTGGGTCACGTCTTTGACTTGTGAATCCATCCCTATGATGCTGCATTCTTTGTGTTGAATTGAATCATCAGACGTACTCGTCTCCATTTTCAGTTATATCTGCCTTTTTTACAGCCCAGCAGAAGTTGAAGAGTTGAAAAAAACATTGATGTTTATTCCAGCAGTGTTGATACTCTGTAAAAATGGTCCAAAGACTCTAAACAGATGATGTGCTCCTTGAAGGAGAAACTAGAGCCATGAACAGCATCATCAATCTGCTCTGAGAAGGAACGAGTGCACATGGTGGTAGGATCTCACAGTCAAAGACATGGCCCAAGAACTCTCCTCTTCGATATTCCTTGTACCGTTAACTGCAACCCTCCTTTCTCTTCTCTGTCACCATAGCAACTCGTCAAAGCCAACAACCTTGGGAACCGCATCTCCGTGATCGCGGGGAAGGTGGAGGAGGTGTCAATACCCGAGCAGGTGGACTTGATCGTCTCAGAACCAATGGGGTACATGCTCTTTAATGAGAGGATGTTAGAAAGCTTCCTCCATGCCAAGAAGTGGCTCAAACCAGGAGGTAAGTCTTTCTTCTTTCACTCAATCAGATTCCTAATCTCTCTCTCTCTCTCTCTCTCTCTTTCTCTCTTTCTCTCTTTCTCTTCCTCTTTCTTCCTGTTTTAATCTGTGTCAATCACCTCTGTCCACCCCCCCCCCCCCCCCCCCCCCCCCGTCCCTTCCCCCTCTCTTTCTCTCTCTCTTTGGTGTTTTTTTTCTTTTCTGTCAATGATATCTGTCCTCCTCTCCACCTTCTCTTTTCTTCCTTTTCCCCTCAGTGAGCCATCTCGGTCCAAAAGAATGTTTTCCTTATAATTCCTCTGCCTTCAAGTCAACACTAACTAGGTAAATTTCTCTTTCCCTGTATTAATCATATTTTCCTCTTTTTTTTAAAAGCTTGTATGTCAAACAGATATGTATATTTTATTGATTTAAATATTCATGCAATTCTGTTTTAAAAGCCTTTAGACTAATGTCTGTGTTTATATTATCTTTGTATTATAGAAAGTTGTAGGAATTTTATGATGTTTTTTGATTGTTTGTTTTCAGGTAAGATGTTTCCTACTCAAGGAGATGTTCACATTGCACCGTTCACCGATGATGCTCTTTACATGGAACAATTCACAAAAGCAAACTTCTGGTAAGTTATAGGCAACTTAATGTTTATCTCTTGAAGTAAAGTCTGTCTTTAACACTTACTGCATTAAGTGTACCAGCAATTATAACTTTATTCTACAATACGGGGCATTTTTAGGTTTTGATTCTTTTTAATCATGTGTATATTTCTATCAACAGATACGGCAGAAAGATTCTTTGATGCTAATCAGCATAGCTATTCTGTACTGGAGGAGAAATTGGGGTATAATAATATATCTGGTAATTCATACTTAACATTGATTTACCAAATGTGTTAATGATAATATTGTGAAACATACATGTATCTACATAAATTTGGAATGTTGTTGGTTACATTTCTCATCATGATGTTGTTTATCATTACAGGTATCAACAGTCCTTCCATGGTGTCGATCTAACTTGCCTCAGAGAAACAGCTCTACAAGAGTTCCTCAGACAACCCATCGTGGTAAGGCCAAGATATCTCTCTTTATTACATCTGCCAAATAGGCAAATCCTCACCATTAATTTACCTTGCGAGGTCTTAGTGACAATAGTTATAAATATATTCAATAAATAAAGTATGTGACAATTTTTGTTTTAATGTAGAAAAAAAATTGCAGGGTCATGGTGAAATATTTTGGTTATTTGCCTGTAGTTAGACACGTTCTTATAGTGAATTTGCTCGTACAAAATGTACAAGTTATTTTCTCAAAATATAGATGTTGTTGTTATTGCAATCGTTTATTTGAATATTGTGAAGAAAGAACAATAATCAAAATCTGGTTTAAGGTGGTTTGTGCAATGAGTTATAATACAAAAAGCATTCTTATTTCACACTGCTACTTAATGTCAATCTCATGTAAAGAGTATTTTTCTGGAGTTTATTACTAGTATTCCCAATTTGTTTGCACCTCCAGGACACATTTGACATCAAGATCTGTCTAGCCAGGACCTATAAGTACACTGTTGACTTCTTGACAACGAAAGAAAGTGACCTTCACAGAATTGAAATTCCTCTTCAGTTCAAGACGCATCAATCTGGAGCAGTCCATGGCCTTGCTTTCTGGTTTGATGTAGCCTTCCATGGTTCATTGTGAGTACATCCAGGCCTGATAATTACTGTTTTTTTTCTTTTTCTTCCCCCCCCCCCGATTTTCCCCCTATTTCCCCTTATTTTCCAGATTTTTTCCCAATTATCTTACTCAAAGGGGGAGGGGGGGGGGGGGGTCATTTTTTCCCCCGAATCCTTTTTTTTTTTAGTGCTCACTATATCGCCTGGTACATCATCTCTTTCTCTCATCCTTTTGTCAGCTTCACGTTCATTTTTGTCACTCTCCTTTTCTCTTTTTTGGTCCGTCTCCTCTTCACATCATTTTTTGATCTTTCTCTTTCTCACATTCTCGTCTTCTCTTTCTGTCTCTCTCCTCCTTGCTCTTTTCTCTCTTCCTCTCTCCCCCTCTATTCCTCTCTCTCTCTCTCTCTACCTCTCCCTTGTGCTCTCCCTCTCTCTCTCTCTCCTCCCCTCTCTCTCTCTCTCTACCTCTTCTTTGCTTTTTCTCTTTCTCTCACTTTTTTTGCATGGGAGATATCCCTTGCATGACTTTTGTATTCTGTTGAGATATTATTCTTGCCTCCATCTTCAGTAATCAAGAGCCTAATAGGGAAAATCTATAAAAAAAAAACTGTAATTGTCATCAACCTTCAAGTGTTCCATCCTGTTTTATCTAATGTCATCAAATCAACCATTACAGCACGTTGGTACTCTACAAGATCAAAGCCACAAGATTTTATGTATCTTGCAAAAAAATGCACAATGATACTCTTTGAAACTTCATTAGCCATTCTGGTAAACCAGCCAACAGGACGGTCTCATGCCGTCAAATTGTGGTGCAAGCCATTTAACAGTTTGTTGTGTTTTTCTATTGCAGACAATCTGTTTGGCTATCCACAGCACCTACCGAGCCTCTCACTCACTGGTATCAGGTATGCTCATTTATTTATTTTTATTCATTTTATTTATTTTATTTCCAGGCAAGATGATAACAATACATAGAAAACATCACAGGGTTGACAAAATTATATGACATTAACATTATGATATTTAGCACCAGCGAATGCCTGGGGTTCACCTAAAAGAATTCAAAATAAAAAAGCCACATTGGCTGGTACATACATGAAACAGAATATAAAGATGAAGCAAACATATACATGACTGTGTAACTAAAATTGACCCTCGTATTAGGCACATGTGAGGGAGATAAGAAGCAAATACTTTTATGTCATACAATAATTAAAAAATAATCTATTCAGACTAAATTTGGTACATTTTATAATACATAAATACAGCAAAATGTCTGTAACTATACAGTAATATAGATCAATTACCATCACTCTTCAATGCTGTAATCTTAGTTTTTATTGATGGATTGATTACTTATATTTATATTTGTTTACAAAAATATCAAGGCATCATACATTTTAAAAAACATTGATATTTCAATAAATGTATGGAAGTAAAAATTCCAGAATCATAGTAAGTGATAAAACGAAACGATGTACTGTAAATCATGAAATATGGAAATGAAAAGTGACCCAACTTAAAAGCTTGGCTTGTTGCATGTAGGTTCACTGAATTTAACTACTGACTTCATATACAAGTACAGAAAGAAAGAAAAAACAGAATACACAGTAGATAATTATCAGTTGTTAAATGAAGAATGGCTGTAATGTGAGCTTCATGACACTGATTGTTGCCTGGGAAAATACAACCAAATTTCAAACAGTGATCCACTCTTCATCCATTTAATTACCAGTACCAGTAATCAACTTTTTTGCAGAGAAATGTAGATGATGTCCACTTCCTTTTTTCGTTTGCTTGTTTGTTGGGTATGAAAATTAGGATTAATACATTATTTTTCAAGTGTAGGTTGATATCGCGTGGTTGATTTGGGGGAAATGTGACCACAGGTTAGAATTGTACAGAAGTGTATTTTGAGTCATCTACAACTTGCCAGGAGCATTAGTCATGAAGAAATAACATGATGTTGATTCATTTTTAAGAATGGCTGCCCTCAATAGCTTTGATATATTTTTCATGTGTGTGTGCAATACAGGTTCGATGCTTACTACGGTCACCTATGTATGTCACAAAGGGTCAAAGGCTAACAGGGAAGGTCATACTCATCGCCAATGCAAGGTAAGTTGAAGAGTTTTCTTGTTAAGAATCAGTTGATCTAGGCTTTGTGTAAGGAATACCCAATAGGGTAAACTCGGTAGCTGTCTAAATCATCAATGGGGGAAGTTCATGAAACCTAAACAATAGTTTAGTAAAATAATGAATTAGTTGACACTGCTGTACATTCTCTACGGAAGCTGGAAGAAACCTTGATTTATCGTCTACCCAAGTATCGTATCTGCCCATGTGCTGACCAGCACAGTGTGGGAGAAAGATCGCCAGCTACTGTCAAACATCTTATTTGCAATAGGGTCAATTGGCAAAAGATAGTACAGTCAAACCTGTCTATAGCAACCACCCAAGGGAAACGCAACATGTGGTCTTTGTAGACAGGTTCCTTTAGTACATGTTTCAATGAGAAACCATTTTCAAGGGAAACAAAAAATGTGGTCTTTATAGACAGGTGGTCTTTGTAGACAGGTGGTCACTAAAGCAGGTTTGACTAGGTGTTTACCATCTTCTTTTCATCCTTGTTGATCTTTGCATTTGTGTCATCAACAGGCAAAGCTACGACATCGACCTTGAGCTTGAGTCACCCGGGTCGGAGGTCAAGTCGACCAACAGGTTGGACCTGAAGAACCCCCTCTTCCATTACACCGGTCAGCAGGTACTACAAGGCGGCGCCCACACCACCTCACCGTCGGAGAGCTACTGGAGCCAGCTGGGCAACGGCAACGCCATGGATGCCGGCGGCTCGACCCTGGGGAACGGCTACAGCAACGGACAGGGGCTGAGTACAGGTGTGGTTCAATCGATACCTATTGGTAAGCTGACCCTGACCCTGACCTTAACCCTCATCCAAACCCTAATCTTAATCCTATCTCTAATCTTAATACATTGTACTGATGCATTAGGTGGGGGGGGGGGGGGTGTGGTATTCTCAAGGCAAGCCTCAGGAACTTTCAAAATTTGGGGCATGATCCAGATTCACTGAAGTTTCATACTCTGAATCATTGCTCTGAATTCAAGAGGTTCTTGCTGTAAAGATTGCCAGTGTTATTTGCCAGTTTCGAGTTATAGAGTATTGAGTATTGCTTCACCTGAGCTGGATTAGAAATGTGAATTAAACATTGTTTCATATGCTGGAGTACGAAATAACGATTAATTTATTGAAGAAAATATATTTTGTTCATGATGAATCACAGTTTTGTCAGAATAATTCCAATTTGAGCAAAAAAGATATGAAGATGACTCAGATTGCAACAATAAATGATCGAAGCAGCAGTCTTGGCTTCTACAAAGGGAGAGAGGCTTTGATAGAAGTCTGTATCCGGGCATTATCTTGGCATGCTATTGAATGTATATTTTTCTACCTCTTTCTCTTCTCTTCAACCTATGCTATCCTATTAGTTTAGTTCATATACCTTCATCTCTCTCTCTCTCTTGTAGCTAACACCGAGCCCATAGCCCACAGTACGGTCCTACCCGGAGGCCTCACACAGAGGCAGTACACCGTGGCCATCCCGTCCTCCGTGGGTCAGGCAATGTCGTCTCTATGCTTCACCAACAGCAGCAACAATCAATCCAGCGGGCATCAATCCAGCGGGCAGTACCAGCAACAGCAGCAGCAACAACAGCAACAGGGACCACAGGGGCAACAGACGCAGGCCCAGCAGCATCAGCCAGGCCGGATGTCGCACAGTTCGTCGGGGAGCAGGCAGGGGGGCCACATGATGGTCGATCAGATGGGGGGCGTGTACGTAGGCGGTGTCCAACAACAACATAGGCATAATAAATACGGCTCACAACAAATGAACTGATGATCCGGGGGCCATCCTTGGAATGAATGAACTGAATTGGCAATCTTTGAAGCAGCCCTAGTTAATCCGTTCTTAGTTCCAGTAAACAGCTAGTTATCGCTGTTGATCAATCCGAACTTCAGAAGAGCAGTACAGTAAAAAAGTTTGTTGGTGTAGAGGGGGAGCAGGGAGGTGGCTTGTTAAAGTTATTACTTATTTGGTGCCTTTGCAAGAGTTCTGATTAAGTCTGTATGCTAATCATGCTACATACTGTACAGATGCTCCATTTTTAAATCTCGCCCTACGAGGTATAATTTCAAAAGAATTGCCAAATGTTTTGAAATATAATCGTGGAGTGGCTTAGATAATGCCCCACCCTCCTGTCAATATTAAATTGAGGGTTAGAACACCTTTGGTAATATAGGAATGATCAAAATAGTACATAATTTTTTTAAAGGATTACTCTTTAATAGTAATATTACACATTTGTTTTTTACATGGAGTTATCTGCTTAAAATCCCAACTCTGTGTATTTTAAATGAAATCAATCAGAAAAAATGACCTACAAAAAAAGGTTCCCTTCTCATTCCTCAATTTGGCTTCCTCTTTGTATTCAAACCAAATCAACCAAACTGACACCTTATTTCTTCAACATTCTCTCCTATCCTACATGAAATATATATACGGTATATGAGATGAAGTTAAATGAATTTTCTTTCAAAATTTTACACCAATGCTTGCTTTATTTAATCCTTCAATATAATCTCAACTTATATTTCCTTCTTTTGGAGAGCTCAAACTAGGTGTCAATGCACATTATGCTGAGCACTTTTGCTCAGATGTAAATATTCAGTACCATGTACTACTTATATTGGGGAGTTCTTTTTATTTTAAACCATTTTTCATATATTCCTAAGTTATTTGAGTGATCTGGGATATTTTGCATGGATTTTTTTGTAGTACTTGAACATGAAAGAGTATTTCACTCGTTGATAACTTTTACATGTTCCATGCAGTGGAGATTGACATTTTATTTATATTACTGGTACAAGGTTATCGTTATAAATTTCCGCTGTCTTTTGGGGAAAATGGCCGATTATCTGTAACTTTTATGGCTGTAAGATATTAGTGTAGATAGGTAGTGGTCTAGGATGGGTTTTTTGGAGTTTGAATCTGAAATTTGCACCATCTGTCTTGTGTGGCTTATAAGGTAAATGTATCCTCCCTTAGAGATAAATTGATTCTAATGTATTCCTGTTTTTGATCACTAAATAACCCCTCCAATCTCTAAGCATGTAGATGACAGAGTGTAGGTATATCTGTTGTAGGGAATATTTGCAATCATACATTTTCTTGATTTACAATGCCAATAGATTCTGTTCATTTGCAATCCAATGAAATTGGACCTTGCCCATCCCGCTCATAAAATTTCAATTGAATATGGAGATTAATAGTGCGGGCGCAACAATGGGATTTGAATTGACAAAGGATGTTGGAAATTGCTATAATGGGCCTGTTCTATCCCCTTGGGGCATTCAGTTAATAATGATCTTCCTTTACACTGTCAAGTATTTTATAGTGTGGTGGGCTTTTCTTCATGTTGTACTCTGGATGGGGTTAGAGTGTCGTTAATCGTATTTTGGAGCCAGACGAGCCTTAAATCCTATACTGTAACACGAGTTAATGCGATTATGCCCTTATGACTCTGAACAATATGTGTAATATAAAAGTAAAAACACTGATTGAGGATATGTGTATTCAAGCTGCAGTATTGTTGGCGAATTCAACAATTATTTTTATGCCCTCTATGATGGCGTTAACAACCGTTTTGATATGACAGAATAGTTGAACAACTGTAGCTAAACTTGTTCCTTCTAAATTCTCTCTCTCTCTCTCTTTCTCTCTCTCCCTCTCTCTCATTCTTTTTCTCCCCTAGCCCTTACTTTTCATCTCTATTTCCCCAGTGTATAGTTTTTAGTTTTGTTAATAGTCCAGTAACATCACAACGATCTTAGCCTATCTACTGTTAGTTCATGTATCATCTGCTAATCTCTACACTGTGCACTTCATTATGTTATTATGTAGCTTTTTATTTTGTTCATAAAACCTAACAAATTTCCTATATCTGCATTTTACAATTTGACTACCGTAGTCCCGAATGCCTCCTTCCAAAGAATTTGAGCCTTTCTTACAATAGATCTTATTGAATCATTGGGAGTATGAAGTTGATGATACAATCCTCTAGTGATTTGACAATGATAATAGGATTAGTCTGTTGTGAACTTAAAGCACACAGGTTATGTGTGAGGACACATACAATGTATACAATGTACTCCTCAACGGATGAGTGAGCCCATCAAAACATGAAAGATCAACTGAGGATGATGCAATTGATGCAAACGCATCAATCTGCTTTCTAACACTAATTAGTATTCAATTGTTTAATATTGCAGGATTGATACTCAACATCACAAAAATACTACCAATACCCAGCATTTGATATATCATGTGCAAAGAAATCATGCACTTGAATTTACCATTGATATTTGCTATAGCAGGGACCACATTCAACTGCTCCTTGTACAATGGTACACTTGGTATTCTGTAGTTTATTGTTATGCAAATGAAAAGTACTACTGCATTCTAGATACATGTAGTGTGTATATCCAGTTATCATTAGTGTCCAATTTTTTAATGACATTTCAGACAATTGACAACGTAAAATATGTCACACTTTTCAGTATTAACATTTTTTAAGTTATTGAGAATTGGGCAAGGATATTTGTTCATTCCCCCCCCCCCCCCATTCTTTAGCCCATATATTAAAGTAAACATGAATTACAACTGAAAAAAGCAAAATATTGCATAATTTTTTGCTCACCAGCTTAATAGGGTCCTCATTTTACATACCGGTATACTTAAACCTTCAATGTAACTGGCGATGTATGGGACTTTCCCTGTTGTTAGCTCATGTAATGAATACTTGTTCTGATGGTACATTATTTATTACATGGTGTGACATGAAGATACCAAATAATGTGACCCTGAAATGATACCAACTTTGTTAGATTTTGAAAAGTCAGGCCTTTTGTTCTGTTTTTTTGCCCCACTACCTTCAACTTGGTAACCACCCATTCGTCGACATTTTATTGATTACTTTGATAGTTGTTTCATTATGACTGTATGTATGTTTGTATGTGTATAGCTCCATTGTCTGTAGGGAGGTAGATTTCTGTCCATGTTTTCATACTAATAAACCATATCTCAATGCACATTGACACAGCGTATGTAGTATTCTTCTCTTATTGCCGAATCTTAAAACCCACTTTCCGATGTTATGATTAAGGACATCTTGATGGCTTACAAAGCTGTCTGTCTTAGAGGAACTATTTATCTCTCTTTCTCTCTCCTTCTCTCTCTCTTCTGTCTTCTCTCTTGTCACTATTTCAGATCTCCTTTCTGCCATGTTATGATGATAAGCAGTTTCATAATTTATGCTCTTCTCTATTTCTTCTAAACTTGTGCAAAATTCTTGTCACATTCACTCCCTCCTTATTCATACATATTGAAGTTAAATAAATTGTTACGCAAAAAAAAGGTGACCTGCATATTTTCTTTTTAATACAAAATTCATGAGTTACACTTGTCTAAGAAAAGTAAGTTACATGTGGAATAAAGACTAATACATGTATATACAAACAAGAAAATTATAACATAAATTGGACAGATGCATTGCCTAACTAAGTGTAAAACACAATTAAAATCATACTGAAGGCTTACAGAGCAACCACTAAAATGGTGGCAGTGATTAAAGATAAAGTTGAGTTCTGGTCATGTGATTGCATTGTGAAAGAAATGGTGTGGAATCTATCTGAAAAGGTTGATCATCTAGCATATAATTGTGAGTGTGTACTCGTCAAAATAATAAGAAATTTGCCCAGTCTTGGTAAAGTCACAAGCAATGTACACAGAAAGATTTATATGGGACTACACGAACATGTAGCATAAAAATCACTTGCATTATAACAATGATAACGCTCACAAATTATTTTTCACCTCTTCCCAGAACTCAACCTTCTCTTTAAATGATAACACTTTCACTGCCAGGAGTAAAGCTCTTAGAAACGTAGTATTCAACGCTTTACGAATGTGACTATTATTACTGTCTGCATGGTACAGCTATCTGTTGAAGTGGCCACCTCCTGACTTGATGTTAGTTCTGATGCCACTGGGTATCTTGCCAACAGGAGCTGAAGAAAAAAGAAGAGAGAGAAAGGGAATGAGTTGTTGATTGCAAGAAAGGAGATTAAATGACTGTAATTTTACACAACACGCAATTACACATTTTCATTTCATGTTAAAAAATCATTTATTTTATAGTTTAAATGATCTTTCATTTGTAATAGATTGCATACAAGATCATTAAAAACAAAAAGGCAAATCCCCAGAAAAGCTTTGTTAAAGTTTGAGATGTCGGTAATCACGAAAATCAGAATGCAACAACAAACTGCTGGTGTATTCAGAAGGACAATACAAGCACTCTGATGTACAGAAAGCTCGAGGTCCACAATAACCAGTGTTTTGTTGTCAACTCCAACTTTTTGTTGTTGTCAGATGTACAATACTGGTAGATTGGGGGAAAAAATGTGTTCTCAAATCAAAATGAGCGCTACACGGTTCAGTGTGTACATACAAACAGGGAAAGTAGTGCCTGGAATATATGAATTTTTCTTCAATCTGATTATAATAATGATAATAATAATAATAATACACAACATTTATTAGGCGCTTAATACGGGTGTTTCTAAGTGCACCATTGTCTGACTGAAAATTACCAACCAAAACTTATAATAAACACAAAAATTTTAAATCTTTTCTTTATTCAATAAATCATGCATATTAATATAATAATAAAAATGAGATCAAACATAAGGTCAAACATAAGATCAAACAAACGAGGAATAAGATGGGAATACCATCCTTACCATGCTGGTCCCCTTGGCGTGCCATTTGAGCTCCCATATTAGACATGGGTTGTTGCACCATCCCTCTCTTGAAGCCCCGCCCCATGTTGACAGCTCCTACAAGCATATTGGTGTCGCTTGGGGATGAGGTTGTGATGTTGAGTTTGGATGCTGAGATACCGGGTAAAGACAAGTACAATTTAGATTAATCAAAGACCCTTACAGACCTGCCAACCTTTCCGTTTTTTTTCCTCCAAATGACGGTATTACATTTTTTCTTCATAATTTTTTTTACATACCGCACATCAAACAAATGCCCTAAAATGTTGATTCGATCACAAATTCAATAGAAAACTAAGTTTAAAACAGAATACATACTTGAAGAGTAAAATATTATCAAAAAGAATGAAATACCGGTACTGATAATATCAAAATTAAAAAAAAAAAATTAAAAAACCTGCTTGTATGGAGAAAAAAAAGCATAAGGAATGGACATTTCTGCATTGGAAGTGTGTCGCGAGTGGTTGTAAGTTTTGTTTTAATGAATTCCTTTCTTTTGCCATCATGATTCCTTTTTTTGGTCGCACAAGGTTGGCAGCTCTGCCCTTAGGGTCTATTATGATACAGATGACACACGTTGAAGCCAATATGAACAATAATTTCTGTCAAATACTTCCAAATGCTTGAATTATTTGCATGCAGCCTATTCACCAAATACATCTACTATCATTATTAAGCATAGCACAATGGGAAATTTTCAATTAAAAATGTTTTGGCCTATCTTCCTGCCTTCTTTCATTAAAGTACAAGAATACTAAAAATACAAATGCATACAAGTGAAATTGATACTGGCTGATATTTCAGCAATAATGGGTGCTTCACATAATAAAAGCAAAAAGGCCTACCGGTAGTCATAGCTGTCACACATTTTGCCATTGTGCTGCATTTTTGTCACATAGAATAAGCTTGGGTAATCTGTGTCCCATATACTAGTCTATACAGGTACATGAATATTGTAAGCAATCGGTCTATTATTATTATTTTTTTATTTTATTTATTTATTTTTTTTTTTTTTTTTTTTTTTTTTGGGGGGGGGGGGGTTTCAGCACTTTACTCCATACATTTCAATTTTCAAACATATAAAATAATAGTTGGTGGATGAAATTGCTTTTTTACTCAAATATATATGTGTGTATAACTATACTTACAATCAGGATCCCATGTCTCTCTCTGACTAGCTAGCATACTCAGCAGATGGGTACTTAGTCTGTTTAGGTTATCAATTTGCTTCTGAAAAGAAAATGATCAAATATAGAACATAGTAGCAAAGTATAAAAAATTTTAAATAAGTTTTAAAAAGGCAAACATATTACAACGTGTGGCAGAATTTTTTAAATATTTCAGCTTCCCACAAGATTTTACTTGATTTTAGTTAAATAAATTTCTGAAACATAATTTGGACTTGAATAGTTGATTTTGCATTAAACGGTGAACAATTCAAATTTCATGCAATAGCTTTTGATACTGTTAAATCACATGACAAAACAAAAGAAGCGAAGCAAAGCATGATTAAAAGGAAATCCCCCCCCCCCCCTCCACGTTTTTGTTTCAATTGAATGAATTACAAAGCAAACCCCCTAAAAGGCTAACCTTGGCAACTTCAGGTGATAATTGTGCTGCGTCCTTGGCCAATACTTGCTCCCTCTCCTCACTCTCTGGTTCTGGCTTGGTACGGAGGTAGTTAGGGACCACGTCATGGTTGAAGGATGCCACACGTCCCTCGGTCACTTTCTAGGAATGAATGAGTGGAATTTATAATTTAATGAAAACAAGGAGCATTAATCACAAATGTCACTCATGAGTAAATCTATAATTCATACTAGGCTAACTCGTACACTACAATGAGAGATGGCAGCCAAAACCAAACACAAAAAGCTTAGGAATACATGTCAGTGAGTTAATTTAAAAAAATTTGATTTTGATTTTTTGTTGTTAATTTGTGTTGTTGATTTTTTAAAGAAGAAGGGGGGGGGGGTTCCTGTAAACAAATACAGATTTTTTGCAATAATACATTTTCAAAACATTCAAGAAAAGTCAGTTCTACAGTTACTTCAGAATAGTTTAACAAGTAGAATATGTATTCCTTTTATTTCTAATTTGCTTGTTCTGAATACCCCGGTAAGCCATATTGTATCTGATTTGGTAGGGAAATAATTTATTTTTTTCACGTAAATTATGTCACATGACAGCGCTCCTTATTGCCAGGATACATGGTCAGTCCCTAGTGGATTGCCAATCATACTGATGTAATGTGTGTGTTCCATGGAGCTATTATTTACAAATTCAAAAATTGCAAAAATTATAAACAAGAAGGAGTATGAAAAAACTTCTGTGCTGGCTTAAAGCTTATCTGCACTAGTTTAGCCAGGAGGGATTAGACCTCCCTGCATGGTCACTGACAAGTGGTTATCTCATCAAATTACTTTTAAATTAATATAAGAAAAAGGGTATCATGGGGGACCAACGGGGTACCGCTTAGGCATTGTTTGCTATATAGAGGGCGCAAATAGCTACAAGTAGTGCAATGGGGCTTTAAAGGGCTATAGGGTTCTTACATGTGATCTGAGCTACACTTTGGAGCATTTTCACACAAAGTACATGACCAACCTTTCAAAAGTGTTTTTTTTTTGGTTGTGAATCAATCTTAACTCAACACTGATTTTCGAACTTGTAATTTTCAAACTCACACCTGCAGAAGATTTTCAAATGTGTACTGTCAAAATTCAAACCTGTCGCTGAAACATGTTAAAAACCCTTTGTGGAACCTCCTGGAATTGATCTTGGCCCTGTTTCATAAAACTTCTTATCAATATCAAATGCCAAAATTCTGTAACAAATTTGCTCTCAGTCAATCAAATGCAAGTATATCAGTAGCTTATAACAGTTATTGTAACTTGTCATTGATAATATGTTTTATGAAACGGGTCCCAGATGCTTACCTCTAGTTCTTCATCTCTGTCTTGCGAGAGCTTGAGTGGTAGGATAATCAGGTTTTTCAACACAGGAGTCTTGTCACTCTTGAGGTGCCTGTTCAGTGTGTTGATCTGGCCTATAAATTAATTTTTTTAAGAAAAAAAAGTCACAATTCATATATCGGTAATTTGGACCAAACATATACAATCTGGGCCCTGTCTTATGAAGAGTTCATATTAATCGCAACCATGTACATAGGGGAAAGGATACTGCAAACTTGAGATAGTTAAGAGAACTTGCCATTGACATGGATCAATTGCAACTCTTTATAAGACAGGCCCAGATGTATGGCATATAATGTTATTGAGTATTAACATGATAATTCCCAAACTTGCCTATGGTGATGACAGGATTAACAGGTTTAGTACGCATATTATCACAAACTCAAAACATCTTTGTACAATCATGCTACACATTATACTTCTTAACGACAACTTGAGAAGTGCTCTGAGTGCACTGAACATGTGATATGTGGGCATGCATTTCATATCTTGATATACAAAGCTCAGGTTTCTTTTTTGTTTTTACCTTATATAGTACAAACTCACATCATGTTCTCTACATTTATATGACTGGCTTTTATGAGATTTTCTGTTTCATTTGATACATACCTGATAACAGAGCAAAACTATTGAGAACTGATGGCCTGCATGAAAAGAAAAAGAAAAACAGAAAATAGTAATTAACACAATAAATATGCTGAAATCTAGAGAGAATCCAAAATAACACATTGAATCTGCCAATCAATCTTTGATCATGATATTAATTGGCAAATTTGCAAGTGGTTTATAAGATCAGACACTTTACAACACAATAAATACAACATAAATATAACAAACTGAACTTGAGTGAAACTGAATTTTCACACAATTCAAGTCAATCAATTTTCTGCTTGCCCACTTGAAAAAGTATCCGTATATTGCTGAATTACTGAAGCTAGTCCAGAGGGGTGTTTCACAAAGTTCTTAAGTTGAACTTATTTCTAAGTTGGACTTAACGATTATGGAAAGCCGTTAACATCTATGAAAGAATGTTGCAAAAGTTATTTTAAAAGGCATAATATTTTGATTCAAATCATTCATTTTTTTTTTTTCATTATCAAGGAGATTTCATGTTCTTGATGTGAACTTTATAAAAAGTCTAAAATACTTGATTTTTCGCTTTTGAATATATTTTATTTCAAGGCTACAAATGGCTCTCCATAATTCGTAAGTCCAACTTAGAGTTAAGTTTGACTTTGGATCTTTGTGAAACACCCCCGGGCCGGGTCTACTTTCCCCAGGTCATTGCATTTAGAGATCACCCAGAAGGAATAATTGTATTGATCTGTTTGTAGGAGCTCTTTTAGGATAAGTTTTGTGTTGTATTATTTGTATTATTTAAAATAGTAAATTTTGTTATACCAGAGGCAGAGATCTTTTTCAATTTAGGAGCACTTCAGAGCTTTTGAGAGCTATATCGCTATAGGCTGCGCGCGCTGGTGGCTGCCCGCCCACACTGCACTGCTCTCTGATTTATCACTGATTTTGTTGTTTTCATTTGTCATCTCCATTTCTATTTTTGATATTTCATTGTACTTATATCCTGGATATTTCTAGTCAAATTTGGAAGCATTTAGGTCAGTATTTTTGATGTACTTATTCTGTGAAGTTTTCGAGATTGCTTGAGGTTGTACTCACACATACAGTACACAGTAGAAGCCATGTTATACACATGTCATAGTGTAGTTGGTTTGTTCACTCATGCGTAAAGTCTGTGCTGACTTTCTTTCTTTGTTTGCTTTGAATAGACCTGTACTATTACAATGAATCTCACCACTTCAGTAGCTTTTGTGTGCTGTGTGGTCATGTTGTACTGTAAGTGTCATGTAATGCAACAATGGTGTCATGCTTCTGATCTGGTTTCTGATCCACATGTACAAAATGTTCCCTACATGTATTTAGAAGCTAGACCTGATGTATATTCGTTGAAGTTGAAATTGAAGGGAAAACATTTTTGTGCTCCAGTACAGTTATACGCTAACAGTGTATCCACTTTTCAGATTTTGATATTGTTATCTGGCGATGTGAATCCGAACCCAGGCCCTGTCACACATAACTCGGCCTCCTCGGATAACGATAACAGTACAAGGTATTCTATATCATACAAGTATGACAGTAAAACACTTCACTCTTTTAATTCGCGTTCATGCTCGCTACTGTGGCGTGAACAGAATGAGGAATTATGTAATATGATTATGTCTTTAGGTATTAACAGACATGACATAGGGCGGAAGACACATCGAGGTATGAAGGGGGGCCGTGATCCTTTTAATAACAACCTCAAACTTGGTATGTTGAATTGCCGTTCTGTTCGTAATAAATCTACCTTATTAGAGGAATTTATTATTGACCATAGTTTAGATTTTACATGTGTTTGCGAAACTTGGCTAACTGCATCAGACGATGCAGTGATTGCTGATCTTTGCCCTCGTGGTTATCTGTTCAAGCACCATCCCAGAGCTGCTAAACGTGGCGGCGGGGTCGGCTTTCTCTACAGGGACAGTCTCCACGTCGATATTAGTCCAACAGGCAAATTCGAAACATTTGAATCAATGTCTGGAACTGTATCTGGCGGCTCTACACAGGTTGACATTATAGTCATATACAGACCACCAGGATACCAGTCTTTCACTCAGTTTCTTATCGACTTCTCTGCGCTTCTTGATGAGAGGTTGTGCAAACCATACCCACTTTTGATCACCGGAGATTTAAACATCCATCTAGATAACACTTCATCCCAGCATACACTCAGGTTTGTGGACCTTATTAACAGTCATGGCCTATCCCAATTGGTTACATCTCCGACTCACGACAAAGGTCACATTCTGGACGTCGTTCTGGTGCGCAATTCAGACAATTTGTCAATTTCGAAGCCAAGTATCGTTCCAGGTATATCAGATCATGCTGCTATCACTTGTGTACTTCGCTTCACTAAGCCTGCACGCAGCGACAGAACATTTGCTTCCCGTAATATTAAAGACATAAACAGGATAGCCTTCGCGAAGGATGTTGCTGAGAGCGACATTATGCCCTTAACGTCAGAGAGTGTCAACACAGCTACTAGTCGCTACAACACCATTCTTTCTTCGCTCCTCGATATTCATGCTCCTGCCAAGATCCGCAAGGTTCGAGACCGTCAGGACAATCCCTGGTACAACGGCGAGATTACTGCTGAGAAACGTAAACGTAGGCAGCTTGAGCGGAGATGGCGATCTAACGGCAAGCTTCACATTGACAAAGAGATGTTCCGTGCGCAACGAGATTTCACGAACTCTCTCGTCGAACGAGCCAAACGTTCGTACTTTGTCGGGCTAATCGATAAATGTGGACATGACTCTAAGAAACTCTTCTCTACGGCCAATCGTCTCTTGAATCGGAAACAGAACTCTCCACTTCCAAGACATTCTGATAGTAAAGAACTGGCTCAAAGATTTATTCAGTTCTTCCGCTCCAAGGTTCAGAAGATCCAGGACAGTCTCACTCCTGACTTAACTCCACCTGATCCTGTCACGTCAGCATCCCTCGAGACGATTCAACCTACCACCTCCGATGAGATACAATTACTGCTTCATAGATTGCCAGCTAAGTCGTGTAAACTAGACCCTGTCTATACTGTTCTCATTAAGGATTGCTCCTCTTCATTTGCATCTGTTATCTCACAGATTGTCAACTTAAGTATTGTTCAGGCATGCGTACCTTCTGTTCTTAAAACGGCACACATTCTTCCTTTACTGAAGAAACCCAATCTTGATTCTGAATTACTAAGTAATTACCGTCCAGTTTCTAATCTCCCGTTTTTATTTAAAATACTTGAGAGGGTGGTGTTCTCTAGATTAAATGATTACTGTCTCGATAATGACCTCCTTGACCCATTTCAATCTGCATACCGTCCCCACCACAGTGTAGAAACCCTCCTTGTTAATGTATCCAACTTTATACTCCAGGAGATGGATGGCGGAAAAGTAACTGCTATGGTACTCCTTGATTTGTCTTCCGCCTTTGACACTGTTAACCACACTGTTCTGGTGAATACCCTCATGTCACTCGGTATTAAAGGTCAAGCCCTGGAATGGTTTAAATCATACCTGTCATGCCATTCTCAAGCTGTCTTGATAAACGGCTACCTTTCAGATTTTGTACCACTTACATGCGGAGTTCCACAAGGCTCTGTGGGCGGGCCCACGCTTTTTTCGTTATATTTAACGGGTTTGAAGAGTATTTTTCATCGCCATTCTCTCTCTTATCATGTTTATGCTGATGATATTCAAATATATACTTCTTTCAAACCCAATCAGAGCAATGCAGCCAGCGCTATCCATAACATTGAGACTTGTGTACAAGATGTTCATAATTGGTTAAACTCACATTCACTGAAATTAAATCTCGCCAAATGCGAATTTATAATGTATGGTTCTGAGACTCAGTTAGAGAAGATTTCTTCCATCACTTCAATTACTCTTGCTGGACATGAAATTACCCTATCTAATGTATGTCGCAACCTTGGTGTGTTTCTCGACTCAAACATGAAAATGTCTACTCAAATTCAATATGTCTCAAAATCAGTACGTTATCAGTTACGCAATTTGGGTTTTATTCGTAAATATCTTAACCGTGGTGCCACCGAGAAAATTACTCATGCTTTGATTTCTTCTCGCTTGGATTTTGGTAATGGCCTTTTGTTTAGTTCGCCTCACAACCTACTCGCAAAATTACAAAGATTACAGAATGCTGCTGCTCGTGTCGTGACCCTGTCCAACAAGTACAGTCACATCACACCAGTCCTCAAATCACTCCATTGGTTGCCCGTAGAAAAACGTGTTGTTTTCAAGATTATTTTGCTATTATTTCACTGTATACATGGCTCTGCTCCGCAGTATAACATCGGCTTGATTAAGCATTACTTTCCTTCTAGACAGCTACGTTCTCAAAACTCTGGCTTACTTGTTACTCCTAGGGTTAAAACAAAGTGGGGGGAACGAACCTTCGCTCATGCTGGGCCTTCGTTATGGAATACTCTCCCTCAATGGGTTAAGAATAGCAGTTCTGCTGAGGTGTTAAAAAACAATCTTAAGAAATATCTGTTTAATTTAGCTTATAATTGATTACCATTACCTTTCATGTCTGTACCTTTCCTATCGCACTTTGTATAAATGTATCATGTATGTATTTCATCTTTTGCACAAGCTGCGCCTTGAGCATTTGACTGTCAAGTGGATTTGGCGCCTTATAAATCATATGTATTATTAAACCACTCTTATGTATTTTTATCATTCTTACTTACCAATTAAGAGTTTCATGATGATGTTCTAGTTTCATGAGTAGATCTGTTAAGGCTTTCTTCAAATCATTGACTCTGCTTAAGATGTAATCCAAAGAATTATCCAGAACTTTGTCTTGATTCTAAAATAAAAATGGGATGAAGGTCAGATTTAGAGAAAGAACAATCTTAAATAAGCAGGAGAGAGAGAGAGAGGAGATATTATTCACTGAACTGGCATTAAGATTTTAACTTTATTAAGCAGGGCTGTCAACTTTGGGGAACTGCTTCGAGGGAGATTGTATGCAATTTTGTTTGTTTAGTAAAAAGAAAAACAAATCAAAGTGCTCACTACCCCCCCCCCCCCCCCCCCCCCCCATTGGGCAAAAAAATACCATAAGAGTACACTGGTTCATTTTACATGTATGGGGGGAGGTTTTTTTCATAAACCGGGAGATTGCGGGAGAGCGTACAGCGTGGTGGCGGGAGTCTCCCGCTACGAGCTGGTGCCGCCGTGGGACGACGAGAGAATGAGCGTGGTGGCATGATCGGACTCCCTCCAAGTGCGGGAGGGTTGACAGCCCTGGTAATGACATTCTGCTGAAATACATGTAGGTCTAGACTCTAGTCTAGTTTACAATGAACATGATGAATGGGTTCACAATAAACAATTAAATTTAAGCATTTGTTTCAGTTGTCAGTTCACTTCCGGGTTCTATAGCGAGAATCGGCCACCCATACTTTCATTCACTATAAGCGCACATGTTACGATGTAACCATGGTTTGGACTGAGCGGAGCTCACGCCTCCCTAATTAGCTGATTCCAAAAATGTGGGAAGGGTATTTTCAAACTGTTATAACAAATGATCCCTTGGGGCTAGCGAAAAAAAAAGCATCTGGATATTATCCTTACGTCTAGCCCTGCTTAAGCCGCGGGGGCGCAGCTCAGGAAAGTGGCAAATTTTGGAGCTAGGATGCAAACAACATTTCAATCGCTGTTTTGACCAATTCTGGGGGTGGCCCCCTATGGGGAATATGGAGAAAAACCTGCTCTTTCATATGACACCTCATTTATTGAGTTTCACCTTCAGGATCATTTGTTATAAAGGTTTGAATTTCAAATTTTTTCATAAAATCATTGACCAATTTTGGATGGTCGCGCAATGCACGTAGACCACATAGGGAAGCGTACAATCTCTATGGGAAGGGTTTTAGCACACAACATTGGGTGCGCGATCAGACACCCTACTACTAGTACTAGTAGATCTAGACCTTCTAGATTGGGTTCAATAAAATGAGTGTAGAAATGTATTCTTTATTCAACTTTGAAATAAGGGCAAAGGCTTGCTTTAAATATTGTAGTTCTTTCCCTGAAATAGGGGAATACTGTAGAGTTACTCGGCTTCTGTCAGCGCCATGTTCGCGATTCGATGTCAACAATAGTCAAATCGAATTAACCAACGTGAATTAAAAGGAATGGGACTGAGCTGAGTTGTGCACTAATTTCTTAAAAGTTGATAAAATGACATTATGCCTCTTAAATTCCATCAGATAAATATGCATGACAAACAAATTTCATTCATTGTGATCCTTACCTGCATTATGAAGCAATAGATAAAGCACCACCACTTCAAAAAAAGGTTTTTTGTCTAGAAAATACTGTGTGCAAATACAGCAGAATATCCCGTAGAAACGAGCCGACATTTATTTTGTCTGCGAAATATTGCTGCCAATTTAATAAAGTGCAATGATCAATATGCAGCTCCTCCTCGCACAAAGTCCTGTGTGAAAAAATGTACACTGAACTCCACAGTTATCTATTCGACTATTCTAGTGTTTTTGTTTGGTTACCTCGTAACATTTTTGAGTCACTTTTGATTATTTTAAATGAATTAAATTTATATTCCTTTAATTCTACGACTGATAGTAATAGGAGCCACTTTTTCCTTGAAAAAAATCAGAGTGACTCGATCTCGGAAACCGTAATCATGGAATATATGAGTCTAACAAAATATTGTTGAAATGGAGGGCGGTCCCCGGCCAAGGACCCCATAGGGCGAATATCCATGAGTTGACGGAAGGATTTAGAATTTCGGATCTATGCTAGATCTGACATAGCCTTTAAACAAGGCCACATGCCTGATAGACGCCGAGCGACTAAAAAGAGACTAATCGCGAAAACCTGAATGAACGCCAGTGCGAATTGTCCAGACCTGTGGCCTTTATCAATCTGGTTTGGATTTCTTATGTTAACCCTTGTTTCCGACTGGAACTCGCTTCAGAAAACGTAGTGTCCAATCAGCGAACGTATCCTAGCACGACGTCAGCATATAGTATCCATCACACACACACACACACACACACACACACAGTAAACTCTACGTAGTGCGAACATGGACCTACATGCCTACTATACGTACGTGCTAAGACCACTGACCACTGACCTCTACATGGAACGAATCACGAACGAAGCCAACTAGGAGATCGCCGTTCTGATTGGTCAATGAATCCAAAGTAGGCGTATTGGCCTACTAATATGTATCTATGAATAATTCATGCGGAGCAGTGAAAACCACATTCCAAAAGGCCTCATGACATTCGTCATTCGGACGCGCGTTCACTCCGGGTATCTAGACTCATCTCAGCCGCTTAGCCAGAGTCAACGAGGCCTTGTCAAAAGGCTAGATCTGACACGGTCAAGCCTAATTGTCTGATTTTGTCATATTGTTCTGCTAGTGGTGGTGGCGGTCATGGTGGTAGTGGTGGTGGGGGTGGTGGGGGTGGTGGGGGTGGTGGTGGTATCATGTAATCATGAGGTAAACAAACGAGTGGTGTTTCTCTTTCTCTCTCTCTCTCTCTCTCTCTCTCTCTCATATCTCTCTCTCTCTCTCTCTCTCTCACTCTCTCTCTCAATGTTTCGAAAAATGGCCCGAATTCAGACTGTAAAATAAATAAAGTATGCCTAATTGATGTGTTACAAGGATTGCCTGACAAATGGAAAGAGAAAACATTTTTAAACCACAGATCCTACTGTATTATAGTTGTCATGATCTCTTTGATTTAAATTGACCACGCCCTCATTTCCCAGGCACAGATTTTATAAATAGTGTATGAACCAATCGACGGTGTTGCAATGTTTTGAAACGTATTATGAGTCATCTCCTCACATTCTTCTCTCCAATAATTATTACTTCCACGTCATTCAGAGGCTATCTCCTGGAAGCAGTGGTAAGTTTACAGATTTTTTCAGCAACCATTTCGGCTCTTAGCTTTAAATGCTAACGAATAAAGTGCTGTGTTTACCTTTAGATAAGCTTCTTACCCGGTTTACCGCGACCAGCTAGTATCAGTATCAGGCAGCCGCTTCCCGAGCAGACTCATGTCGCCCGCGCCGCTGCACCAGCATTTCTCGAGCTCTCGCTCAGCCGCTGACTGATCTGCAGCTAACAGCTAGCTGAGCTGAGTTGTGCAGCATTCAGCTGCAGCTGATGCTTGATAGAAGTTGTGTTAAAGGCAGGTCTTACTACTTCAGCTAGAAGGGATTAGACGACCCAGCGAGCCAGCGAGGTCACTGTAACAGGTGGCTATCTCATTAACTCAGCTCTCATTTAACATAAGAAAAAGAGGATCATTGGGGACCAACATGCACCGATTGGGGAAGTTTTCTATATTGAGGGAGCAAGTAGCTACAAGTAGGACAGTGTGCCTTTAAGGCAGCCTAAGGTTTTTGTAAGATTAAGGTTAACACTGTTAAATCCTTTTTATGTGTATTTGACTCAGAATATATTGGATTAATTGTTTGTTAGAAATAGTCTAGATCTATAAAATAGCATTTAGACCACCTCCACTCTCAGTCTCATCTCACTCACTGTGAATTGTAAATTCCCAAGTCCATTGCAGAATATTTACAATGATTTAGGACAAGATCTTCTAAATAATAGAAATGTTACCAGAGCTAAGAGTTACATGTAATATTGAAATTCATTGCTATAGAATTCAAAAGCTGCTAATAAATTTTGAATGATATGGGGGGGGGGGGGGTAAGGGGCTAGGGAGTAGGGGGTCTAACAACAGAGTTAGCCCCTTATAAAAAAAAAAAGAACCTAGACTTTTAGAGTAATATACAGATCATTGCACAAAACTTCATTTCAGCTTATTTTTAATAGTTCAAAGTTTTTTCTTCTATTTTTTTCACAGACACAGGTCCTAAATGAAGACAAGCTGTAGCTGAGGAGACCGAAGAGACCGGGCATGACTAAAGGGACGTGAGACATTGATCTGTTAGTGTTACAGCAAGCATAGCAAACTTCTATCATGGTGAGTAATTTAGCTATCAGTGTTGTAATTCTTCATGGATATGCTGCATTTTGGTAGACAAAGCACTGTGAAAATGCAGCCAAAATACAAAATGTATCTGGAGTGTGGTCATTTTATCATCACATATTTTCTCATTCTAATTTGTAGCAATAACAACTACTGGTACTGACAATTTGATATTTAACTTCATTGGAGAACAAATCCCAATAAATGAACCTTACAACACTCTTTAAAAGTTATAAGTTTTTGCTAGTGATGTGCAGTGATGGGTAATTTAAGATTTAAGTGAGAAAGCTGGCGTAGTATTTCCATGTACACCCTGTATTATTTGTACATACATGTGAAATATATGTAGATTACTTCCTGTAATTTTACATATTTCTGAATTATTACAGGCTGAGGAAGATCACCAAGGTTCCTTGAGAGATGAAATGGAAGATCTTCAGTTGGAGAATTTAGTCATGTCTGATCAACCACAAGAGCCTATACAGTCCGGACCTGAAGGCACTGCTACACTAGATGTCCAAGAAAATGTAAGCGCCTCTGAAACAAAAGAAAATGAAGATAACACTCCTGCAGAACTTCATCAAGGTGGAATTATGTGGCATATTCCAGGAGAACTTGAGAAATTTCCAGAACATCCTGTGGAGGAAACTCTAGAGGATCCAAATACTTCCGAAACAAGAAAAAATGAAGGTAACACACCTGTAGAACTTGATCCAGATGGAATTATGGAGAACATTCCAGGAGAACTTGAGGAGAAAATTCCAGAACATCCTACTGAGGAAACTCTAGAAGACAATGAAGATGACCCACCTTTTAAACCTGATAACAGGGACATTGAGGGCAATTCCGATGTGGTAGAAGGAACTGACGAAGACACAAGCTTAGATGGTAGGACGTCCGCTGGCAGTGGTCAGGGAGACAGTTGGACACTGCTCTCCCTTCCCGGAGAGCTACTCCTAAAGGTCTTTGACTTCCTGGATGCAAGACTTGTCATCAGAGAGGTGGGCCCGGTCTGTAAGATGTTTCATGAGATCGTCTCGGATAATCTGGAATGGAAGGTGCGATTCAAGAAGCGATGGAGAGGCGTGTACCCTGTAGTGCCAGGTACATATTTTCCTTTTGATTCGTTATCAGTGGCTGCTTAACAAAGTCTAGTACCAGTTAATAGATAGTTAGATAGGCTACACTGTTGCCCATAAAGTTAGAATAATTTGTTTTGCCTCGCTTCATGAAATGATTGGGACGATATCATAGTCATTGATTCTTGATAAATATAGAGTTTGTATTTATTTAGTATGTTATTGATCAATCTAAACAGTCATAGAGATTGATCGGTCTAGCTCTAGATAAACTTTTTCTATTGTCAAAATCAATTCATGTAAAGAGGTAAAGAAATACATCAGCAGAAAGTGCAAAATCACTGGAAAATTAAAAGTTGAGTACACTTCTGTTGCAGTACATTGTGCCATTCATGAATAGGAGCGATTTAATGGAAAATACTCATTGAAGTCTCTAAACTGGCAATGCAGAATGAACAAAAATTATCACTATTTTCGAGTTTTTTTTAAAATTCTCATGCTGTTTTATTTCATGTACATTTGTATTTTGTCCAAACTATGAAAGAGTGGAAAATACAAATAATGATTGCCAATTTGAGGAGGAAAGGCTGATTCATTTCTAACTTTATAAAACTCTGAACTGGTGTCAATTGGTTAAATAATTAGACAAATTGTACTATGAAAACCTCTTTTATTTATGTTTGACCATATTAGTTGAAGACGATGACTTCAACTGGAAGCTGGCTTGCATTGAGAGAGAAGAAACACATCAACGTTGGGCCAGACAAGAAACCAGCATGGATCACTTCTCACTCACCATGGCTCATATAGCTGCCATTGATTGTGTACATCTTATGAATGTAAGTACAGTCAAACCTGCTTTAGTGACCACCTGTATAGAAAGGCCACCTGTCTACAAAGACCACATTGTTGTTTCCCTTGAAAGTGGTTTCTCTTGGAGACATGTAATAAAGGAACCTGTACATAAACACCACCTGCCTATAAAGACCACTTTTATTGTCTCCCTTGGGTGGTCTTTAGGTAGACAGGTTTCACTGGATATTCATTTTACAATGTATGCCCCATGACATGCTCTTCACTGTTTCAGGTAAAGCAAGACTACAAAGAGGTTCGGAATATGAAGATTGCGAATATTGATGAAATTTCCTGTAAAAAAAGAAGGCATTTTTTAGCTGTTATGTAATGCTTTGAACGGCCAGAAACATACAATTAGCCAACATGAAATTCGCTTACAGTAGATCATGCCATGTATTAATAAGAATTGCCTTTCTGCCATAACAGAGATACAACAATATTTTGATTTTCACAAAATGATGACTTGAAGACCTTAAAAACTTATTTGCGACATCTTCTCACATGGCCTGATGACTGCCAAACTTGAAGAAAATCAATTGTGCCGACTTGGACTTATCCATTCCACAAAAAATGGGGGCAGGGGAAATAATGAATAAGGAAAGAAAGAAAGAAAAAAAAAAATCGAGATTGAGAAATTGCCTATTACACTATTTTCACTAAATTTTGCTGATAGTCTTGGATTGACTCCTGAGTTATATCAAACCAATACCTCATGAAAATCATTATATAACATACCCTCCTGCTATCCATCATAGAATGGAGAGCTGTGTGCTACAGGATCTCGAGATCGAACCTTTCAGATGTGGGACCTGAGCAAACTCGATGCTAACAATCCTGAGAAGTCCGTCAAAGATGCTAGGACCAAAGATGTTAAAGCTCACAAGGTAGGAGTGTAGAGGAGTTCTGCATGTTTGTGTTAGGGCTTAAACTTAAGACAGATTTTTTTTTATAGCACTTTTTAAAGAGGGTGTCGGTGCATTAGCATTGGAATCGATTACTATTCCAAACCTACAGCTCTATCTTTCCTCTTTCTGAGCAGCATTTTTCCAATCACTGTTTTTATATCCAATAGTTTAGATTTATACTCCTGGGTAGCGAGAAGAAATATACATGCACATTGCTGAAGGGTACGTAAGAGCACTAGAATGCATGGCCTATCAAAATGATTGAATCGTTTGACATGGTAACATTTATTTGACCTGTTAAAATGTAGCTGAAGAATTCCTTTGAAGGTATTGCATAGTCATTGGATGTTTATTTAATACCTCATCATGTATTCATGTAATACAGTAGGCTTATGGTTGCACCATGTGAGAGAGGGGGAGGTTTGGGGAGTCCTGAAAAGGAATATTGGTAATATTTCTTTCTTGAGTGTGTGTAGTCATGAAAAGGACTGTGGGTAATCTTTCTTGAGCTTACAATTCTAAAGAGAACTATAGCGCCGGTTGGAGAGGATGGGTAGTAGGAGTGGCTCAATGTTCATATTCATGTTAGGCATGTGTATTTGTTACATGTTATGATTCTATATTGGCTAAATCTATTTCTTTATTATTTCTCTTTTAGTGAACTGCATCTCAATGTTAGATCGGGGATTCAATAATAGATCGATTCATTACCCAATGACATCAAATGAGAAATACTGGTTTTGACTTTCATTTAATAGCTCTACCTGTCTTTATTTTCCCTTTTAATCAGGGCTGGGTTTGGGACATCACATCATTAGATCATCTCATGTGCACGGCATCCTGGGATTGCTGGTTGAAATTATGGGATATCAACGATGACATGAAGTGTGTTCATTCAATGAAGTAAGTTCTCACAGTAACGTTCCCCTGAAGATGATCAAAAGTTTACTGATCGAAACATCGAGAGCCTAGAGCTCTTAGCAGAGTTCACCAGGCTTTTTCAGGGCTCTAATTCCTTTGAACGAATTACATTGTGTAGCCAATTAAAGTTCTTTACATAAAATTCAGTTCTATAAAGTTGGGTGAATAGGAACTAAAATTGAAAAAGCATATTTAAAAAAAAAAATTCTTATCTTTAAACAAATATATAAAAAAATCATTTTTAAGAATAACAGTGTACTAAACAGTTACATAAAATTCTCTCCATTTCTTTTTTGTTCATATCAAGGGGTAAAACAGCATTCTTGAGTTTGGTGTACCAACGTGATTTGATCATAGCTGGGGCATATGACAGAAGCGTATATCTCTTCGATCCAAGAGGTTAGTATATATTGTAAGATGATGAAGCGGATCTTAGTCAAATGATTGGTTAAGAGCCTACACATGACCAGGCATTTATTTTGCCTAATACATAATTTTACTAATGACCGGTCATTAGTAAAAGCATGTTATAAAACATCTTTTCATAAAACAAATAAAACAACATCATTTTGATTGGCATTAGTAAGAATTACCCACACTTGGTACCTTCGAAGCGGTCCAAACACCCTCACCATTAGACTGTTCCAAAGTTACCTTTTGTGGGTAATTCTTACTAATGCCCTCAATGCTGTGTATTATTTGTATACTTCCTCATCAGTGACCTTTCGTGTTTAATAGTGTGATAGAGTCATAAAACGAATAACCTGAATTACAAGATCTTGTTATAGGAAGTAAATAGAGAGTCCCTAAAATGTTGATTTGATCACAAATTCAATAGAAACTAAGCTTAAAACATACTTGAATACATACTTGAAGAGAAAAATATTCTCAAAAAGAATAATATACCGCTACTGATAATACCAAAATTTAAAAAAAATCTGCTTGTATGGAAAAAAACAGCATAAGGAATGGGCATTTCTGCATTGGAAGTGTGTCGCGCATGGTTGTAAGTTTCGTTTTAATGAATTCCTTTTTTTTTTGCCATCATGATTCCTTTTTTTGGTCGCACAAGGTCGGCAGCTCTGCTCTCTCTTTTTCGTGAGGATCGCTGTATTGAAGTTTGGGTTTTGACCAAGAACAAGAAGTACAGTCAATCACCTTTTTCATGTTGTAGGGGGGGGGGGGGGCTTATTGCAAGAGAATTAGGTTATATTCGCACAGCATTCCCACAAGTATGTTGTAGCCCTGTTTACAAAGTTGCGTTTCTTCTCAACTCTCATAGATTTGCTTTAAATACTCTTGCAGACTCGCACAAGTGCATACAATGACATTGCTACATTTTCTAGTGACTCATTGAGCACATGTACCACATGTTGAACCCCATGTCCTCAAAACAGGATGTGGTTTCAAAATGATTACCAATTTGTAAAACAATGCAGGTCTAAATTCAGATACTGTAGAGCTAATGTTACCAAGATTTTTATGCTCCTTAATTATAACAATACTTTTTCAGAAGTAATTTGGGTGACTCTCTATAAACATCCATTTTCGTTGCCAAGAGACATGTTGTGTGCCCTGTAGAAAGGCGTTAACAAATGACTGGACAACATAAGTTCAAGAAATATGCATTTCCTAAGTTTTTAACATGCAACATATTTCATTATATTCATCATTAATTGCATAACAGAGATATTATCAGCAATCAAAACTTTTTAAGAATGTAGGAATTTTGAAAATTATTTGGGTTTATGGCCTTCTGTTAGGCAATAAGTACAGTTTGATATACACATGATAGATACTAGGACTATTTTCATTCACCAAACTTTTTGTAACACCCTTGCTTTAATGTATACATGCTTGCACAGTTTTATATGTTTGTTTTGATGTTGATCTTTTAACTTTCAGTGAATGAGAACAGCCTTGTTGCCCAGCTAGTTAATCACAAACGTCCAGTCCTTACCGTCCAGGCCGATGACCATTACATCATCTCAGGCAGCGAAGACAAGACCATCGCTATCTTTGACCGCCGAGCCAACTCTGTATACAAGAAACTGAATGTGAGTAAATATTGATACTGGAAAGGCGGTAGAGGTGTAGTGGTCTGGTGGATAAGTCGCCGGGCTGTGAACCACAGGGCACGGGGATCAAATCTGTACCACTTGGCAATACTTTAATCTACATCTGCCTCACTCAATCCAGGTGAGGTAAATGGGTACCTGGCAGGAAACAATTCCTTAAAATGCTGAGGTAATAATTGTGGAGCTCCAGGAGTTTCAAGTTTGACAGACATATAAGTGCTATACAAGAACCCTCTATCATTCTTAAATGCTTTCCAGTGATGTGAAATTGCCTACATTAGCATCTAATATTTTTTTTTTCTTCAATGAATTAAAACATGAAAAACATACTGCTAAAATGATCTATTTCTATTTTTTTTTAATAAAAAAAAATACTTACAGCCATCTTAAAAAATAGTCTGACTGTCCGGAAAAAGGTACCGAGTGGCCATTTTGAAAGGGAAAAAAAAAAAGGGCCTCCTCCTTCCTATTTAACCCTTACTGTACTCTCCATTTTCAGAGATTGCGCCGCAACCGCTTGGAATTTTGAATTGTCGTTTCATGACTTTTTTCCCTCACGTCTTACGCACATTTTGATACCATTTTCGTCGAAATCGGATATACCTGTAAGGTGTTACATAACAGTTAGTATGCGCATGTCATCAAAAATGTGCATTAATTTATGCTAATTTATGCAAATTAACCTATGCATTTTCAAATATCATAAAAATAATGTAACCTCATGAATTTGAGATGAAGGAAACATTTATTCAATCCATTTTCAACATTCTTCACAAGTCTACAGACAAATATGTAAAGTTTTCTGTAAAACGCATAAAATTAGCATTTTGCATAATTAATTAGGCATAAAGACAAAAATTTGCATATTAGGAAAAAACTAATTATACCATCTTGCCCCTTACGTAAATATCTACAAACATGCAAATTTGCACGTTCATCGGACTTTCGACGGCCGAGATCATAGGGGGGGGAAGGGCCTCCCAGGCCGCCCCCCCCCCCCCCCCCCCCAGTCACGAGGTGCTGAAAATAGCCCAGTACAGTAAGGGTTTAAAAAAAAAAAACAGGATGCTAAACATGTTTTATTTTTTATTTGGCCTAATCCAGGCCTTTTGTTGTCAAAGATATGGGGCTAGCTATAAAAATTCAATTTGGTGTAAGATGAGGTTAAAGTTTAGGGTTAGGTATAGTATTGGGTCCAGGGTTGATGATAACAAAATTTGAAAAGTGTAAAAAATGACTATGGAGTGATTGTAGCCAGAGCATGTGTTATACAATCAGATACCTATGGATTATCCCAAACAATTCTTTATATTGAGATTGAATTGCAGAGTAACGGAGTCTTAAAAGGACAGTGTTGCATTTGGAAATGTCTTCATTATTCTAAAGCTAATATAATGTTAAAAGACTGTGAGTTGGATACAAGGATATTGTATGTGAGCTTAGAGCTTGCAGTATTTTGTGGGTCATTAAATATATAATTTATTTTGTATTTTTCTGTATTTTGTTTTTGTGTTATACAGCTGGACAGCTTTTGCATGTGCATGTCATACCAGCACGGTCAGATCTGGACCGGTCATCGGGACGGCAAAGTCCGCGTCATTGACCCCACCCATGGCAGCTTCGACATCATCCAGACGTACGACGTCGGTCACAAGGGTAAGATCACCGACATCATGTACACCACGGGGGCGCTCTACACGTGCTCCATGGATTCCACCATTAGGATCAGTGACCCGAACCACAACCCCGAGACGATGTGCAAGCTCACGACGCACACGCGTGATCTGACCGCGATGGATTTACAGTGCGGGGTTCTGGCGAGTGCGAGCAGCGATCTCACGGCGGGTATATGGAGACCCAAGCAGGATGCGGTCGTGGAAGAATTTGAGTCGTATTGATAGCTCACAGGCATGGCTGGCATTTTTACAAATCCATTCTATAGCTCTGTCTATCTAGAATTTCTATTCTGAGGCGCAATTATTATCCCGGCTTTAGCCTAGCTGCCATTACAGCGCTCCAACATGTCAAGGAACTAATTCCTGCCAGGTACCCACTTACCTCACCTGGGTCGAGTGTGGCAAATGAAGATTAATGCCTTGCCAAAGGACATAATCTGTTGAGAAGCAGAAAGGCGTTAACTCTGTATATAAAGTATTTGAATCAATGCCCCTTGCTGTCATCAGACGAAATGTTCCACATATATTAATGGATGAATATCAAATATAATAGAAAGAGAGTGTAATGGGGGTGTGATTTGTCAAAATGCATAGGAATATACTTCAGGTACCGTTCGTTTTTTCTCTCCATTCCATCAGACATCATATTCTAGTATTACATTTATTACAAGATCTTAAAATGTATAAATTGTTTTTTGATTATTAACAAAAAAAATCATTATGGTATTATCTAAATTCAGTAACCTGCAGTTGTGAGGTAGCTTTGAGGGTTTCTGTGGTAGTGAGAAACCATTTTGGATCGCTGTGTATGGTTTAAAGCTATTGTAATTGAATTCAAATGCTGAAATTTGATTGAAGTGGCATATGTACGTCCTTGTCTGTGCAAATGAAATTTCAAGTGTGAAAGAGTATCTCAAGAGTGATTGCTGCCAGTATACCTGTTCTGTACACAACTAGCATGCTTATTCCTGTGTGCTGCACTGTGTCTACCTCTATTGTTGTCATGGCATGTGACACAGCTGGAATTTTATTTATGATGTAAGAGATAATTAAGTTCAGATGATATAGGATTTGTCAATTGCAACTGGTATGTTGTGCTGGGTAAAAGTATGATAAAGCTGAACTTGTGGTATATGCATTAAAGCTTGTTGTGTGTAGATAATCAATATTTGTTCCAATTCAGAGGTTCAGTAATCTCTGCCCCCAAATGCACTCCTGCACATTGTTTGCATTGTTTAATGCAATTTTAATCAGAGAAGCCTCTTACATATCTGGGGAGTATTTCACAAAGACTAAGATCGACTTTAAGTTGGACTTAACTATGGCAGGCCGTACATGCCACTGTTTGCTCTCACCATTATGATCTTTAGATAATATTTTTTCCTTCAATAATGAATTATTAACAAATCTAAATTTAGTAGATTTGTGACAATGATTTGTAGTGTACGTCCCTTGAGAGACCATTGCCAGTAAATGGTGAGAGCAAACAGTGGCATGAACAGCCTGCCATAGTTAAGTCCACCGTAAAGTCGATCTTAGTTTCTGTGAACCCCCCCCCCCCCTCCTGTTGTCTTTTCTGAGCCAACAGGGTGTTAACTCCATCCTCTCACATAGAGTAATCGCCCTTCAGTCTCTTAATAGAGGATGTGCATAAAGCATACACATGTATGCTAACTATAACATTCCAGCTTTGAATCAGTGAAAAATTTGCTTACCAGTAAATTTTTATGCATCCAACAAAGTAAGGCCTAAAAAAAATAAATTGTATTGTCCTTTAGGTGCCAAAACATGGGTCGGTCAGTCAGAAATCTTTCTTCTTTTTTTTTACTCTCTCTTTGGGCTGATATTTCTCAGTTTTGAATGCTTTTTAATACATTTTTTTTCTAAAAAAAAAGGTTAAAGAAAAAATAATTAAAAAGCCATCGTAGATTTCAAGATTTTTGGGTCGGTCGCTAAGGGCAACACAACATCTTTTCTTTTTTTAGGCCTAATGTGATTTGCCGAGCAGGTCTTGACTCATCACATGCTTTAATGTACATGACAATGTCATTGTAACCAAAGATTTTGTTCATTATGTTTAATATCCAGTCATTAAGAAGGCTGGGTGACAATGTCTGTATATATGTATGTCTTGTCCAGGTCATGAAGTTGCTGGTTCAATAAATCATAAATAAGATTTTGTATGAGCATGGTAGTCGTTCTTTAAAACTTTAGTTGATAATAATAATAATAATAGCTAGTTCTTATATAGCGCTTTTCAGGCTGCGTGTGGCAAATCCTGATCACTAATTTAAATGATAAATACGATTTTGAGACTCAATATTTCATTTGCAGTCTGAGAACAGAAACAGGTACCCCCATTGTGAAGTTAAAGTAAATTGAGCAATTAAACAAGCATGATTTAAGACAAAAATTAACAATTTAAATCCTAGTGGCATGCAGACTACCGTAGGTTTAAAACCAATACAATTTCTAATAGCAGCTCCATGTAGTTTGATGAAGCTGACTAATACATGTAACGGTACATTCACCCAACAGCCTTGAAATAATATGTTACACTGTGCCAATTTAAATGTTGCTGTGAAATATATCTGATCTTCTGAGCTACAATGTACTTGTAGTCTTGTACTTGCAGTGTTGAATTGTTTTGGGTGTAATTTTTTAGCAAGATTTTGAGCATTCAGTTCATAGCAAGCATTGTGTTGTCTTTCATTAAATGTAATGTAGTTAGAACTTTTATATTTTTAGCGAGCGAAAAATCTTGCCTTGATTGTTGATGCAAGTCCATATGCTGTCCATGAAATAGAATTGTCTTTGATTGGTAGATTTAAGGATGGATACAATTTAGAATGTCTTAATTTCCCTAACACATGTAGATTACAAAGATTTTTACAAATTTCTCAACATATTTATGGCGTTGTGTCTGGCAAACTATTTAATTCATTTGATGAATTATACATGTGTGTGTGTGTGTGTTTATAAATGTAAACGTGCAGTGTATTTTTCTTTGTATTCATTACAACTATAAAGATACAGCATATAATGTAGGTACATTGTTTGAAGCTTTGTGTGTGCAGTCCATGTATTGCATTTGAAGTGAAAAAAAGACGGAAATTTTCTGTGACATTGAATGTCATGTTGAATTATATGTATGTTCATGTAGTTTGCTGTGCATTCTCAATCCTTGTTAATAACGGAAATCCATTATAAACCTACTGGAAAATAATACAATTTCATTTTTTTATTTATCTACCTTATTATACAACTAGTTTAGAGGAATAACCAATAAATTTGCTGTATAAAATGAGTTTGATATGTTCCTGAAAAGTTTGTGGTAATGTTTCTCCATGCCATGGGTGGGGGGGGGGGGGGCTGGATTGTTTAATCCTCTTGAAATCCATTTCAAAGCAATTTTTTTATTCTATGTACAATCATCTTTGCTTTATATATTTTATTGATTTCTGTATCTATTTTATTGGATTTTAACATGTCAAAACCCATTAAATTATAAATAATTTTTGTCAATAAAGATGTTAACCTCTGTTGGAATGTTTTATTTTCTTTAGGGAGTTTTTTAATGTCCTAGGGTAAGGTAATATTCCTAGGCCCCATGCACAATCACTTTTTTTGTAGAATCTGGGCAATTTTCAAATTTTTGTTTAATTGTGCCAACACCTTTTTTAATTGAACTGCGGTCACACTTGGTTGGATTGATGTAAAAAAAAATATAACAAATATGCCTGATTGAAATTTTGTGATTGTGGGCCGAAACATGATGGAAAATCCAATTTTTGTCAAAAAAGCCAAAGGGAATATTTGAAATATTCATGAAAATTGATATTACACCCAGTTTTGATGAAAGGAATTATGGATATACCGGTAGGCCCAATTGAAAATTTTCAATTTTAGGCCTAAAATGATGAAAACAGATAAAGTTTGTGGTTTTTGTCAAAATTTGTTTCCCTCTCATTTTCCCCGATACCTTTTTTTCAATGAACTTAGGTCATATCAATACCGTACTGAATGAATTAAATTTAACATGAATAGACCCGATTTAAAACTTTCAATTTTGGGCCAAAATGATGGAAAATGATGAATTTGCAGTTTTTGTCAAAAAAATCATGGAATTTTCCTCGATGCCTTTTGTTCAAGAAACTGGCCTCATATCAACCCTGGATGGATGAAAAAGACCCAATTAAAAGTTTTCAATTTTCTTCAACAAAAAAAAATGGGTAATTTTCAATTGATATTCATGAAATTTTCCCCAAAACCTAATTTTGTTGAACTGGGGTGTTGTCAACCCTGGATCGATGAAAAAAGATATTAACAGGCATAATTTAACATTTTCAATTTTGGGCCAAAAATGATGAATGTGTGTAGGCTACATCATTTTCCCTTGCAGTTTTTGTCAAAAAGTTGGCATTTGTAAAAACAAATATCACAAAATTTTCCCTGATGCCTTTTGTTCAAGAAACTGGGCTCATATCTACCCTGGATGGATGGAGAAAATTTTTTGTTTCAATTTTCAATTTTCGGCAACAAAAAAATGGAGATCTTTCAAAATCAATGAATTTTGCTCAAATTCCCTCGTTCAATGAACCGGTGTCACATCTACTGTCTGGAGTAGCCCCATGATCATCTCTGTGATGATAGTTTTCCCTTTGCCAGAGTATTCTGTAAGTATTCACCCAATAAATGACAACAACTTTAGACAAAAAATAAAGTTTTAATATATTTATTCTATTTTTCATGAGGCAGCCCAATTGCAAGTAAATTACTAAATACAATCGTTTGATATGGAATACCGGTAGATCAAAATTTCATTGTCACATTGAAATTCATAAAATATCTCTTATCTATTCGATCAAATAACATACAAACATTAAATTTCATGTAACTGAAATTACTCACATTTGGTGACAGTTTTCATTAAAAAAAATATATACACCCCTGTAAATACAGGTATAGGAAAATTGATGGAGTTCCACTTCACACAAAATTTCTGACTTCACATTCTTATGGAACTAAAATGACATCTGCTGATGGTAAAGAGTCCCAAAATCCATTCCCAATACATTAAAGAATCTCTTTACTTTAAGGAGAATCATCTCAGATTGATGTCATTATGACAATTATTAAAAAAAAAATTTTTTTTTTTACTTTTTGAAAAATGAACTCAAGGGTTATTTCAATGCTCTATTGTATCTCACACAGAAACCATTTTCAGATTATGTAATACATTTTACTCTGCACACAAGTTGGGAAAGAGAGAGATAGAGAGGGAGGAAGGTAAGGGAAGGGGTTGGACATGGAACAAAATGAGAGAGAAGAATTGATGGAAGAAAAAAAATATATAAAAACTTTACAGGTCATATGTTGATTCCATTAGAAAGTACCAATGCAGTATTATTAATTTCTTTTCTGATATATGTCTAGCGACAGACATATCTCTTACACAAAACATGAAATCAACCCATAATGTGGGTTAAACCTATTTAGAATGAAATTCCGGCGATGCATCACATACCGTACATGAACTCATCATTGATACCCTTTCTAAGGAATGAACAATTTTCTTATATTTAGCATATTATGTGATATACTAGACATGATGGTAATATAATTGATGGGTATGAATAATCTATATTTTAAAAAGAGATATAACCTTATTGCACCACTAGAAGAAAGTCCTATTGAACTATATAGTCTTGAAAATGAATAAATGAATAGAAAGAAAAATACACAAATAGTTTTTTTGTTATAATCTACATCTAACTCTCGGAGAGCAAGACATACAAAAGTAACAAGAATTCATTTACACATGAGGTTTGTAAGTACGATGCAAATGATAACTTGAAATACAAAAATAGCCCTTAATATACAAAAAATATATTCATCAGACAGGAGATATTTAATTCAAAAGTAATATTTAATTTAAAAAGAAAGGAAATTCCTTGTGGTAACACTACTCAAATCAATCATATTTCTTATTCACATAAAGCAGATAAAGGATATGTCGGACTTTTCATCGGTATATTGTATTCATAAGCAAAGCGTTAGAATTTTAGCAAAAATAAAGCTTTATTGGATTATATATGTATCTAAAAACATTAATGTGCACACTATATGTATTTAACAAACTGATCATTTGCAATTACTCAATATTCTTTGCATACAGTACATGTGTAAGATATCGTTAAGTGGTCAATCATTTTTATGCTGACTTTAGTGCTACTGAGTCCTAGGTCACCATTAATTCTTCCCAACAAATATAAAACAGTAAAAGCTGCAATATAAGTGCCGGTAGTAGTTTCTCTACAATGAAGTGTCACAGTTTTCCTCACTTATAAAATTTAGAAACTGTAAAGTCCATAGACAGGAAAGAAGCATCAGCCCCCTCCCCCCCCCCCCCCCCCTCGTCAAATGTGCTCATCTTTTCCCCCTTCCCCTTCCCAAAAGCTTAGACAACTACGACGGATAAGTAAGAGTATGTACATGACTGATATTTGGCCTGAAGAATATCACAAGGGAATTTAGTAGGGGGAAGTGTTCTGACAAAACTTTGTATTTTTGCCCCTAAATATCACTGTTTATAATTAATATCATCAATTGTTTCTCTTGCTTGACCTCATTTCTTGGAGGATTTAAGGCAGAATGATGATGAGATAAGTCGAACTTTTAAGTCAAACTGAACTCTAAGTTGGACTTAACAATTATGGAGAGCCATTTGTGGCCTTAATATGCATCTTGGCCCTGTTTCATAAAACGTGTTATCAACAACAGATGCTAAATTTCTATGGCAAATTTGCTCTCAGCCAATCAGATTGCATGATTTCAGTAGCTTATAACAGTTGTTGTAACTTGTTATTGATAACAAGTTTCATGAAACAGGGCCCTGAGCTACCATTGATCTTGGATAGCATGCAGGAAGTTGACTCTAGTCTTAAGCAGTGCACCAAGCAAGCTAACATCATGCAATTAGGCAATGTAAAGGGATTGGGTATCTTTGTCTCAGATTCTGAACAAAATCCTTGATTTAGCTCATGCTGCAATCATAATCATAAACCTCTAGGTCAGTCAAGAATCCCATCCCTTTTACAACCCGATCGCCTGTCTGATTATCATGATATTCATAATTGGAATTCGAAATTTCAAAAAACGTTTTCCCAACGATTTGTACAACACTACATTCTATTGGGAAAAACGAGTATGGTAAAACCAGTCACTCAAAGATTTTTTTACTTTATTAGGGCACTTTATGATTATTTTGAAGCGCAACTTTTTTAGGGCTTCAATATTACACCATATCACAGATGCAGATACCACCTAGGGCCTGCAACTCAGATGTGTAAAACTGGAAATATTGATAAACAATACCTTTAAGGGTCCCTCAGACATGACGCGGCATAACCGCAGCAGTTTTTTATGATGACATAAAGTGTAATATGCTTCACGTTTCTGTATTACACAGAGCTAAAAAAAAAAAAAAATTTGAAATGCCCCCTAAAAGCATCAAGGCATAGATCACAAAAATAGCACTGGGTAAAACAAAAACAACTGTGTGATATATCCAGATGCATGAGATAATGCAAAAATCTAAGCTAAAAGCAACTCTGAATTTAGTGTCGGTACAAAGGATTTTGTACAAACATAAAGGCCAAAGTTAAGGCTAGCTATATATCAAGCAAATGAGTCAGATTCAAGGAATCTTTAGATATGCCATGCATAAAAAAGAAAGGGGGGGGGGGGTCACAAATATAGTATAGTGCAGAAATTGGAGCTAAAAGCAACTGTGAATTGAATTTAAGTTTAGTGGTGCTTGTTAGTAAGCAACTAGTTTGTAAGAATTATAGGGTTTAGTAAAAAGATAAAAGCAAACCAGTTAGATTCAAAGAATTTCTAATAAGATTTATACCATGCCTAAAAAAGGACACCTAAAAAAGGACTCCAAACAGCAGAAGCAACCAGAGACGAGCTAAAAGTTCAGTAAACAGATCTACAAACACAAAAGCCAAGACATAATTTGAAAGGCTGTAAAGTGCTTAGAGACATCATTGATGTATTAAGCGCTATGTAAAAGCGGAATATTCATCTATACCATGCCTTGTTTGCACAGCTGATTGCGATCCATGCGTAACTTTGCATACACCATTCAGTAGATGTCGGCATCATCGTCAGGCATGGTGTTATTGTCTAAGATCATTATCAGTCTCTCGGAGTCAGAGTCTCTGGGTTTAGAGGCTAAATTATAAACAAAAAACAAAAATCAGGGATGCACGGGGCATGTATCAGAACTCACCACGTAACTGAGCACAGAACCAACGTCCTCCTACCAATATGAATGTAAGAATATTTAGTTTCATGTACAATGTATTGACTTAACCCTAAAATGACTGCCATGCTCCCCCCCCCCCTCCCCCCCCCCCCCCAATAAAAATTAAACAATTTTGTTTGTGGATACATCCTAGGGGATCTCCCCATGCAGATTCATGAAGAAGAAAAAATGATGTATACCAGTAGTAAAAAAAAAACTTAATCGTTTCATTAATGGAGGTCAAAATTTCAATATTGCAGCATTGTAATCCTACAAGACATGACATAACATAAAACGAATAAAGACTCCTCAACATGTTTGGATATTAATGCGTAGCTGTAAAAAAAATCCCTATTGTTTAATGTTGATAATAAACCTAACTCTAACCATAATTCTGACCCAGTGTATCAATAGTGCATAGTGGCCATATGAAGTCGGGCGTCTAGTGTCGGAATTCAGACACATGCTATGACAGCAATTTGCTTCAGGATACATTTTGTCAGAGATTTAGGGTTAGGGTTAGGATTAGGATTTCAATTGGGTTTTAGGTCTAAGGCTGGTTTTAGGTGCTAAAGCTATGGTCACAAATCTGAGCAGCGACTGACCGATCAGTAGCCTGCTCGGTCGCTGCTGGAATTTAGGCAACCACGGCGACCACCCAGGCACCGAGCGTATTTTGGGCGGCGAGTGAAAAGTGAGCAGGCGCCGCCCAAATTTTAACTCCGCGCTAAAACTTCAGCGGCGACCGAGCGATGCCCTATAAACGAGCGGTGCCTGGGCGGCCCCCACTCGGTGGCCGAGCAGAATTGGTTAAAAACTTGTCGCTTGGCCGCCGAGCAGGCTACTTTTGGGTAATGTGACCATAGCATTAGGTATGTCTATAGTATTTGGTCCAGGGCTGAAGTTAAGACTTATGTTAGTACAGGATATTGACTGTGGGACAATTGCCACAGAAGAATGAGCAGTGCCTGGTGGGGTCACCTATACTGCATTGTGTGTGCATATCACTTAGAAATTTCACCAAAGAACTATAATTTTCTGAGATGTTCATGAACACTTAAATGTTCATGGTTTGTTTCAAAGACCATGAAATTTCAAGAAAAAGGGAGATTTATTTCAAGGAGGAATCTGTGACTTGGAAAACATAATGCAATAAATTTCGCAAAAATAGGCTAGGTTTTGTGAATTTGTAGTCAGTATTAAAAACCACAAAGGGTAAAGTTTAGAGCACATTTTGTATCTGTTTTGGGACAACAAAAAAGAGTCAAATTTTGCTGACAATGTTCTTGAAAGACATGACTCTGCCAAAGACCATTTGTCACCCCTTTGAATTTAAAGTTAGTACACCAACAGGGTGTTTTATAACCATAGAGTACCGAAGCTGTGACATCATAAAAATTTATTTTTAGAATTTTTCAATTTGACTTTTCCAAAAGAGCATCAAAAATAATGTCCCAATGTCGAAAACAAATTGAATTATTTATTCAAATGGTCATATCTAGGCCAATACTTCGATAGATTTTTGACATTTGGTAATCATTTTTTATGCTCTTTCAGAAAATGAAGTTCAAATTGAGAAATTTTAAAAATATTTTTTTGATGACGTCACACTTCACCACTCAATTATGGTCATCAGCCAAACACAACCAACCTTGTCTAGGCAATACATATACCCCCCAAAATAATAATCTATAGCAAACTCTAAAACATGTATATATACTATATTCCAAAGATATCAAATAAAATATATAATCAAAGATGAATCACACACTATTCCACATGATTCTACTTATTAAAAGCAGTAGCAAATAATCAGTACGTTATCTAATTGTGCATGCTGAATACAGCTCTCATTCATAAGGCAATATTTATTCAATCATCATTAATATATTCTTATGTACAATATCCAATTCATCCTGGCATCTATATGACCACAATGATTCTGAATTTGTTTCTGGCAAGCAGCAACATTTCTTTTTCTGTATCACTGTAGGAAAACTTGACCTTACTGTTTTACATTTCGATGTTAATTCTTGTTCAACCATCAACATTAGCGATGATTGAATGATTGAGAAATTAAAGGATTAATCATGTTAATCCCTAGTTCGACTCTTGTAGATTTGCATAATAACTTGCATTCGTCGCCCTCAAAACTGATGCATTACTAAAAATAAACCTGATCTGCTCTTCTCGAATAACGTACCGGTCGTTTTGAAGATTACCATGATTCTGCTTGATGAATTAATCAATCATGAAAGTAACATGCCAAAATTCCAACTCCCAGAAAAAAGGGAGATCAATTTGTGCTAATGTTCAAATGGATTTGCAGTATTCAACATCACCCAATATGCAAGGTACAATCGATTGCGAGTTATTAGAATGTCATCAGAAGGTCACAAGGTCATTAAAAGGTCACGAGGTCATCAGAAATTAACCAGAAGGTCATCAGAAGGTCATAAGAAAGTCATTGCAAGGTCACAGAAAGTCATCAGAAATGCACAAAAAATACAGTACCAGTACCTCAATAACCTGGATCATTGCTTATAATAAGTTCTGAATTGAGCGCATTGATATCAACTAGCTCAGCCATGGGCTGGTATTCGTTCTTACATGCTTTCTCCCTCGGCGGTATCAGCAGTAGAGTCCCTAGTCCCATGCATATGTGCCACGTGCTGTGAACGATGTAGTAGTTGCTCTCCGTCTCCAGTGCCGCGTTGACCGAGAGACCCAGGACGGCCAGGAGGGTCCCGGGGACGATGAAGAAGAGCCAACGCCGCCAGGAAGGGTACAGTTTCCGCCGCTTGTACATTCTTATACCCTGAATGCAGAAAAACAGATAGGAACATGAACAGCATTTAGGGATAATAACATTTGATGGGCAAAATTACAAACCCAACCAATGAAAATGTGATCAAACATACCAAGAATATAACTGTAAAAACTGTGTACACAGGTATCTACAGTAAGTCCATTTAATCTTAGTGAATAATGATGGCAGCCTACCTCTGTCTGCAAACAGTTGTGACAGATAAATGTAAGCTTTTGTAAGTACAAAATAAGGATTCCTATCTATTAAACAATGAAAAAATATAACAATATCAATATATTATGTTACAAGATTTTACCACCTGGCCACAAATTCTAATAACTATAATAATGATGGAGGTCCATATATATCATATTTCACAAATATTGCATCTTAATCCCACAAAAAAATAAAAGTATTCAGAATCTTTCCTCTACCCTGACACTTGATCTAGAGCCTGTACTCACCCACGATATGGCAAGGATAAGGATACCTGCTCCTAAGGGTACTGCTATAGACCATAGACTGAATCTATCCCACTGAGCGAAGAAGGCTAAAACATATACTCCTGACAAAGACAGAAAGAGATGAGATTTGGTTAATGAATGAATGAAATATCAATTGAAAACTGTAATTATTGGCAGAATAGTAGATGCAGTTGAATTAATCTGGTGCAATGATGCTGCAGGCCCTGTAACACAAAGCTAAGCATTTGGTTGTACGTTTGATTGTACATTGCGATCAAAGTAGTCAATCATACAATCAATTACTAAGCTTTGTGTTAATGGGCATGAAGAAAACATTGCATCAGATTAATATCAATATATGAACAAGATTTTGCAGCTTGGTCACTATATAACTGTATATCGATCAGTCAAGGATTTCAACCTCTTAATTGAAAGTCTAATAAATGAATCATTACATAAATTGTTGATTGCAGACTTATAGACATACTGTACAGTCAGCACAGGAATCTTGATCTACAAACCTACCTACGATATGTATTGTAGCTTTGAGTGAACGAGGTAGTCTTGCCATGGCAATCAGGATGAGAAGAATAGACATGAATGAAGCGAAGAAGTCACAGAATTGAAGGGTGTCGTAATCTGTGATACAAACAGGACTGGAGTCACAGGCGTGGTACATCTGCAAAACCAAGAAGATAAAATTGTTGAAAACTAATTTTTGGTAAAAGTACATGTATGTTACAGTTACACCAATATATCATTTATACAATTACATATGAACATTCAAAGCAATACCTTTTGAATCGTCATACATTCACTATTGTGTTCAAAGCTCATCTTGATAATATGTGATCTTAAAGCCTACCTGCACTAGTTTGGCCAGGAGGGACTAGACCTCCCTGCGTGGTCACTGACAGGTGGTTATCTCATCAAATCAGCTCTCAATTAACATAAGAAAAAGGGGATCATGGGGGACCAACAGGTACTGCTTACATGTAAGCATTCTTTGCTATATATAGGGCGCAAGTAGCTACAAGTAGTGCAGTCCCACTTTAAAGTACTGCAATATAATAATCTTGATTGATATGTTCTATCTCAATAAAAAATTACACATATAAGTCAAATCTAAAATTCTACATTTTGGGGGGGAACTAGCAAATAACGTGTAAAACCATTGCATCGTTTTACATTTGGAATTTTCTTTTTTCAAGTTTCTTACAGTGCTAGTTATTATAACTTGGCTAACGGACCAACATCAACACTTGAAAGACTACATAACATACATATACATACACTGAAGGAGAGTTAACAGTTCTGATTTGTATTACTACAGAAAACTTAATGATTACATTTTTTTTTCTCCATATTTTTCCCTCCACAGGGATTTTATTGATTTTCATTCGAAACAAATTAACGAATATATATTCAAGGTAATTTATATTTATAACATAAATAAAATTGGCTTCTCAAGATACAAGTATTGTTGGACTGTTGAGTTAACAGAAAACTACAAATCTTCAATAATTCATTTCTGATATTATAAAGAAAAACAAAATACAGAAAAATATAATTTAATGTAAACAAATTCCTGAATTGAAACCATTTTCTTGTGAATTTCAATGATGAAATGGTAGCATCCAATTCTTACCGTTGAAAAGAAGCAGGTGGCCAGGAATGACACAGCCTCAGGAAAGTGGTGCCGATAGAGACAGAGGAGCGCATCACACAAGAATACTATGTTGCTCAGGGTTACAAAGAGGACCTTGATGAGGAAGTTGGAGGACGAGACTTCATCATCATCTGTACAACTCCATCCTCTATAACCTTCAATTGGAAGAGAAGCAGAATAATAACAATAAATTAGGATAATCATAATGATGATGGTATTATTATCATCACCATCATCCATCATCATCATTATCATCATCATCATTATCATCCTCATCATTATTATCATGGCTCTTCTTATTATTATTATTATAATTATCATCATTATCATTGTTAGTAGTAGTAGTACATGTATTAGTAGTAGAATAATCATGATGATGATGATGATCATCATCATCATCATCGTCATTATCATTATTATCATTGCTATTATTATTTGTCATTGGTGGTGGTGGTGGTGGTAGTAGTAGTAGTAGTAGTACATGTAGCAGTAGTAGTAGTAGTAATGTCATCATCATCATCCTCATCATCAATGGTTAAGAATTAATCCTCAATACCAATCCCTCAGATATGACCTAACGCCATAAGTCGATAGATTAAAAAAACTTACCATCAGAACAGCGGCAGGCATAGAATTGAATCCCGTCTTGGTGATGGACATCACAGCGACCGTGAGGACCACAGTTACCAATACATGAAGTCATCATCACCCTCATCGCAATACTCAGATTGGCATGGCAAGGAACACGCTCTTCTGTTAGACTGAAATAACAATAATCAGGACATTATACTCAAATCATCAAGAACTGACTTCACTTTACGACAGACAGGTCTTGTGTAATGCACTGTGCCCTAGCCTAGCCTACCACCCTATGGATTTTCACCATGTACATCAAATTTCCCTCACCCTGCAGATATACACTGCAGGCAAGTTGGAGTATTTTCTTGTGGAACCACGGGTTCCCTGCTTCAGAAACCTTTGCACACACAGATACCAATCGTGGTCACAAATCTACAGAATTTACATCTTTTGATAGTTCATTATTGTAAGAAAAAATATTATCTAAGGATCATAATTGAGAGACCAGTGGTAAGAGCAACTAGTGGCATGAACTGCCTGCCATAGTTAAGTCCAACTTAAAGTTGATCTTAGTCTTTGTGAAACACTCCCCCAGTGTCAGCAAACTATGATGCAATACAGATGGACAATGACTACTACCGGCATGTAGCTTTAACATGCCAAACATGACAAAGATATAGGGCATTACCTGTTTAGCTCTGTACATGTCGCATATTGTGCCGCATACCACGTACCAGCCGATGGGAATGGATAGTAGAAAGACGCCACAGAGTTAGCATCGATGCCCTCAGACATCATCATGTCCTCGTCACAGTCCAGGGATGTACCATTCCAGAATGGGGGTGTGTCCTTCTTCAGGCACAAGGTGGAGGTGATGTTCTGCGCCTGTGACAAAAGATTCAATTCATGCATTTTATAGTACAGTCAAACCTGTCTACAGCGACCGCCCAAGGGAAACACAAAAAGTGGCCTTTGTAGACAGGTTCCTGTAGTACATGTTTCAATGAGAAACCATTTTCAAGGGAAACAAAAAATGTGCTTGTTTTAGACAGATGGTCTTTGTAGACAGATGGTCACTAAAGCAGGTTTGACCGTACATATATATCCTACAATTTGCAGTATTCAAAGCTTTCATTCTAGGGGTAGTTCTTTCAAATATGTAAATAGTAATGAATAATAACAATGCTATAATTCACTGATAGGCACTGGATAAGAGAATGCTTGTGCCTAAAAGTTAGCCACAAAATCTACTGCATTAATAAAGTACTGCATAGGTTTAATTTCATAATAGTTAGTCCCCAAGTTACAAACATTTTTTACAAATGTGAATTCATGTTTCAAATATGGCTCCTCCTCATAAATTGTTCACTCTACACAGTGTTCCATGGGAAGAACAAAAACTAAATCCCTTTTAAATTTTCAGGAAACACAATCTCTTCTAATTCTAAAAAGGCTGCAATCAAGTAAAGAGTTTGGAAGGTACATGTATTTACAGCCTACAGCTGTGAGAGGGTTAACAAAAGAAGTCAATTACCAGAGATGGCACATCTATGACATTGGAGTAGAGCTCAATGGTTCCACCAAGATCATCCACACCGAGTTTGAAGGTTGCTATGAAAGGTTCATCGCGGCTCGGGTAGTACAACATCTCCGTTAAATTGATCTGGTTACTGAAGAACTCCTTGGCCACACTGCCATTGAAGTAGTTCACCGACAGAGGATCCACCACAGGACAAAGGGCGATGTCCTCTGCGGGTGCAGGAGTGGTCAAAGGCACACTGGTTGTAGGTATAAGGGTAGGGGTAGTACCGGTAGGTGAAGCTGTTGTGACGTTGGTGAGGTTGTTTGTTTGAAGGGCATTGTCAAGGTCATTTGTTTGAAGGGCGTTGGCAAGGTCACTGATGATGGTAGTAGTTGGTTCAAGCAGGGTGCCAAAGTCAACAGGGTTTGGGAGGAGGGAGGAGGAGAAGTCTGCATTGGTCTCAGAAGGAGTTGGTGGTGACGGCTTCACTGGATGAGCCTCTGACAAAGGGTCTTGACAAGCTACAGTGAAAGAAAGAAATTGCTTTTATATTTATATTTACAATTATAATCAATGAGTAGTTTCATGCAATAGGCCATTAATCTCAATGAAACATCGCAGTAATTTGAGTGATACAGTGTTAAACCATTTCCTTCTTCTTGTACTGTACTTTGGTACAATAGGTCCTTTATCTTAATGAAACATCACGATACATGGAGTGATACATCATGCAGTGTAAAACAACTTATCATCACAATCATAACTAAAATTGCATATGTGTACATGTATAGTACAAACCGGATAGGTCGTTTTAAAGAAAATTCCATCACATCTGTTAAAACAGGGTAATGGCAAAGCAATTAATCATAATATTACTGAAAATCCTAATCATCATGGATGTTCCTTTCAAAGAAGGGGCAGCTTTCCATGGGAGCATTTAGAAAACAAAATATTGTCTTACTTGTAGCATTGACGGTGATAGTGATGTCCACTTTGAGATGCTGATCATCCGACACCTTGGTGACGTTGAGATAGTACCAGGTGTCCCTCATAGCAGGAGATACATACAGGGAACATCCGCTGAAGTTGCCTTCCCCGCCGTGCAGGCAGAGGACGAACGGAGACTCAAAGTCAGGTAATCTCTCTGGCTGGACAAACATCCTAACTGGACAGGATTGCTTGAGGGATTTGTTGGACGACCAGGCTTCACACTCCTCAATGAAAAAGGATATGGCGGCCATATTGGATTCTACATAGAACCTGTAAAAGAGAATTGTAAAATTGTAAAGAAATATATTTGGACTGATTTCTTTTCTCGACCGGAGTATGATATTCAACATTCCTGCCATCCAGATTCCCTTCAACAGTTGGGGGAGGGGTTAACAGCAATTTTTCCTGAACCACTCTGCTTGCCACTCCTCCCCCTCCCCAATCCAGGTTCACCATGATGATTCAACTGTAAAGCCTTTAAACCCCATTGCGCCACTTATAGATACTTGCGCCCTCTATATAGCAAACACTGCCTAAGCGGTGACCGTTGGTCCCCCATGGTCCCCTTTTTCTTAGGTTAATTGAGAGCTGATTTGATGAGATAACCACCTGACAGTGACCATGCAGGGAGGTCTAATCCCTCCAGGCCAAACTAGTGCAGATAGGCTTTAAAAATCTCTTCTAACTGGGATGAAATCAAACAATAGTATTCACTATTTTTATATTATGATACCAAAGTAAAATATGCTACAAAAGCAAGGAAATAAAATGAAGATCATTATGGCCTGTTTTAAGCCACATTTATTACCTAATTTTGTTCAAGGGACACATGACGGAGGGCATAAAAAGAAGATAAAGTTCCTACAAATTAAATGACAATGATTTTGCTCAAATTTCTAAATGTTTTCTTTTCCCCTGTCATTTCAAACTATTCAGAAATTCAAACGGCTGACCTGCCCATGTTGAATAGAACCATAAATAATGACGAGGCCCTAACATTCTAAATGTATATCTGCGTCATGCATACAATGAGGTGGTCTTATGTGTGACATCATCTTCAAAATGAGCTTACTTGTACAAGACATTATTTGAGTCTTCAGCTAAGGTGACCGCTGCACTGCCTGTGCTGCTAAGTGTTTCTAGGTGTGTTAGTCTGTCATACGTCATGATGGAGTTAGCCAGGTAATGACAGCTGGTACCCAAGCCCTGGAGGGAAAGAAAGCAATAAGAAAAGCTGAACATAATACATACCTGCCAACATTTGAAAATAAGAATTAGGAATTTTTAGCACGGTATGCCTTCAAAAAATAAGAAATCGCACTTGCAGCGGCAGTGTAACTGGTATTAAATACGCAGTAAATCTGTACCAAAAAGCGAATATAAATTCGCTGCTTGATCATGCAGCCATTCAACACACGCAATATGTGAACTCTAAAAATCGTGGCACATGATAAAACAAGCTTAATTTGGCTTTAACATTAAAAAAAAAAAAAAAACGGATTATTCAGATTTTTTAGGTCCTAAAAATCCGGAAAATCAGAATATTCCATATTATAGCAGGTATGCATAATATCATGGTATATATATTTTGTACCCCCTAACATATTTCTATGATAGTCTCGCGGTAACTCTCACCTCATACCCAGGATGTTAATAGGAATGGCGGGTAGGAAGAAAAGAGACAAGACTGTCACCACTTTTTTTTCTCTCAATTAGTTGAAATGAATAGCTCAGACCAAAATTTCTCACATACATTTTTAACAAGAAGATGGCAGAAAATAATCAGAAAGCAATAGAGAGCCTGACTATCAGAAGGCAAAGAAAACGCAACCAGAGCACTCATATTTATTCCGACCTCTTTCAAAACATTCCATGATAATTCTCTAAAAATTACTCAAAATGTTCAAACAGGTTATTTTCCAACATTGAATGACACGTTCAATCAATAATCGTTCAGATCAAGCTCAGAAGAAGACTCTATACAAATATTGAACTTTCAGAATATATATTTGATTCACAAAAAAAACAAAAAAACCTACCGCTTGCTGTATCTTGTTGTCTTGTTTCTTGCGGTAGACTGCTATAAACCAGTCCCCTTGACGAACCCTGAGGGACTCCAGGATAAGGGATGAGCTCCCTTGAGGGATGGTGAATGAGAGAGCCCCCGATACGGCGGTGTTCTCAGGAAAGCTGGTGTTGTAGGGGTTAATGATGGGAAGACTACCAGCCTCCATCGCTCTGTTTTCAGAGAAATTTAACAAAATTGAAGAAAAAAAAAAGATAAGCATATATAACACATACATGATTTTGTACAATTTGCCATTCCGTTCTTACTGACCACGAAGTGGGGATGGATCAACATACATGTAGGCAGCACCATATTTATGCTACAATGCTCTACGTCGTAAGATTGAACTCTGTCCTGAGTGAAATAGTTATGGGTACAGTTATGGGTACACTGAATATACAGTGACATTGTGAAGGTCGTTCCCAATGAAGATATTTAACAATACACAAATGCATGTTTAAAAATTAAAGAACCCACATTAGACTCTGGAAGGTTCATTTGTGAATTTCTTTTTGTAAAGTCCTTTTTTTTTTTTTTTTTTTTTTTTTTTTTTTTTTTTTTTTTTTTTTTGGCTGCGCGCGCTGGTGGCTGCCCGCCCACACTGCACTGCTCTCTGATTTATCACTGATTTTGTTGTTTTCATTTGTCATCTCCATTTCTATTTTTGATATTTCATTATACTTATATCCTGGATATTACTAGTCAAATTTGGAAGCATTTAGGTCAGTATTTTTGATGTACTTATTCTGTGAAGTTTTCGAGATTGCTTGAGGTTGTACTCACACATACAGTACACAGTAGAAGCCATGTTATACACATGTCATAGTGTAGTTGGTTTGTTCACTCATGCGTAAAGTCTGTGCTGACTTTCTTTCTTTGTTTGCTTTGAATAGACCTGTACTATTACAATGAATCTCACCACTTCAGTAGCTTTTGTGTGCTGTGTGGTCATGTTGTACTGTAAGTGTCATGTAATGCAACAATGGTGTCATGCTTCTGATCTGGTTTCTGATCCACATGTACAAAATGTTCCCTACATGTATTTAGAAGCTAGACCTGATGTATATTCGTTGAAGTTGAAATTGAAGGGAAAACATTTTTGTGCTCCAGTACAGTTATACGCTAACAGTGTATCCACTTTTCAGATTTTGATATTGTTATCTGGCGATGTGAATCCGAACCCAGGCCCTGTCACACATAACTCGGCCTCCTCGGATAACGATAACAGTACAAGGTATTCTATATCATACAAGTATGACAGTAAAACACTTCACTCTTTTAATTCGCGTTCATGCTCGCTACTGTGGCGTGAACAGAATGAGGAATTATGTAATATGATTATGTCTTTAGGTATTAACAGACATGACATAGGGCGGAAGACACATCGAGGTATGAAGGGGGGCCGTGATCCTTTTAATAACAACCTCAAACTTGGTATGTTGAATTGCCGTTCTGTTCGTAATAAATCTACCTTATTAGAGGAATTTATTATTGACCATAGTTTAGATTTTACATGTGTTTGCGAAACTTGGCTAACTGCATCAGACGATGCAGTGATTGCTGATCTTTGCCCTCGTGGTTATCTGTTCAAGCACCATCCCAGAGCTGCTAAACGTGGCGGCGGGGTCGGCTTTCTCTACAGGGACAGTCTCCACGTCGATATTAGTCCAACAGGCAAATTCGAAACATTTGAATCAATGTCTGGAACTGTATCTGGCGGCTCTACACAGGTTGACATTATAGTCATATACAGACCACCAGGATACCAGTCTTTCACTCAGTTTCTTATCGACTTCTCTGCGCTTCTTGATGAGAGGTTGTGCAAACCATACCCACTTTTGATCACCGGAGATTTAAACATCCATCTAGATAACACTTCATCCCAGCATACACTCAGGTTTGTGGACCTTATTAACAGTCATGGCCTATCCCAATTGGTTACATCTCCGACTCACGACAAAGGTCACATTCTGGACGTCGTTCTGGTGCGCAATTCAGACAATTTGTCAATTTCGAAGCCAAGTATCGTTCCAGGTATATCAGATCATGCTGCTATCACTTGTGTACTTCGCTTCACTAAGCCTGCACGCAGCGACAGAACATTTGCTTCCCGTAATATTAAAGACATAAACAGGATAGCCTTCGCGAAGGATGTTGCTGAGAGCGACATTATGCCCTTAACGTCAGAGAGTGTCAACACAGCTACTAGTCGCTACAACACCATTCTTTCTTCGCTCCTCGATATTCATGCTCCTGCCAAGATCCGCAAGGTTCGAGACCGTCAGGACAATCCCTGGTACAACGGCGAGATTACTGCTGAGAAACGTAAACGTAGGCAGCTTGAGCGGAGATGGCGATCTAACGGCAAGCTTCACATTGACAAAGAGATGTTCCGTGCGCAACGAGATTTCACGAACTCTCTCGTCGAACGAGCCAAACGTTCGTACTTTGTCGGGCTAATCGATAAATGTGGACATGACTCTAAGAAACTCTTCTCTACGGCCAATCGTCTCTTGAATCGGAAACAGAACTCTCCACTTCCAAGACATTCTGATAGTAAAGAACTGGCTCAAAGATTTATTCAGTTCTTCCGCTCCAAGGTTCAGAAGATCCAGGACAGTCTCACTCCTGACTTAACTCCACCTGATCCTGTCACGTCAGCATCCCTCGAGACGATTCAACCTACCACCTCCGATGAGATACAATTACTGCTTCATAGATTGCCAGCTAAGTCGTGTAAACTAGACCCTGTCTATACTGTTCTCATTAAGGATTGCTCCTCTTCATTTGCATCTGTTATCTCACAGATTGTCAACTTAAGTATTGTTCAGGCATGCGTACCTTCTGTTCTTAAAACGGCACACATTCTTCCTTTACTGAAGAAACCCAATCTTGATTCTGAATTACTAAGTAATTACCGTCCAGTTTCTAATCTCCCGTTTTTATTTAAAATACTTGAGAGGGTGGTGTTCTCTAGATTAAATGATTACTGTCTCGATAATGACCTCCTTGACCCATTTCAATCTGCATACCGTCCCCACCACAGTGTAGAAACCCTCCTTGTTAATGTATCCAACTTTATACTCCAGGAGATGGATGGCGGAAAAGTAACTGCTATGGTACTCCTTGATTTGTCTTCCGCCTTTGACACTGTTAACCACACTGTTCTGGTGAATACCCTCATGTCACTCGGTATTAAAGGTCAAGCCCTGGAATGGTTTAAATCATACCTGTCATGCCATTCTCAAGCTGTCTTGATAAACGGCTACCTTTCAGATTTTGTACCACTTACATGCGGAGTTCCACAAGGCTCTGTGGGCGGGCCCACGCTTTTTTCGTTATATTTAACGGGTTTGAAGAGTATTTTTCATCGCCATTCTCTCTCTTATCATGTTTATGCTGATGATATTCAAATATATACTTCTTTCAAACCCAATCAGAGCAATGCAGCCAGCGCTATCCATAACATTGAGACTTGTGTACAAGATGTTCATAATTGGTTAAACTCACATTCACTGAAATTAAATCTCGCCAAATGCGAATTTATAATGTATGGTTCTGAGACTCAGTTAGAGAAGATTTCTTCCATCACTTCAATTACTCTTGCTGGACATGAAATTACCCTATCTAATGTATGTCGCAACCTTGGTGTGTTTCTCGACTCAAACATGAAAATGTCTACTCAAATTCAATATGTCTCAAAATCAGTACGTTATCAGTTACGCAATTTGGGTTTTATTCGTAAATATCTTAACCGTGGTGCCACCGAGAAAATTACTCATGCTTTGATTTCTTCTCGCTTGGATTTTGGTAATGGCCTTTTGTTTAGTTCGCCTCACAACCTACTCGCAAAATTACAAAGATTACAGAATGCTGCTGCTCGTGTCGTGACCCTGTCCAACAAGTACAGTCACATCACACCAGTCCTCAAATCACTCCATTGGTTGCCCGTAGAAAAACGTGTTGTTTTCAAGATTATTTTGCTATTATTTCACTGTATACATGGCTCTGCTCCGCAGTATAACATCGGCTTGATTAAGCATTACTTTCCTTCTAGACAGCTACGTTCTCAAAACTCTGGCTTACTTGTTACTCCTAGGGTTAAAACAAAGTGGGGGGAACGAACCTTCGCTCATGCTGGGCCTTCGTTATGGAATACTCTCCCTCAATGGGTTAAGAATAGCAGTTCTGCTGAGGTGTTAAAAAACAATCTTAAGAAATATCTGTTTAATTTAGCTTATAATTGATTACCATTACCTTTCATGTCTGTACCTTTCCTATCGCACTTTGTATAAATGTATCATGTATGTATTTCATCTTTTGCACAAGCTGCGCCTTGAGCATTTGACTGTCAAGTGGATTTGGCGCCTTATAAATCATATGTATTATTATTATTATTATTAATGCAACAGAAGAGATACTTTAAATCTCTGTAACCGTGATCGATAATGTCAGACATGGTCTAAATTATCAAAAACTCTCAAAAATGTCATCATATATATGTGGGGGTGGGGTCCTTTTAAAATATGAATATATTAAGGAAGAAAAATACAGAAGCTCAATTGTACATGTACATGCATGAAATGAGGACTACCTGTTTTATAAACTTGTTATCAATAACAAGTTTCAATACCTGTTACAGGGCCTGTTATAAGCTACTGATATCATGACATTTGAAAGGCTGAGAGCAAATTTGTAATAGAATTTTAGCATTTGTTATTGATAACAACTTTTATGAAACTGGGCCAAGGTCTCTTACACTATATAAAGGAGTATAATTGCCTGAACCCGCAGTATTCTATAGTTCCTAAGATAGACACACAGAAAGTGATTTCCTAGTAAGAACTTGGGTTACATATTACATGGAAAGGTTGGGTCTGGAAGAAACTGTAGTTGGAGTGGTACAGAGAAGTGGGTTGAGATAGATGAATCATACATTGAGAAGGGAACATGAGGAGGGTGCTCGAGACAAGAAGAAGTAAAGGGAGAGAGTGTCATCATGGCGCGAAAGTCAGTACCGGTAACCCCTTGTAAAAGGAAATGCTCAATTTAATAAATGATGATGATGATGATAATGATGTACATGTATATTGCTAGTATGTTGTCCTGACATACATGTAAATAGTTCCATCCTCTTGTTTAATGTAGAGAATGACATTGACTTTATCCCTATTGTGGTATTTCTCCTACTGTAGAAGCCTTCAGGTCATGTAGCAATTATAAAAATGACCTTTTCTCCCCAAGCATGTCTTATATGTACAATACAATTAAACTTTGTAACATATTGAAAATACACAATTTTTTTTTTAAAGCCCGTCTGCACACGATTGGCCAGGGTGAATTAGACCTCCCTGCAAGGTCGCTGACAGGTGGTAATCTCATCAAATCAGCTCTCAATTAACATAAGAAAAAGGGGATCATGGGGGACCAACATGCACCAATTAGGCATTGTTTGCTATATAGAGGGCGCAAGTAGCTATAAGTAGTACGATGGGGCTTTAAATGCAATTGCATATATGCATAGAAATATAGTATTTAGACATGTAAAGCTTGTATTTACTAACAACACCAAGACCCATGAATCTGTGTCTAAACAATTATATACCTCATGCACCCAAATATGCATTTCACTAGGTTTATCAAATTACAGTGATCATTATAATACTACAGTACATGTCTAAATTAAACATCCGAAGACATCATATCACATTACAAATTTGATACTGCTAATCCATGACAGCAGCCTAAGTGGATCAATTGTTGATCCCGCCTCACTAACTGATTGCTGTGTTGTTGCCAAGTAGCTAACAGACATGACTCATGACGTACGTCTACTAGAGTTCACATGATGTAATAGGAGGATGTGTGACTGTGCATCGTGTGCCACATCCCTTAAAGGTACTATGTCCCATTTGCAGCCAACATCAAATTCTGTAGAACTTGCAGGAATTATGAATATGTCACATATGTCCTATCTGTGAAATTTAAACGTTAGCCATGTCCTAGTATTCAAAGAAACCCATTTACTTTCTAGACTTCACTGTCAGACACTATTAAGTAACTGACTGACTTCTTTGTTCTTTGGTAATAAGATACATGTACATAAAATGATCTGTAACAGGTACTTGAGCATAGATGTGTCTGTACTTATCAATAACCCACTACTTGTAATGGCCAAAATTAAACTGATTGAATCTTTGTGCGGCACGAAATGTACAACTATTTGTTAAAAGGGTCTGAAAATAAGTCGATTCAACAACTAATGAACGTTATTTTCCTACTAAAAGTCATTTTCAAGCCCTTTCGTTTTGAGGGAAGTTCTGAAGTAGCATCATCTTTCAAATGCTGTTGGATTTTTACCGTTTCATTTTTTGGCCTGCAAAAGAGGATTATGGCCAGAAACATTACACCAAACGTTAGAAATATCATCCCTGAAATGGATTCATTCCACAAACTTTCTGTGTACAATACATCTATCACCTTTCTATGGTTTCTGCAAACAATATACCCATTATCCATGGTACACTGCACTAGGAAAGTTTATTATGTACATTTTTATTTATTTCATGGCATATTCTGGCAATTAATTATCCGACTTGGAGTCCATGTATGCCTTGTTCTATGCAAGTGCATGTGCATGTATTAACTAGTCTACTCAACAAGATATTTTACTGTTCACTGAGAGTGTACTTGTAGTAACTAAATGTCATGAGTTTTAACTATTATTTTGCATGTGTAATAACGTTCTACAAGTGTTATGCATTTATTTGTACATGTTTCATGTGCATTGCTTTCCCGTTTTTAGAATGGCCACTAGGGAGACCTAATTTCCCTTGTGTGGTATTTTGCCACTCCGCCTGTCCAAAGTTCAAACTCGTTCTCTCTGGTTTGTTATTAATAATACAAAATTCTTTTGTTACGTAGATTTGCCATTATTACGTAGACTGTTTATTATTGTACCGCACACAGGAGATCAATTGCTCTCTTTTTATCCAGTGATCACTTTTATTTTTGTGTTGGTTATTGACGACTAGGAGAGTTGTCAACTCTCTTTGACAATTGTACATTGTGTGTATTTGTTGTGTGCCTAAAGGATTATATGAACCTTGATTATTTGTTTTGATTATCCATATTAACTCACAGATATTTAATCATAGATTTTATTGTTGAATAGTGTGGTTTTTCTCGGGAGATCATTAAGTTAAAAGGCAGACCCAGGGAAAACAAACAGAGTGCTTTAACTGTGATTGATTGTGTGCATGAATTTATCCCAGATAATAATTAGAACATGATTGTTGTTATATCCCTTTTTGGCATTAAATATTCGCATTCATAGCTAGTTACATGTACATTTATTGACAAGACAACAACCCACCTGGGAAGTTCCTACATACATATTCAAACTATAATATCTCTCTGTAGAAGTACTATTTGAAGCTTGTATTTTGAATACAGTATACCGACATGGAACCTCTTTAATACATCAAGAGCAAAACAGGTTTTGGTGATTGGTGCACTTTAATATTTGGTTTTATCCATTTGAGAGATGCTATCAGCTTTATTACCAGCATATAATATTCATAAAAGAATGATACATGCCAATAATAACTGAAACAACAACAACACAAAAACAAGTACAATGATATCTAATTATCTATGATGTCAACATTCAGTACCATACAAGACAAAGTACCCTGGACTTTAAACCTTTTTATATATATTCTTTACCTTAAATATGTAGGCATTACTAATAGACAGATGCATAACATGTTACATGTATGTGTATTCGCAATATACAACAATATTATCAAATTAACACCAATTTTTTTGTTGATTAAAAAAAATAATTTTTGGTTGAAACAAAAATATGTTCAGACTACTAGCATTCAAAGAAAAGTAAACATGTTTCAAATTAAGAGTTTGAGAAGGTAAATGATAGGATACTTACACATTGATGTCTATATCATCACAGTCGGGATGACTGACGACTTTGTTCACATACCACTTGGCATGGGTCACCTGACTTGGTACTCGGAATCTGAAGAGGGCAATGTGTCCATAATTTTCATATTCCTTTAGCTGCTTCAGACTGTATAACTGTTCGCCACTTGTCAATTCTGAGAAAAGAAAAATATAAATTTAAGTGGATTGGAAGTGTCTGATTCTGGGGAATGTGTCGCCTATATATTTGAATCTGAATCTGAATCTAAAATAATACGGCTCAACACTCTTGGTGGATTAAAATGAATCAGCTATTGTGTGCGCATGAAATAATAAAACAACGCTGTTGCACATGAGCTGTGAATATGTACAGTGTAGGATCTTGAATGTTGAGTTTGTTAACTATGGTGGTAAAGAGTTCAAGTGTATTTACAAAAGCATATGATTATACAAGGTTTATCTTTAAGTGACGTACTTTACTGAACATAGCGATAAACACTTGTGAATTAAAGATAAAGACCAGTTATGGTATGGTCTTGCGATTGCATTGTGAAAGAAACGTTGTGGAATCGATCAGAAAAGGTTCTGGAATCATCAAAATGATAAGAAATTTGGCCCAGTCTTCGTAAAGTTACAGTACTGTACACTGTATGGGACTACGCACACGTGCGCGACACGTGCGTTTATCTCTCACACACTAATAGATAAACTAATTTACCAAATATATCAATTAGTAGGCGGTTTCCCAGCAAATTTTTTATCATCATGCATTTGTCAAAACATATTCTTTCACATGATTAGTAATAAGAGCTTCCATTTCACTTTTTGAAATTGGGGCGTTTCCAATACTGGTCTTTACCTTTAAGGGAAAAGTTCTGTGCTTTCCTCACCAAATGTATAGGCCTATCAATTAAATAAAAGGATTACATAATGTTTGCAGTACATCACACAAAACAAAGGGATTCATAGATTGCACATCCAATGTTTACTCACTCATTAACTTATCAAAATCCAATTGATAAGCTAGAAGCTTATAACATTAATTTTATTTGAGCCTTGGCTTGAGGATACAAATTCAATTCAATTAAAACTAGAATCTAATTTGAATATAGACAGAAATAACCGTCTGATATGGGTCATTTCTTTAATAAAACTGACATTTGTTGACATTCCCCATATACAGACGGTAACCCAGAGATCTCGTACTGTGGGGGTAATCTGACCAATCCAGCTGCCACTTATGGTGATAAAGGTTTTTCCCACGATTTTCACTATTTAGATCTAATTTTCTGATTTATAAATCAGATATAAATTAAGTACCGGTATATGTATTGTACTCCTATTTACACTAAATAATAATAATTGACCTATCATACAAATGCGAAATTTTTGGACTTACTTATATGATTTATCCAATTTTTTTCATCCATTCAAATTAGTAATCTATGACATCACCCGGCCGATATATTTCCGGGTCAACCTACCAAAACATAGCGAATGGCCAATCAGACCACTCGTTTTGTATTGGGTTTATGAATATTCATATATCACTGGGTTGACTCATACGTAGTTATTGGACGTTCGAAAAAACAAAATAAATATTCATTAATTAAAACCAAGATGGATGACAACGAATCATGTCGAATACAAGACTTTCTCAGATTAATCATTAATTTGAGATATAAATGAGCAAGCTATCATAAGTCAAAGCCATATTTGTTTGTTATTTTTTATATTTTTATTAGCCTATTGCAATATTGCAGCAAAAGTGCATTTATGAGGATGTAAAGAGTGAAAATCTCGTTGCATATCTCATTCATCACGATCCTGCCGAACCGAACCATTTGTTCCACTAGTACGGCATAGGCCGTACTTCAGTCTTTGTATAGAGGCGGTCAGTGGAGCCAGATGCAATCTCAGCGGAACCACCGTCGATATCAGAGACTGAAGCTTTCAGAATTTGAATAAAGCCAAGGGATTAACTTATAAACATTAGAAAGAGAGTTTTTTGTTTGCTATACTTAGATCTAGTACTAATAAAATGATAAATAAAAAGGAAGGACATTTCAAACATAATAGCTACAACATTACAGGAGATATCCATGAAATGCAAATCAAACAAGTGAAAGATCACCAGATCACAGGAAAAGGGGCAAAATTCGCCCACGCAGATTTCAGTTTGTGGGTCCAAAGATAAATTAATAATGTAGAAGACGATCACTCACCCGAACAATCCACCCGATGAGATCCGCTCAACACCATCAAAATGTTAAATAAACATGTCAGTAAATCTAGTGATATGACTGTCCCGACTAGGGACTTTCTTTTAGACTCATATCTGCATCCTAAAGACATTTTCATGATTTGAATGATGAGGGGACGAGATAGTCTTCCAGCCGGTGGTGTCACGGTCACTTACAATGTACTGTGTGTCGTCAATAACATTACATTGCAAGTAAATATTGCATTGGCTCGCGTATACTAGTACACATCCCTCATTATATTCCAGCACCAGTTCGATTCGGGTATCTAAGTCCGGGATCAAAGTCTGATTGTATACCGCACTCACAATCATATGACGAAACATTTATAGAGAAGTACTAAAACTTTGTTACAGCAAAATAAAATAGAAAACTGAAAAAAGGGGAAAGCTGAAACAAACTAGAGATAATATCATTGAAAAAAGATGCCGGTGTTAACTTTTCTAATTTCAACTAAAAAGCCTTCAAAAACAGTCACCATTCATGTATTTAAAAAATACAGTTATTAAACATTTACGTTATTTTATAGTTCGTGGAGTTTAAGTAGACCTAGCAGAACCAACATGAATGTTTTGGTTATAAGTTCGAAGTATTTTGGTTAAAGATTATTCATATGGAGCAGATCTCATTTAGTAATTATATCCTATGGTAGCTCCCATCAAATATGTTCATTGGCTGAGCTCGTCTCATAATGGAAATTAAATAGGTATAAGGCCATTAAAACTATACATGTTCAGCGTCCCCGCCCGCTTCCTTTTTTGGGGCCGCCTCCTATTTCAATTTTTTTTTTTTTAGAGAGAAAAAAAAACATGAAAAACACTGCTCAAACAGGCGCGGATCCAGGATTTTCCAATAGGGGGGGGGGGGGGGGGGGGGGGGGGGCCGGAAATTTGAGAATTGCGCAGACAGATTTTCAACTCAACATACCAATACTGACAAGGTCATATTAGAAGCACCATACCGGTAATTTTTTTTGACATTTTCATCGGGGGGGGGGGGGGGGCTGAAGCCTCTTGCCCGAAAAAGTAATTTTCTGGTTTCACAATTCGGCACAATTCGAAGCGAGCGAGCAAAAATTTGAGGATAATATGTATTTTGTGAAAGTGTTATTTATCACCAAAATATACGAGAAAAGATATAACAAATTCATATTCGGGCAGCTCGCTGTCCCCCCCCCCCCCCTCCCCCTCCGCCCCCCCCCCCCCATTAAGCGCGAAGCGCAGAAGCTTTAATGTTCATGAAATTATTACAGAAAGAAGAGGATTCGTTGTACCGTTCTCGGTTGTTAATCATTGTCTGAATTCAGTTTCCATACCCCCTCCCGCGCGAAGCGCGGAAGCTTTGACGTTTCATTAAATCATTAGAGAAAGAGTACCGTTCTCGACTCTTAATCCTTGTCTGAATTGAGTCCCCCCCCCCCCCTCCCCTTCCCTCTCCCGCGCAAAGCGCGGAAGCTTTGACGTTTCATTAAATTATTAGAGAAAGAAGACGATTCGTTGTACCGTTCTCGATTCTTAATCATTGTCTGAATTCAGTTTCTATACCCCCTCCCTTATTCGTCATTACTGTCACCTAGCGCCATTTCCTTGTCTTTCCCCCTTTCTCACCCGACTTTTCTCTTCCCCTTCCCACCCCCCCCCCCCCCCCCCCCCACCCCACCCACTCAGTGTTATCTAGGGTATGCGCATGTATGTTCCCTCTCTTAGTTTGAAAGTACCCCTTTATCTTCGGTGTGTAGAGTCAGTGCGGGTCGGATTTGTGTGTATTACAGGCCGGACTTTGTTGCGTGAAAAGTAACCCTTTATCGGAAATTTTGGGAACACAAAATCGGTCCCTCCGACCCCGGAGTGGGAGTGAGGTGGAGGGGGGGGGGGATCTTCTTTTTTTTTTCTCTCTCTCTCTCTCTCTCTCTCTCTCTCTCTCTCTCTCTCTCTCTCTTCTTTCTTTTCTCTTCTCTTTTCTTTTCTCTTCTCCTTTCTTTTCTCTTCTCCTTTTTTTCTTCTCTTCTCCTTTCTTTTTTTCTTCTTTTTTTGCGCCGCCAATAGGGGGGACCGCGGCCGTTTCGGCCCCCCCCTGGATCCGCCACTGGCTCAAATGGAACTTTTTCTGATTTTCATCTTGAAAAATAGCCCGACTGTCAGGGAAAATGTACCGAGCGTACCAGGGAAAACCAGGGGAAATTTTAAGCGGCCATTTTGAAGAAGAAAAAAAAAGGCCTCCTTCCTATTTTTCAAAAAAGCAGGACGCTAAACATGTTTTTATTTGTATTTGGCCTAGCTAATATAGAGCATTACAGTGTTGACCTTTCCTGGACAGTCACATCCCATGCAGAAATAAAATAAATTACCAAAGTCCCGGGGGGGGGGGGTGGTGCCGAAGGGGAATAACAACGACGACCTCAAAAAGATTCATCAAATTGGAAGCAAAATTCTCACACTTTAAGAAGGAGTCAATTTAAACCCTAGCTCAGAAGACCGTAATATACCATTTTCGTAATGTAATAGATTTAACGCATAAATCTTTGTTACGTGCCATGTTACAAATTATTTCATTCACCTGTTATGAACAATTGTATTTCAATAGTTAAAATGCTAATTGCATACATTTATTGTTGCTAAGTAGGATAAAATCTATTGCTTGATTGCGTGATTTCTTCATTACATTTGATTATACATGTATAACGAAAATGACGAGAACAATCAAAGATTATTGTCACAAAATCATTTTCTCATTGTAAAGAAAAATATTGAGTGAAGATTGATGTCATGATTAGGTCGACTGAACTTTGACTTATGTGACATTTCAGGGACTTTATTATGCAGTGTTATATTTTGTTTTCTCTATTATATTGAAACTATATTGAAACTATAGTCTTCATCGAAACATTTTTGTATATTTCAAATATATATGATGATCACTAAGCTGAACGTCATATAAACACATCTTGGAGAAATTAATATTGGATTCGGGCAATACCTAATAAGCGATTCCCTTTGACATTTTGATATATTTGTACGATTGGCTGTCCTAACGGGCAATTATTATACTTCTAGAACTTTTTAGCAAAAGCTATAGCAATTATAATAGCTGGCAGTTGTGAGGTCGCAATTAGTAGCAGAATTATAGAAAGATTAAAATTCTACAGGTGCAAATTTTTACCCATAATTTGGGGAATTGAGAGCGATTTGCCGATTTTCTACAGTTCCAAGGAAATGGCGTTTAGTGCACGAATTAGCAATTTCAACGATTCAACATTAGGAAAAATCCAAAATTTCAATGACTTTGCTAAATTAAACCTAAATACCTTGTCTAATAAACGTAAATTTTGCAGGTGAAAATGGGGGGGGGGGGGGAAGGGGGCAGGGGTCTACCGCTCGATCGCTTTGCTCTCGCACTTAATTGTATACAGTTGTTTAACAAACTTTGGTTACCTATCTGGGGTTAGGTATATAGCAGCCATAAAATGTCTCGTAGTGAAAAGCGTAGAAATTTGGTTCGTTTGTTTGAGCTGACTAGTTTAGGTTTGAGGGGGGAGGCGCAAATTTATTGTTTGCTCCGGGCCCCATAAAACCTGGATATAGAGGCCTCTACCACCCCGCCCTTCGATTCTAGACCCATTGTATCTGATTGCTTAAATGTTACAACTGAATTCAACATAATAATCATTATCATTTTCCTCTTCTTCTTTTTCTTTTTCTTCTTCTTTTTCCTTTTCTTAATCCTTTTTTCCTCTTCCTCTTCTTCTTCTTCTTCTTCTTCTTCTTCTTCTTCTTCTTCTTCTTCTTCTTCTTCTTCTTCTTCTTATTTTGTTTGTACTTATTATCATTCCTTTAAATCCCATCTGCACTAATTTGGCCAGGAGGGACCAGACCTCCTTGCATGTTCCCTGGCAGGTGGTTATCTCATCAAACCAGCTCTCAATTAACGCTTAGGCATTGTTGGCTAGATAAAGGGCGCAAGTCTATACAAGCCGTGTAGTCCCGCTTTAGTTATAATTTTAATGTTGCTATTATTATTATCATCAGTTTAATCTTTAATAAGTTTTTCTTATCTGTCTGCAAACAATACGATTTTAACTCATTATCTTGTACATGTATGTCGGGGCCCCAACTGTATGGAAATATGCTCTCGAGATTTTGTGGATTATCGTGTTCAAGTTGACTTAATTTTGAACTGTTATTCTTTTATATTGTTGTACACTGTCGCTCATAAAGGTGGAATATTGTTTTTTTATCCCAACTTATGGAATTATTTTTAAAAAAATTTAAAAATAATAGATCTAGATAATAGTATACATTCTCAGATTTTATTGAATAATAATTTGCCAATGTATGATTTGCGTGACTGCTAAAGCATGTGTATGTTACTATGCTTATCAACTAGGGGACCTATGCCCTTAAGTCATAAATGACAGTAATGCGGATTAATGCCCCACAAAAGGGCACTAATATAGCACATCCATACGGTTTTGATCCTGGGGCCTCACAGTTACGAGGCCATTGCGTTGTCACTGAACCATGACTGTACGCAGCGGGGGCTAGGGTAGGGGGTAGTTTCCATGAATTAAAAAAAAAAAAAAAAATGCAATAAATTTTCAATAATTTATTGCATTTTACCCCGGTTCCCAAAATAACAAAATCTTCTGTGTGCCCATGCCTTGAGCCATAATGCATAGCCGTCTAGAGGATTTTTTTATGTTGGGGACCGGGGTAAAATGCAATAAATTTTTGAAAATTTATTGCATTTTCTGTTGTTTTTTTTATTTATGGAAAGTTGCCCCCTACCCTAGCCCCCGCTGCGTACAGTCATGGTTCAGTGACAAAACAATGGCCTCGTAACTGTGAGGCCCCAGGATCAAAACCGTGTCGATGTGCTATATTAGTGCCCTTTTGTGGGGCACTAATCCTCATTACTGTTATTTATGACTTGAGGGCGCAGGTCCCCCAGTTAATAAGCATAGCAGCATACACATTATTTAGCAGTCACGCAAAACACACATTGGCATATTAGTATTCAATAAACTCTGAGAATGTATACTATTATCTAGATCTATTATTTTTAAATAATTTTTAAAATAATTACATGAATTGCGGTAAAACTAAAATATTCCACCTTTATGAGCGACAGTGTATGTTGAGGTTTGGCGAATAAAATCAATCAATCAATCAACAGAGAAGTACGACGCACGATTGTGACGTCACAAAGGCCCGCTCGAATGATGACATCATAAAGGAAACGGGATCCAGTCGAAATATGCGCATCGCGCATTCTTTTCTAATACGCGCAAACGTTTCCGATTCCGATTTTTTGTCAACAAACACACAATGCATGAAGGGAATCATGCAATGCTCCGCTGGCGACTTTTTTTTTTAACCTAACCTAGCCATCCTACCGCTGAATTTGATTGGCTCAAAGTCTAGTCTTACATGATACACACGCCCACATATTATCTGATGCGATAATACCAAAATTACAAGTGCAAAGCTACGTTTACTTAAAATAAAAGATATTGCGAGAAAATCAGGAGGCTTACTATCGTGAACGAATGACTACCCATGTCGAAACTTGTCCATAATCATTGGCTCATTGCGACCTACTGGTTGCATTGGTCCAGAAAGACCATTGTAGGCCTACTACCATTGAGCTATCTGAGGGTTTGCCCGATTTATCCCGTCTGCATTAACATATGAAGAGCCTAGCTGTATCGGATTGACGAATGCCACAGATAAAACATAACTCAACACATCTGATTTCGATTTGTGCAAGTTAGTGGCATGGCTCTTGGGGTACATTTGGAGCAGATATCCCTCTATTTGGCCGCCTCCACTGATAGGCCTAATTTAAATGGTAGGATGATCCTAAAAAAAAAAATTAAAAAAAAACAGTCGACATGAATTTGTCTTTGTTTAACTCGTTATATCTGGGTTTTTTTCAATACAAATTACATGTGATTGTTCTTGTTTATAATGTTGTTTGTTTGCTTGTTGTTTTTGTTGTCTCTCCCCGTATGTCTATAGGGTGTAAGCATTCATGGTGTAAGGGAGGGGGTATTATAGAGATCTAAATTCACATGGGTATAAAGCTGGCACTTAATATGTAATCGTTCTTGTAGAAAATTAAGTAATTTAAGAGTATATTTATAAAGAAACCTGCCTCAATCAAACTTTCAATAGCCATGAAGAAGCTTCTAAATGTTTATGATATAAATAATTTTAATATTGCTATATTTATGTTTATGTGTTCTAAGGGATTATTACCAAGGTCCATGTCATGTAAATTTACTTTCAATTATGAAATACATTCTTATGAAACCCGTAATGCTGGTAATTTTCATTTTCCTAAAATCCGTACAAATGTCTCAAAAAATACAGTTTATTTCAAAGGGCCAGTTTTGTGGAAAAATATCCCAATTAATATAAAAAACTCTACTTCACTGAATATTTTTAAACGAATGTATAAATCCCATCTTTTATTATTGTATTCAATCTCAAAATAAATGACGTTACGTTTCAGTTAATGCACTTTTTAATGTATTTCCACTCCCCTTCCCTTCTTCCCTTTTTTGTTTTCTTCTTTTGTATTGGTGTTTAGATTCTCTCGGCTTTCCTTTTCCTTTTTTCTTTTCTCAACAATACAGTGTATTCTTTTTAAGGGGTTGACGTACATAAGGCTAATTGCCCTTTTTGTTAACCCCACATTCCCATAAAATTTTGTTTGCTCCTTCCCTTTGTATTTTTTTTGTAATCGATCTTTTATCTGTATACCATGTTTGTATGTTTTGATGTTTTTATGGAGAATGAAATAAATGAAATGAAATGAAATGAAAGAAGACGTCAACAACCCTCTTCGGCGCAGTGGAGTACCAAGATGGCAACTTGATTAGCTATTTGAGCCCTCTCTAGACTCAATCACGTAAGTAATGTAGATTGCTATCCAGGAATATATGGGTCAGTGATGTTGTGTTGTCCCTTGATGATCCGGCCTTTTTGTGTTACTTGTTTGCAGGATAAGATACGGGTTGTTTTTTCGCCAATTGAAATATCCATCAAAATGTCAGCTCCAGGATCAAGTGCCAGTCAAGGTAATTGTTTAATTCATCGTCAAATACGTGAAATAGCTATATTGTTTGGACATTGTAAAATCTGTCGTGTCCCGTGTGTTGATTTTCATGTTTGTTAAAATACAGTTTCGAACTGGCGCTGCGCGCGCGCTGGCCCCATTTGCACATCATGCTTACTTACTTGGGTATACTTGGGTGTAGAGACTGGAAGCTTAGCTTATTTGTCCCTCTTTACTGTTGCATCCCGTCTTAAGTATGATTCAAACTTAATTGGATTGTTTCTCAAATATCTGTCTAGGCACTGGCAAGAAATTTGAGCAGGAAAAAAAAATCATATTTAATTTTTCGGGGGCTAGACTAGTCTAGAGTCTAGAGTCTTTTTTTCAAGTAGGCTAGACCTGCATAAAAATAATACTCTAAAACTCTACTCTAAAACTCTATGCAAATTTACGGGGGCTCTTTTCTGATTTTGGGGGGCTCTTTTGGGCATTTCGGGGGCCAATTCTCCCTGAGCCCCTGTGTATTTTTCTCACTGAATCCGAGTGGACATTTGACAGACAATTAACATTCAGTGTGATGCTCATTGGTAAAATAATTTGATGATGGATCATTAGGATAGGGGGAGATTAAAGCGGTTGAAGTCAAGGTCAAAGGAATTATTATAAAGTTCTTTTCCCATGTTGTGTATTTTATATTATTATTTATTTTAAGTATTATCACTCTGAGTCTTAGTCGGATCGATCATAATTTATTTCTTTAATTCTTTTCTTCAATTTTAGTGGGGTGTTCATATGGAACTCTTGTCTCTACAGCTTACTGTCTATTATACTTGAGTCTGAAGTAGTTTCATGAGATATTTCCCAGGGCAAGGCTAGATGGACTAGCTGCATGAATGAACGAAAAAGAGACAAAGAAAGAAGGAGGGGGGGGGGGATCAAGCTCTAGATTTTACTCATGAAATTTCCTTTATGGTAACTTGTGTAATCTGTACATATAAAGGCCAGATTGCTGATTTATGTGTTTACCATAAAAAGGGAGCACTAGAAAGAAGAATGTGAAGGGACCAATAACAACAACAACAGATTTTAAAAAGATTACTTTGATCTTATGTAACATCTTGTCTTACTTTACTTCAGTGAATAGAATGGCGATACTTGAAGACCTGCAGGAGAAGAAGAAAAGAATGAGTGCCAGGATGCAATCAACTGGACCAGGAGGAGGGTAGGTCAATGTTGTACTACAGTGTCATTCTCCAATGACATTGATAAGAAATAAGGCTGTGCACAACAGTGCAATGAGGTACCCAAATACACTCCCAGGCTCACAAGCGAATACTCGAATATTCGGACGCCATGTTTTTTTATAATTTTGTTCGAATTTTTTGAATTTTTTTGAATTTTGTTGAATTTTTTTCTTTTTTTCTTTTTTTGCCACCACCATACCACTCGGCAGTTTCCCAGGTCCCTCGCCGAAAACACATGCAATTTTACTTAGAGTTGCAGTTGAAGGCGCCGATTTAATAATAATAATAACAGTAAACAATGCTGTTTTAAAAACCAAAGATGGCAGAATAATCCATTGTCCTCTGAGTCCAAACAAAAATCTGGACATTTGGTCCCAGTTTCTGAGTGGTGAGTTTGACAGTGCTCGAGTTGGGAAACATTTTTACCGACGGTACCATGCCAGCGGCCAGCGCTCTCCCTGGCACGGATAAGCGTGGGCCTGGACTTTTTTTTTTTTTTTTTTTTTTTGCGGCCGAATATTCGGGTACGAGAAATCGTACCCGAGTAGTTGTCAACCGTGCGGGTACTCGAGCATTCGACTACACGTCGCAGCCTTAATAAGAAAGATACTATAAGAGTACCGAAGCTGTGAGATCATAAAAATCTATTTTTAGAATGTCTCAATTTGAACTTCATTTTTTGAAAGAGCATACAAAATAATGTCCAAACAAGTTGAAACAACTATCGAAAATCAATTGAATATGTTAAGTAGGAGCTAAGATATGACCATCTGAATAAATAGAGTTCAAGAGGAAATCACTGATTTCCCACAATACTTAAACATGTTCATTGGTTTTCAACTTTTGGACATTATTCTGTATGCTGTTTCGGAAAATGAAGTTCAAATTTGGAAACTCTTAAGAATACTTTTTGATGACGTCAACAGACCAAACAAAATAATTTGGCAAGATTCTGTCGGTTTGGAATCGGTTTGGAGTTGGTTTGGTGGTGTGACTTAGGTACTGGGAAAACACATTTGTCAAAGAGTGCATGTATAGAAAGTAGGTTTATTGTATTGAGTACGTTTGCATGAACAATTCAGGGAATATCAAACTTTCCTCTTTTAAAACATATATACACTGTATATATATATATATATATATATATATATATACAGGCCTAAGATTGTTAATTAAAATTTGATCCATGTTATTTGCACTTAGGCTTCTGTCAATGACAGTTTTACATTAGGATGTAGACACTGATTTATTGACTGCATGTGAGCATTTTTTTTTAAATCTGTTCTTTTATTTTCTCTGTGCTTTATAAAAATCTGTTTCACTATTAAAAGCAAAAAGACCTTTGGAATATTTTTGTTAATATTTCATATAGCAAAAACTTGTTCCACATATAAACAGAAGCAACCTTCAAAATTCAGTTTAAATTCACCAAGCGGAAAGTTAAGTAATGATGATATATTTGCATTGATTTCAGAGCTACCATGCAGATGAAAGACAATGGAATGGGGGTAAGTAGAGATTATTCATATCCTTTAACAAAATGACTCTCAAAAGATGACTCTCAAAGTCTGGTAATTTTAATTTTTGAAAGTGCTTCGTAAAGACTCTTTAAAACATTCAGTTTCTTAAAAACTACCCATACAGCAGGGCCAACAGGAGTTGGATTAGAGAGTAACCCAGAGCTGCCAACTAGTACGGATTTTCCGTAATTGGTACGGAAATTAACGACCATTACGGAATGTTGTCTCAAATTACGGATTTAAAAAAAAAAAAAAAAAAAAAGATTTTTTTTTTTTTTTTTTTTTTTTTTTTTTTTAATGAATTAAATATGATTTATCGTAGCGAGTGCTGTGAATAGGAGCCATTTTTCATGATAAACTGTGTTGTGATGACCTGAAATTCAATACTTAACATCTTTGTGTGAGTAAAATCACCAAAAATTTCAGATAATCATGCGTCCGTGCAGTGTTGGCGTGTCGTTTTTTTAGATTCATAGCGCCGCATAAGAAATTACTGATTTATACCCCAAATTACTGATTTTGAGCCTTGTGATTACTGATTTTCTGTTCTGGAGGTTGGCAGCTCTGGTAACCCTGTAAATCCACTACCCATGTAAAACTGAAAAAGTTAACCTGTATATCAAGACTGTTCAAGGCAGACACGGTCAAGAAAGGTGTTTTTATAGGCAGGTGGTCTTTAAGTACAGGTTCCTTGTGTACAGGTTTCAAAGGAAGCACTATTCAAGAATTATAAAAAATGTACCGGTAATATTTGTAGACACCTATAGGCGTTTTTTTATACAGGTGGTCGTTGAATCAGGTTTGACTGTATACTTTTTGTGAAATGGAAATATATTTTCTCAGAAAATCGTGGAAATAATTTCTTAATGCAGGAAGATATGAATGCTGACTTTAATATTCTTCTGCCATACTTGCTCTTTACAAATGTACAATCTTTAATTGTAATTTTGTTATCGTTGTTATTATTTCAGTTAATGCGTGACCCACAAGAAGCCCAGATGTCTGCTAATAAACAACAACAAGCTTTGCAGGTAACTTTCATTAAATGTTTTTTTTAAAACATGGATCTATTTAGATAAAAAAATTAATAGTGAAAGTAAGCAATGAAATATTAATCGGTACATGTAAGTAGTCTTCACTGTAGATTGAATTGCCTAAGTTTATCAACAGAATTTAAAAAAAGATTGTTTTGTATTTTAATAGTTATTTCAATTTGTGGTCATAATTTTCAGCCTGGTGTGGAAATTCTTAATGTTTAAAGACACAAGATGACCAGTATTAGTCTGCCCTGTGCATTTATTTTGCTGTTTTTCTGTTTCTTGTTCTTCCTTTTTTTTCAACAATATGATTTAAATTGTGGAACAGTTCCTAATGTAGTTTATGGTCAATGTTAGAACTTGTTACGTATAACATTAATGGAAACAATCAACATTATATTTTTACATCACCAGCTCTTGTCAGTCTGAATCTTTCCCCCTTTTAATATACTAAACTGATTAGTCATCTTTCATCTTGGTCATTTCTCTTTTCTCTCTCAACACCATCCAGCACGCTCACACCAACTCCTCGGCGTATTTCATCACCCAAGATTCATCGTTTGGAAACCTCATCCTACCAGTCATCCCCAGGATACCACCGCCTGTAGAATGATGTATGCCCTAGCATCAAAACACTCCTGCACCATCAAAAAAAGACATCATTGCCAATTTGATGTTTGCGTGTTTAAAGAATCAACAAGCATATTTGTTTTACTCAGGTGCGCAACACATTGACATTGACACAAAGACATTGCTATGCTGAATATATTGGATCATTGGAGAGACATTTCTTCAGAATCATCAATGCTAAATTTGTATATTCAAATAATGATTCTAATATGATTGTTGAAAGTTTTATGATATTGTAACTGTACTGTGCACAGATTCTCTGCTCAAATTGATAAGTACATTATAAAAGAATAACACATCAGGGGGTGTTTCACAAAGATCTTAAATTGAACCTATCTCTAAGTTGGACTTAACAATTATGGAAAGCTGTTAGCATCTTTGTAAATATTTTGTAAAAGTTATTTAAAAAGGCATAAAATGGTGATTTAAATCATTCATATTTTCTATTATAAAGGAGATTTCACGTTCTTGATGTGAAATTTATAAAAAAAAGTCTGAAATACTTGAATTTTTGCTCTTGAATATATTTTATTTTAAGGCTACAAATGGCTCTCCATAATGTTTAAGTCCAACTTAGAGTTAAGGTCGACTTAGGATCTTTGTGGAACACCCCCAGTTGTATTTACTTAGAATAATTTTTTTTGTGATAGACTTATGAAAAAGGTAAATCTTCAATGCTGATCCATCACCAAGCAATCAAGTACGTTGGTCTTTACAGGTAGGTGGTCTTTTACCACACACTTCAATGAAAAAGTGAAAGTTGGTATAGACAGGTGGTCTTTCTATATACAGGTGTTTTTTTTAATCAGGTTTGACTGCACAAGTATATCATTTTCGATAAGAAATGCATAATTCAGATCTGATCATCGAAGAACTGACCGGAAATGTCACTAGCTAAGTGACAGCACTCTGGATAAAAGAAGGCAGACGGGAGAGTTGACCACTAGATCAAATATTACTCAACTAATGCTGTTGACTCAACCCTTTACATCTACCTATGAAGACAGACAGGGAAATTTAACAATTCAGGCTGGGAGTTTTGAAGAGGTTGTTAGGGGAGTAGTTGGAATTGACCCACTTCCAGGATCTTGGTGGGTTTTTTTGCAAAATTTTGCACATACACATCAACATTTTTTATAGGAATATTGTTATTTTGACATATTGTAATTCATGCAAATTTAATATATTCCTACTATTTTTGATAAAAAACTTTTTTTAAACAATATCTGAAACATAGCTTTGGCCGGCTTTCAAATTGTTGTTGCCAACAACACATTTTCAGCAACCTTTGCCCACAAGAAAATATGTATACATCACATCCACCACTATTCCCTGCTCTCCAATATGAAAAGATTAAAAATGTTTTGGCGAGTAGAATGTTGTACCAACAGAGGTAAAAGAGCAACTTTAAAACTCACTTTGATCATGTGTTTCATTCACCAATTTATGGAAAAAATGATATATTCACAGACAATGTTTTCTATTCTTTTGATCAGCAAACATTTAAGTACATGTGACTACATATATGTGTATCAATGCAATTGTTGTGATAAGCCACTTTTTGTAAGAATTATAAGAAATGTCAAGTAAATTTGTATATTTGTACATAAATGTCATGAACATGAAATGCGATGGCTTTCAGTGCTGTTTTCATATTTGTGAATCCGTACTGTACAGAGTGTCTAAAAAAACGTGTCAAGATTCAGATCAGCAACATCTTTGAAACTTTACCACCCTCAATGAAATTGAGTAGGTATTGTTGTAGCAGTATCTCCTGAAGTCTGTGTGAATTTCACAAAGATTTAAAATGAAAATAAACTAAGCTATTATTGTATTTATAAAACATATATTTTTTCAAACCTTTCCATTGAAGTCATTTTTAATCATTAGTAATCATCAGTAAAATGGCATAGACATTGAAAATACATTCTAAGTACAAGAAACAACAGATTGTTAATTTGGCAATCAAAATCTTGTTGATTTTTTTGTTGACACCCCATAACATCTGATGTTAATCATGGTAATATGTGGATAATGTGGAGCTGACATGTTGGATGTGAGGTCTAGGGAATATAAAGACAAAGAGAAGAGAAAGAGAGGGGATAGGTCGTGAGAGAAAAATAATGAAAGAGAGGGAGTGAATGGGAGAAAAGAAACACAGAGAGCAAAGAGAGAGAGAGAAAAGAAAGAAATAAAGAAAAAGAGAGAGGGGGAGTCTGGGTGACAAAGGAGTGAGAGGAACAGAGATTATATGGGATGAAGAGAAGAGACCGTGGTAAAGAGATATATACTATTGAGAAATTACAAAGAATGAGGAAATTCTGAAATTCTATGTTTAAAAAGCAAAAAAAATTGTTGCTTTTCGAGCAAATTAAAAACCTGGCTGGACTAAAAATGAAAAGATTTGATAAAATGTCAAAATACATTGTATAGTGTATGCTAGCATATCATAGTTGAAAAAAAAGCCCACCTCTTGTTCCTTTATCCATGAGTTTCATGGTCCACTGTCGTAACTAATTAATAGCAAGCAACCTTGCTTATGTACAATTACAATAATAACCTTTTAAGGCTGTTTATGTCTGTTGATACTTAGTTATCTAGTATAGATGAACTTGAACTACTGTAAACGCTGTTATTTATGTGTGATTAATTTTTCACGCTGAGCGACCCCCAAACATAATTGCTGGTTCTTAAATTCGCATTGCACGCAATTCAGCCCGTTCAAAACACGCATAGGAAGCCATGCTTATATTTTTGTGAGTTCTAAAATTTGCGCTTGCCGATCTTAGCGCAAAATCAGCGAAATATTAATGTACCACAAATATTTCTACTTTTACAGTAGATGATTAATAGTACGAAAGGAATTTACTCAATATCATACTCATATTTACACATAAAATAAAGAATACCAAAAACCCAGAAGATTATCAAATCAGCATTCAAAACTGTTATTTTTCTTTTAATCATTCATAGCATTTCTGAACACACTTTTTTGTATTTTTTCTTTACAGTTTACAGAGTCGGACACATTCATTGAAATATTGAGATCACACAAAAATAAAGTACAAATCTTTATCACTTTGAAATTTAACACCACTGCTCATAACTGACTTTTAAATTGTTTTCTTCTTTATAGTAAAGGTGGCTTTTGTACAACAATGAAAGAGTTTTAGATACAAGCTTACAAAAAAGAAACTTGCCTCCTCACAACTTTTCTCAAACTAACAAAAAAGCGTTCATTATTATAGCAAAACCCTATCTGATATCTTACATTTTATATTGCACTACATACCTACAATAATATACACATCTGGTACTATATATTTGATGGAAACCAGGAAATTGAACTATACGTTTCCTGTATTAAACAGCTTTTGCGTAAATGTCTATATTTCTGTGATATGAAGGAAAGGGGTAGTGCACAACTGAAATCCGAAAATATATGGATTAGTGATTTGCTGTGTACTCGAGAAGACCTTCCCAGCCACAAAGCAAGCCAAGTCTTTGAAGATGATTCAGAAAACGATTGTTTCTTTTTCAATATTCAAAATATATTGAAGAATAAACACTATACCAATTCACATGAGTGTGTGCATGTGTGTCCCATATCTTTCTCAAATGAAAGCAGTTCTCCTAAAACACTTTCCCAACTACTTTTTAAAATCAACTCGAGAGCAATCTAAATTATTGTATGTCGCATAAAAATCATGTTTGTATTTTGTTCGCACATTTTATCAGGTGACGCACAAGGCTATCAAAATAGCCATGAGTTGATTTTTTTCAAAAGTAGTTGTTATCGTGTTCCAAGTTGATTAAGGGCTACTGTTAAAGCTTTACAAATCTTGTACTGCATTCAAAGAAAAAAGCACAGATCAGATTTGGCCTTCACACTTGGTCCTTGTCTTTTTAGAGCACAACTTCTCTTGGTCCATTGAATTCTTTGAACCAAATGAATGCACCAAGTTCCCTTGCACAACTTTCCATGCTGACAAAAACCATGTTCAAAACCTTACACAAGTGGATGAAAGCTGCCTCAAAGGGCACACTAACCCAGCAAGTCCAAGCTACATGTATGTGGTACATACGCATTCCTCAGTTACTGTGTACACTTTGTAAAGGGTTTGCAAACTAAGAGAGTACATTAATTTCACAATAGAAGAAAAAAAAATCCCAGTATGATATGTATTTTTGGCATGACCAGTCTTAATATAAAGAAATCCAGTTGACAACTAAATTATCCATACCCTTACAAAGTTTTGAATATTTTTGAAAGTATGTGAAAAATTGATTTGTCCCAATTTTAATATTTCTTGAGAATGTGACATATTAAAGTTTACATCTAAAAGTATTCAACAAAGGCCCTAATGCAACCAGTCCACCTTCCATTCTTGTCTATTTGCAGCTAAAAGGACGTTAACTAAATGTAAAATGATATGTTTAAAGTGGGGTTAACGTCCTTCTGGCTCCAAACAGATAGACTATGTGTACTTGCGCATGTATGTATGCCACTGATTGCTTTCTAGTGTAGTTCAAAACCCTGAACTGCATCCAAAACTGCTCTTCTCTGACCAAACATTCCTATAAACTCAAACATAATTCATAATCAATGATGAAAGAGCGGACTTAACACTTCGGTTCCTTACGCATGGCAGTAGCAACTCCCATCAATTCCTCCACAACATGTACACAACCAATATTCCAATATATACATCTCTTCTTGCTCAAAAGATCCAAATATGTACAATCAACTTCTCATAACAATACCATTCTTCATCATAGTTTAAGGGGAAATTATTTCAAAACACTTTTAAACTTTTTCTGTATTGCAAGTCAAAAGGTAAATCTCAAACTCTTGCATTTACTATCAACCGAAATGATCATTTGTGTAGAAAAAAAAATTGCTTCAAAGTTGAAAAAAGTGATATTTTTAAGTACAACAACATGCAATAGATCCAATGCTATTATGGCTGTATAGGCCTTGTTCTAAAAACAAACAAATACATTAATAAATTTTAGCCTCAAATCAATCATTATATTTTCCCATTTTATTTTGGTTCCGTGTACTTATCATTTGCACTGCAAATGGGTATATTTATATGGCAAGCTACAGAAAATAGGATGTGAATATGCTAACAGATAATCTATCAAAAATACAAAATGAAAGTCTTAAGTGTGAACTTGGCTAGACAAGAAAATATACAGTAAGTTGTGCTTGTTTCTCTGAAAATGATAACATATCTTTGTAAAATAACGCTCTGTTTGTAAAAAAAAATGCAAAACTAACCACCTCCCAACAAACCAGAACTCTATGAAATTACAAGGGATACATGGGTTTAATGGTATACATACATGTGTGTTGGTGTGTAACATGTAGATAATATAAATGACAAATATATGTGCCTCTACCACTTATAATTCATTTAAACTTCAGGGGGGGTTCACAAAGATCCTAAGTCAAACGTTACTTTAAGTTGGACTTAAAAATTACGGAGAGCCATTTGTAGCCTTAAAATAAAATATATTAAAAAGCGAAAAATCAAGTATTTTAGACTTTTTATAAATTCCACCTCAAGAACATGAAATATCCATGATAATAGGAATACAAATGATTTGAATCAACATTTTATGCCTTTTAAAATAACTTTTACAAAATGTTTTCATAGATGCTAACGGCTTTCCATAATTGCTAAGTCCAACTTAGAGATAAGGTCAACTTAGGATTTTTGTGAAACACCCCCCAGGTTGTTAAAGTACTAATGTATTTCACAGTAAGCCAAATAGGATGTATCACAAATATATATGCTTATAATCGGTTGTACTCTCTACAAAGGGGAGACATAACCAGAATATCCTTAAATTGATTATAAAGAAAAACCACCATCTGACTTTTTATCTCCCTGAGAAAGCAAGTCAATATTTCAACAATCATTAAAAAAAAGAAATATTTTGTCCCTTTTCTTCGTTAAGAAAGAATTTAATACCGGTACTCAAGGAAAAAAAACCTCTTTGGTCCAAAATGAAAGTACATTTCAAAGTATCTTTTAAGCATTTCACTTCAAAATATTACATTGCCTACTGCATAATTTAGGGAAAATAAAGCTGGATAATATTTTTGTGTATTTAAACTATGCTTTTATAACAAGAAAACACATTTTAAAATAGAAACTATATTTGTCAGTCAGTGTTTGAGTATGTACTCTTTTAAGTATTAAGTTAATATTTATTAAAGAACGGTAAGCCTTTATAAGCTCCTGTAAAATATCTTCTTCTTTATCATTTGTTTTCTTCTTGCAACTACAGAAAGAGCGAACAACATCAAATTCACAAACTTCAACTTATCTTTGGGGAAATACATTCACAACTTTTCTTTAACAAGAAATTACTTTTAAGAAAACATATTAGACTCTTTATTCCCCCAATTGAGACATCACACACTTGTAACCATTGGATGGTGATACGATATCAATTAACTTTGTACAACACACGTAAAGAATTTATACAAACACTTCACAATATCAACATTTATACAATCTTTTCTCTCTATACATTTATACAAATATCATCTCTACTGATTCCCCTTCAAAAGTTCAGGGAAATCTCAAACTGTTTCTCATATTCTCTGTACATTTGCACTATAATTACATATTTTCCTCACTTTGTTTTGCAATATTTTTTTGTTTATAACATCAATAAAGGAAAAGAGCACATGGTTTACTACAAACGTCATCATGTACCCAACAGAATGGCATCAGCAGAGTAGATCATCAAACACACAGCTATTACATTTGCCCAGTGATGTCACTTCACATTCAGAGGCATAATGCATGATCATTGGCACAGTCGAAAATTGACTCTGTTTTACAGAATTTCAAGAGCATTGCCCACAAAATATACCTTTAAATAGAATGCAAAGAGGGCTGTAAATACACCCTTATTCTTGGATTATTGAGTACATATTCTCAAAAAGTATTCTATTTTCGCAAAAAAACACAGGTACATATGAAATCACATATTGAAAAGTCATGAAAACCTTTTTCATGGAATAGTATGCATACGCACCCCTTTTGTTTTTTTTCCAACTGAAAATTACCCCTTACTTTGTGAAACCTTTTCTTGCTTTATACATAAAATAAAGTCAATATGAAGGTAGCGATTCTTTTCTCTGCTAAAGTCAATCTGCCAGGCATATGATGACGTATGATAAATATGTAAATTTGTTTAACCAATCAAAGATTATGTTACAATATATACACATAACAAAAAAGAAAATATATAATGGTTCTCTTTGGATAGCTAGTCAAGTTCTTAGATTATCGTACATTTGGACAAATTCCAATTACACGTGAGTAAATAGAGAAGTAACAAACAAAAAAAGTTATACATTAAAGCAAAATCAAAGATAAACACATACAATAATAGTAACCATCTTATTAAATATTCTACATATTCAATGACATTAAAGTCCTATTTGGTTGCACTTAACAAACTATGGGTAGGAGCAAAGTAAAACAGGTAAATTAGCTGCTCATAGATGGCACTTTACAAGTCAGGCAAAATGCAATGACTAAATTCATGTACCTATTCAAGAAACAGTGTTAGAAAACAAGCGAGTGTAGATTGTGCCAAGTACTGCACCATGCATGTTGCTGCGCAGAAATAAATCAAATAAATTCATGAACAAAGATGGAGTTTTAACCTAGTTTCGATCAAGAAGGATTTCCAAACAAACGATATTTGCCAGGTAGAAATCTCCTAATTATTCATGTTGAATGCTACACACTCAAGAGCCTAGTAAAAGTCAGGGTGCTACAGAAATGGCTATTTCAAACTTGTGACTGTGACCAAATAATCAATATTTCCAAAAATTCTAGTACACACACAAAAAGTTGCTTGCCAATCAACATATTGTAAATGCAAAGGGCAGGTGGTATACTCCCTATCACCACTCTGGAACATATTCAAAGCTTTAATAATCGTAGAGAAAGATAAGTGGCTGTACTTCCTGTATTAAAGACCAAATGTACAACTTCCTATTATGACTTTCAGATACTATTACAAAAATGGAATTTCACTTCAGTTTTTGGCACATTAATGACATGAATCCTGTTAGAGATTGGTTAACAAATCAAGCGCATGCTTAAATACATGAGTATGATACGGTATGTAGAATGGTTCCTCTGAAATGAACACATGAAATGAACACATGTCACTCCTTGTACTTTATTCATTTACTCAATGGTAAAAAATTTGGACATTCTTTAGAAAAATGCTACGTCATACCAAAATATTCTCGTTTACGAATCCCCTCATGAACGAAATTCGTCATAAAAGGATATTTACTTTCTTTAATGGTCCAGACTGATTTTGCTAGAATAATTAACACTGTTATCAAACAATTCACATTCTCTACTTGCACATTATATACCAGTAGTCTTTAGAAGCTCAATTTCAATTTCCATCACACGTTAGTACTGGGGCAATTAGATGCTCGACCATGCATTTTTACCGTAGTTTATCACTTATACAAAAAACATGCTCCTTGACTATTAAAGATGAATACACGATGAGCATGAACTACAAAATCTTTCTTCTTCTTAGGATGAAAGAGAGGAAATGGGATATGTTACAAACTTGCATTGTTGTGACATTGCATACTCTGCAACTTAGTTGTGTACAGAGGTAACATTTTTAGTTCTTTTTTTATATATAGATATATATATAGAGAGAGATATATACACACACAAATGAAACCTTTCAAGAATGTAGATGGCACACAAGCCGTCTTCCAAATGCTTCCAAATCCTTTATAGTATCGTTATGTTTGCTGATAAATTGAGTATGTATTTACTTTGGTCCAATCCAAAGTTACTATTGACACATGTGCGAAAAGTTACAAATTTCTTGCACATTTTCATGAGTAAAATTTACTATAAGAAGCTGTGATTAAACTTAGCAAGTATTCAAGTTATGTTCTTTGTAATTATTCAGACACCTAAAACTACTTTTATGATGCAGAAATTAAATTATGACAACATCAGTCAATATTGATCGTTTACTAGATTCCAGTGGTGTGCGCTTTGAAAAAGTTTCGGTCCATACAATCAAAAGTCTTGAGAGATACAAGAGTCAAAGCCAAGTGATTTATGTATAAATGGGAATGAAAGTAACTTTGTACAAGTAAATGAAATGGCAATACTTTGTTAAACAAAATATGAAAAGTGCATGTGAACTTGCTTTGACTATCAAAGGTGAAAGGTTACAGAAATATGAGTAAATACATTCAAATGTTATTTCCCAATTCTCAATTTCTACCTTATACAATGTCATCATGCTTTTAATATGCAAATCTTATGAAAGTTAATGTTACCTAATATGTATAGAACGCTGTGTAAAATGGTTTGAGGGTTAAGTATTCTAAATAAATGCGCAATGAAGGATGAAAGTTTAACTACATGTATAAAGTGAATGCATTATTTGTGCTAAAATATAATACCATATATTCAAAACAAAGGGGTTTGGTTCCTTTGGCTGCATAAGATATAGTGAAAAGGTAGATGTAGCATGGTGTCCAAACCTATGTGCCAAGTGCATCAACATGCAGTAGTTGTTATTGCTCTGTGACAGATTGGGAGAAAATGATCACCAGGTCAGGGAAGAACCAAGTTGGAATTGATCTTTTGGAAAGTAATGCATTTAGCAAAGAGTGCAGTTCAAATGGAGTACATCTGTAAAGGATATACAAAGTCCTTCAGAAAGGTGTTGCTTGATTAAATCTATACTGTGTTTGAATTGTTTCCAACAAACGAGCTTCTACTGTACTTCTCCTAAATTTTCTTCAAAAAGTACAAATACAATCTCCCCCCAAATAAAGTGCATTATAGTTACTTTCGAGTTTCATTCGACAAGCATGAAGCTGTTTGTATTCCTTCTGAACGACAGAGCGCAAGTGTAGTACTTGGTGGCCTAGTTTTTAACAAAAATTCATATTTATTGAACAACGAGGGCGGCATTCACACTCTTACACAAAAGGCAAATCATTGAAAGGAAGACAGAAAAATTACAATTTACAGTAGAAAAATAATCATAATCCACATCTTTGCAATCCTCTGTATTTTTATGATGATTTACTTACTGTACATTGACTATAAACACACTGTTAACGACATGTATGCCTGGATGCTCATACAAGTCTTATTCTAATTCACTAAAGCTATGACTATATATCTATAAGGAGTAGCGTGGAAGGGGGGGGGGCTTAAATTTAAAAAATTCAGTTGTTTAATAATTGATCCTCTCTCGTTTTCTTTATCAAAAAATGAGAAAGACTTGATGGAGAGCTGTCTAGGTTTAATGTTTGTCTTAGCACTCAATCCCTACCCCAAAAAACAATATCAGAGCCCTACCTTATACACAGCTGTCATTAATTCAAAATTGATCACAACTTCATATCAATCACAACTGTGTACTAAAGAGATAGGAACTTGTAACTTTGTGATTGATTGGTGGACTCGCAATACAACCGAATCAATTGTAACTCAATGTAAAACAGGACCCAATTCTCTTATCATGTGCACCTATCAAAACGCAAAGTTTTGCCTTCCATTCTTCCTCCATCAAAAAAGGCTCTAAAGGGACCTTAGTCCAGGGCTGAATTTTATTCTTTAGGTTATAATGTAATATGATATCATGCCAAATGGGATATTAGCCAACCCTGCATTAAACCAAGAACTCTGTCTCAGCCAAGTTGGTGTCTGACGTCACAACTCAAGGATTAAGCAATTATCTACACCAGTAAGTGCTGCCTTTCATTTATTCTATTTAACAGATTAACTACAATTAAGTTCAGTCATGTCTCAATCATGAGAGCAAAAAGAAAACAAAGCTTGCATATCAATGGTAATCATTAAGAGTCCTTGATACAAAAATGGCACACACATTAAATCACTAGTATGTCATTAAACACACTTTAAAATGGACCATACTGTTTAAACACACTTTGAAAATATAATTTTCTTGATTTAGAAAAATGTATATATATCCCTACTTTGATTTGTCGACTTAACTTTCTCAAAGGTCAGATAGTATTATGTAGAATTAAGTTACCCATACAGCTACCCATGCACCAAATGAACTGACTACTTTACAATGATGCATATACTTTTATTTATGTACATCGGGTGGGATGGATATAATTAGTTCTGGGTGTTCCCACTTTCCTCTGCAAGCGTTTCTCCCTCGCTTCCCGATACTCTGCTGGCCTGGACACAATTCTCTTCGAGAAGGAATTCCACAAACTTCTTTCGTAAATCGAAAGAATTCCTGATCGCAGATGATGACTCTTTGACTGAAAAATAAAACTCAAATGACATCAAACTTGCAAATATGAAAAATCCTCTCTCGGCACATTAACGAAAACCTTCCCATCATTTGACAGAGGAATCCATGTTGTCCTGGCCTGACCATCACCACAGCCAGCTAAACACACTGCCACCCCTATCACACAATGGAGCGATCCACATGCCTGCATAGAGACACAGCTTGTAGGGGGATGAGGTGGGAATGTTCTATTGTTGTTTGCAGGTAGAACTGAGTTTCCGCACCCTGCTGATTTTCTTCTCTTTCTGAGGCTCCTCTGCCTCAGGGCTGGGGTCTGAGCTCTCATCGGGTTCTACAACAATCTGAGGCGCATCTATCAATAAAAAGGAACAAGAAGGGGCATCAAGAATGTATTGAATACCAATTTGTTAGGATAGGATAGCCATCTTTGAGTACAACTTGGACAGAATTAATCTTGTATTTTAGCTTATTTCAAGATGGAGTCTGTATTCAGCAGACCATATTCTTCTCTCATTTTCTAAAATTATCTTTGCCTGTTTATTGCAAAGTATGTTTTCCATATAAAACCCACAATATGTTGTTTTGTCTCTTCCACTTCTTTCTAAATTCTCTACATCACTGTCTCTGTCACCCTCTGTCTCTGTCTCCCTTGGTCTCTGTGTCTCTCTTTGTGCTTCCATTGTCTGTCTATGTCTTTCTCTCTCTCTCTCTCTCTATCTCTCTCTTTCTGTCTGTCTGTCTCTTTTTCTCTCTTTCTGTGTGTGTGTGTCTGTCTCTATCTCTCTCTCTCTCTCACTTTCTGTCTCTCTGTCTCTCTCCCCACCCCCTCTTCCCTTACCACTGATATTACCCACCTTGAGAAGCTTGCGCACTGTACTGTTCTCTGTCTTCATAGTACTCGTCTGAATAACTCCCATCCTCGGACGGACACGGGTTGAACATGTCTTCTATGTAGGGTACTACAGTCATGCTCCGTACCTCGTCACAGCTATCAGGGAGGAGGGGAAGGTGGACTGGCTCTCCAACCAAGTCATGTTTTTTCCTCACCCATCTACATTGTAAATGATGAAAATATGCAATAAGATCAACATACATGTATATATAGCACAGCTACTATGTTGATATACTCTACTTTACAGTAGGCTTATGGTTGCACCATGTGAGAGAGGGGGAAGGATTAAGGAGTCCTGAAAAGGACTGTCGGTAATCTTTCTTGCTTGAGTGTGTGTAGTCCTGAAAAGAAGTGTTGGTAATCTCTCTTGAGCTTATAGTTCTAGTTCTAGTTATACTCTACTTAGTTGAAAAGCTCCTTAGAATACACTTTGGGGATACACAACCAATCAATTTTGAGGATTCTGAAAACCAAGTTGGTTTTCAGCAAAAGGTCCATAGATAGTAACAGATAAGGATTTTCTTATGACAAGTGGAAGGGTGTTCCACTTCAAGTGCAGAACAAAATTAAAATAATAAAGAAAGTAAAATCATTCTTGGCCTTTAATGTCAACACTTTCAGTGATATACTAGTTTGTCAGTGGCACAAACACACAAGATAGGAACATTGCAGGACTACACCTGCCTAAGGGTTTGACATTTTGAAACTGGCCTTGTAATTAGTGAAAAAGGCATAATGAAAAAATGCCACATGTGCTCTGGATGAATTAAGGTCATATATTTTTCTCTCATTCTGTATTTTATAATAACTTGAATATTATACTATTCCCCATCAACCCATTGATTCTCACTTCCCTTCTCTGTGTAATCTGTTCCTTCTCCATTATGTTTAAATGTCTTTGTTTACTGTAAAAAGAGTGCATCTCCTTCTCTTCCCAAATGAAAAATACCGGGCATGGTGGCTCAGTGGTTAGAGCGCCCGCCTCATGAACGGGAGGTCGTGGGTTCGAACCCTGGCAGAGTCATACCAAAGACTTATAATAACAATGGGACCTTCTGCCTTCTAGCTAGGCGTTCAGCATATTAGATTGGAGAAGGGTAGACATAACATATTATGTTATGCAGGGCCTGCTGGAAGAGCAGTTTCATAACTGAAATGGCTACCCTGGGTAAATAAAACGATATTATTATTATTATTATCATTAAAATAGAATATCACAGTTTGATTGCTCCAAAACTATATACCCCCCCCCCCCCCCTAGTATATATTGAAGCAAGCTGAGACATGATTTCAAAGATGCAGATGTACACACAAGAGACAATAACTTACACATGTTCCTTGATTTGATGCACATTCAGCCTGGTGTCAGGATCTATAGACAGCATACCTGCAATTTATCAAGGATATCAAAATATTGAGATTAGGTGATTTGGCAAAGATTCAAATCGGTGTCACATGTCCCGTTTGTTTGCATGCTCCTGCTAATGTTTACATTTACTGGGCCTGAAAAACTATGCAAGTCATACTAAGGGATGAGATTACTAATTGTAGCTACAGCATGGTCATGTACATTGAGCAAAACATCCATGGAAGCCATTGAAAATTTAGCTCCGAGAAGTAATGAAGAGCTCTCCAGATCATTTAAGCGAATGAAAAATAAATGAATCAAAATTAGACGAACTAAAATCTTGTCACCATGAAATGAAATATGTAATGAATTTCTCATTTTCAACCACAACTTAACTTTGTTCACTCACTTTGTTAAAAGAGTATTATAGTAATCATCAAGGGACAAAGGAGGTATATGAAACTTGGCATTCAATAAATCAGTGAGCTATAATGTTAATCCAGGTTTATTCTGATTAAATCCAATGGGATCAGGCTAATTTGGCACTAGGGGATCCCCAGCATCGCTCACTGATGACATTTCATGAGCTGGAGTGCAAGCTATACACCTACATGTATGCATCAGACCCATGGATAGCTATAAATTTCATGTTCTTAATAATTAACCTCTTGGAATTTTCAACATTACGTTTTTAATAGTAATCAATCACTAATTCTTATCACATGATCTCAAATATTGTGTTCTCAAAGACGTCTTTAATGCAAAACTTCACACAATTATGTAACTTGGCCAAGATTTTCCACTGGGTCCCTTTTACATTTGTCCCTGATGCCAGATTAGCCCATTATTCCTATCCTTACCTTATCTTCTAGGGTAAGGGTAAGGGTCAGGGTTAGTGTTATGTATAGTGTACATAGCATTAGGTATATCGAATTGTGGAAAGAATAACATTGAATTGAATTGAATTGAACTGTTGGGTCCAGGGTTGAAGTTTGGAATTCAGTTAGAGTAGGATATTGTGAAACTCACACACGTGCAAAATGTGGAGAAATATTAAGAAATGGAGATATGGGCTCAAGATTGTATCATTTGGATCAAGATACCACTTGTAGAAATTGATAGGGTCACGTTACCTATGATTGGACAGATCACTAATGATGATGATGATTGACCGTAGAGCAATTAACACTGGAGTGTGTGACATAAAACCTTACTATGTACTACAGCCTGTATGTCCCATTTGCAGGCCCAAAAAATGAAAAGGTTAAATTCCAAGGGCATTTGAAAGATAATACTAATTTAGAACTTCCCTCAACACTAAAGGGCTTGAAAATGTCTTTAAGGGGGAAAATAACGACCATTAGTTCTCAAATCGACATTATTGATTACAATCACTTAAGTAATAGTTTGATTTTCAGACCCTTGTACTAAGTGTCCGACAGTGAAGTCTAGGAAGAACAGTGTCCGACAGTGAAGTCTAAGAAGAAAAGGGGTTTCCTTGCATAATTTGAATACTAGGACACTGCTAACGTTTTAATTTCACAGAAAGGACATACATGACATGTTGGCTGCAAATGGGACATAGTACCTTTCACATAAGTCCGATTAAATGAATGTGAACCTGTTGACCACTGAAATTTCTTATTTCCATAGGTACAGTAACCACTGGGTTCCAGTAGGCAAAGGGGTTAATTATCCTGCTTACCTTCTAGTAGGTTAGTGAGTTGTGGTGGTACGTCAGCAGGAATGGTGTAGTCGCCTTTCCCGATGTTCTCAAATAATCTGTAGATGTTGTCCCCCTCAAAAGGGAACTTACCCGTTACAATGTTATATCTGCACAGAGGAAAAGGTAAGAAAGAAGGGGGGAGGAGAAAAGAAAATTGGAGGTAAATGCATAAACATTGGTTTTAACCAGGAGAGGCAAACACTTCTTTGAAGCATCTCTCAAAAGAAACTGTATTTAAAACAAAAATAAAAAAACTTGAGTTCAATTTTAAAAGTATTACAAAAATATGAAGAATGCTGAATCTTCATTAGATGTTAATTATTCTATTTGCTGCGAGGAAAATCTATACATTCTTAAAAAATGAACTTTAATCTGTATCAAAAATCTAATAATTTATTAAGTCGTTTAATAGGCAGTTGAATAAATACGGTACATAATATGTTACTTTTCAGGGAGTAATTATTTGAGATAAAACAAATAATCAAGACAATACAAAATTTGCACCTTGTGCAATTTAATCCACGATATACAAAAGCGGCATAGCACTGTGAATCCGGCTTGGAAAAATGCCAATACAGCATTCCAATGGAGCACATAAATAATGCAGACACGAGTACAGAGATGAGTCACACATTATTATGACAAATGTACTGAAACCAATGTTGGAGAGAATACCAAGATTCCAATTTCTTCACATGCATTTTCATGATCCACAATGAAAACTAGTATCACCATTACTTGTAGACCTCACAATTTACCTACAAGACAATTCTGATTTTGACAGCACATTTATACATGTATTACCAATTATTTCATTTTTTGAAATCAATTCTGTTATTTTTTTCTTTTAATGATTGTTAAACTGTATTTTTGTCAATATGCCTCCCTTTTAATGTCCTACATCTACAAAAAAAATGATTTTTTTTTTTTTTTTCTTTTTCTTTTCTTTCTTTCCTGGGCTATTATGTCTCTTTTGTTGAGCAAGTTTGATCCAATTTTGTTACCACTACCTGTAAGAACTTTCCAAGCAGTCTTGCGCAAGGTTACCATTGCTTTTTTCTAGAAAACTTCTTGAAGTAAGGCATTGTGCAGATACAGTAGATATTTCTGTAGTATTATATACATGTAGATGTTTCCACTGAAGACATGTGTATGTATGCACAAACCGAGTGGACTGGTCATCTATCCCTTTAAGATGAACTTTTTCATTCCAATCGCCAATGCACGTACTTAAAATACCTGTGCAAATAGACACATAGGGGAATGGAGGGGCCTGGGCAATCAGTATTTATCAACAAACAAGCAAGGACTGCCTAGACACAACATAGCCATACAGAAGAATGCACTTCACAAGTTTGTTATTATTCTTACAATCAATCTATCTAATCACGTTGTTTACTTTGAATAAGTCAAAGCTGGAAATATGGAGTGTTTTGATCACGTATAACTTAAAGTACGTTTATGCTCAATGAAAAACAGCGATCGTAAACTCACAAAAAGGTGCGTTTTGGATCAGCGATTCTGGGGAAGCATAAACGCACAATCATTTGTAAACGCATTTAAATGGGGTCAACGTAGCATGCGCAGTGCAGGTTTGCGAATCCAGTTGCAGAGCCAGAATCATGCCCGGAGGAGCCAGAGAAGTGAGCATAAACAGTACACCGTGGAACTGCGATTATGATGAGCGTTTACGATGAGCGTTTCAAATCGCTCATTCTGCCTTCAAAATGAAGCATAAACGCACCCTTATTATAAACATAAAACCCAGTGATTTGAGATAAGGAATATTAGCCCTATATACATTATAAAGCCTCACCAAGCTGCATTGTTTCAGCACTAAAAAGACAAAAGGAACAATACTCCCTAGAAACCCAGAAGTATTATTTTACAACTAAATTGTCCTTTCTAAATTACATTTCATGTAAAGTAAAGATTCTATATACCCACTCTCATGTAATGCAGAGTATGCAGAGATATGAGTGATTAACCCCCCACGGTCTATTACCATGAGCTGAGCGTTAAAGTATGAATGAGAGACTCCTACACATCGTCATGGCAATGATCGTTCCCAATCAAGTTGGAATGATGTCAACATCAACCCACTTCACTTTTCTATATCTGCATCTATCTACATGCATTATGTACCTGTAGCAGTTGCATGAAGTCTGCTAGTTTGAAGGCACAAACTCTTGTCAGTGAGTAACAGTGTCTGCACTGTGAAACTAGGCTGACAGCTTAGGCCTACTGCATAGGCTCTGTACTGCACCTGCTCCTGCCATAGCCAGAGACAAAAAATCTAGGATCCGTTCAAGGCTTCATGAATTGTGGAAAAGTGTAAAATAAGAGTCTGTACCTGCAGCCTAGTAGTCTGCAGACGTGTGGGAGAGGGGAATTTGAACCAATGCATTCCAATTTACCAGAATATATTCAAAACTTAAGGTTCAGCAAGCCACAGACTAATATTTAATGTACACCTGTACATTGTTGGATTCAGGAGAGAGGGGCTGAAAGGGCTTCCCCTCCCCTTTTGAGGAAAAACAAAAATATGGAAAACTGGGCAATTTATTTTAAATTTTGGTAACCCCAACCCTTCTTTCGTCACCACTTTCTTCAAATCTCTCATCAGCTGCTGTACATGAAGGGGCCACCTCCCCCTCCCTCTTGCGAAATAAATCTAGGAAAAAAAAGTTCCCCCCCCCCCTTCTTATGAGCCCCTGCATCTGCCCCTGTACATCTACTACATACATGTGTCTCTGTGTACAACATCATTTGGTTTCCTTCTCCAAGCAGGAGTATTGATTTAGCCTGGTTCTCTGACGACATGCACCTCCAAATTTCACTGATGTCTCACGGAGCATGCAAAATATTGAATCTGACATTTTCGCCTCCGGCTCCGACAACGACGACTGTCCGCTATCGCATGTTCGGTATGAATAATAGAAAAGTACTCTTCCTATTGACATTTCTGTTCAGGCTATTTTGGTAGCGCCTCTTCAGTAAGTAAAGACAGATAATGTCAAAATTTGTGACAAATGTATTAAATCCTAATCATAAGACATATTACTACTCGTGCTCCTTCCCTTGTTATATTGTATCTGCCCTGCTCTCAATCTATATTTGTTTGGTTGTTTGTGGGGTCGATATGACCTTTCACGCAAAGATTATTATTACTAAGAATAGGATGAGTGGGCAGGTAGACAAAGAATTCACTTTTTTGTTTCAAGGTCTGATAATTTGAAATAACTTTTTTGTGGTCCTCATAAAGGTCATCAAAAGCGATAAGATTTTTAATATCATTACATTTCAATGCTTTTTTCAATTGGCCTACATAATAAACGCTTCTTTTTCTTTAAAAGAAAATTATGAATTCAGAAAACGCCATTCCTATTAAAGAGGAAGAGCTATGGATGATAATTAATGTTTTATAGAGACATTTATCTTCTCTAAATCACACCCTCTTAATCCTCTCACACCCACTCCCTCTCCTTAACCTAATCTAGGGTAGTAACACCAGACATATCAGATGTCAATAATGTCTTCTGTGGTCTTGAGGTGAATGTTCTCTGAGATCTATTACATGTACCAACCTGAGCTACATTACAATAGCGATGTTCATAAGGGACTGTTGTAGATTAAAGTTAAGTTTGTAAAACTCCAAAGTTTTAAATAACAATCCACTATAAACGACGATGAAGATTCACACAGGAATGAAACAATGAGTGGTCAGAGTTTTAACACTACAAGCTGGGGAAAGCATTAGATTTAACTACAAGCTGGCGTAACCTCAAAGTCCATTACGTCTACACTGCACATAATTCCGAGTGAGAACCCTTTACAAGTACATCATCTTAACGATACGATCACACAGTTCACAACTACAACATTACCTCAAAGTTTAAAGAGATGACTTCTTGTAACTTTCACAACCACGAGTGTGTCCGCCGTCTGCACAGTCCACAACTACAATATATTACCTCAAAGTTTAAAACCAAGACCTACACATAAACTTTACGCTTACACACTGTCGTGTTAACATTACTTATGTGCATGCATGAGAAGTACCTAGTCACAATTCTAAGTATTCAATGCTATAACCACAGCGGCCAGCCAGACGTGTGATTGATTTCCTCGCATCAAGTAACTCTGGGGTCTACTTCATCTTTTTCCAGGGAAACAGCCTCAAAAAAGCGTGAGGCTGAAGAACAATGGGAGGGATAGAGGAGGTAGACAACCAAATGAGATGATAGAAACAGTACGAGAGAATATCTTGAGATTGAATATACTTTGTACACATTGAAGCATTGATTTGCACCCAGAGGCAAAGAGTCTGTTAAATTTCCAACAACACATGAACTGTACCAGTATCATTGTACGTATGAAAATTACAAAATCATACAATGTATGTTTTGCATTATTGTAAAAAAAAAGGGGGAAAAAGAAAAGAAAATACTGGAATAGTGAATCTTCATTTGAGAACTTGTATATTTTTCTGTAATAATCTAGCTGAATATTATCGACTTGTACAAGGGTAAAAGAGTGCAAGTTTTTCAAGAGATGAAAACAAAATAAGTTGACAGGAGCCACAATTAAAAAAAAAGTCAAATAATGATAATGGAAAATATTCTTTATCCTTTTCTTCCTCCCAACAAGGAGTGTTTCGTATCTCTCTTCCCACAATGCCTTCCCATCATGCACCACATCATCTCATTTGTCCTTTCACTTACAGACAACAAAGCTGACGCACCTTCTGTTCTAATTGATACGCCACACCGACTAGAAAATTAATTACATCTGATCCTTCTCCATTTTCAAAGGGTTGATATTAATTCAGGCAGGGGCCTTAATGCACTCGTCTAGAACCCCAATCTTCAACAGTATCACCTTTCATTCTTGTAATAATGTCATTCTCAAAAGGCCTGTCCTCATCAGCTGAAGTTTGCCAAATAATCCGCTATTTTAACTATCCCGATCGCAAATTATCCAGCTAATTTGCGTCTTCATCAGCCCTCAGTTGCAATTAGCGAGATATTTGGTTGAGAAAATAATCTGGAGAAATTTTGCTCTCGTTTCCAAAATATCCCGCTATTTGAGAAATAGCAGGCTAATTTGTGCCTGTCCGACCTAGTTTGTGATGAACATATTGGTCTGGTGGAAACGCAATTTCGAGCCTGAAAATAGCGGGTTATTTGGCAAACTCAAACTGATGATGACAGGCTTATTCTCAACTTTACGTGTTAAGGTAATTAGATGAGGGTATCGTTAATGACTTGTAGACTTGAGCACAAAACAGGTACAAGTGTGTCCAATGGGATGCGCAGATGGTGTCCAGAAGACAGGGGGAAACGGTACCTTGTCTCTCAATTTAGAGAATCAATTCTGATTAAAGTCATCTCTCGCTAAATGACACAGACAGCTCCGTTTCATCAATGGAGCGATCCCAGAATTATGACTCAGCGAATATTCTGGCATTTCGGTTGTCTTCAGCTGACAAGTATTCAACCTGTCATCAAAATATTGCTTTGAAATATGATATACATGTATTGAAATTAGGGTAACTGGAGCTCCATGTCAAAAGATATCAATCAATTAGAGAAAGAAGAAGCTGTGTGAAAAGTGAGGAATTAGTCCATGTAGGTCTGCTGCCATCAAGGGTCAAAAACTAAAAAGTCAAAAGTGAAATGTTGCAAAATGCATTGTGATTGTCAATAGTGAATTCTTCGTCCGTTTGGAGGATGGATTGTGCTTTAAAGGTGTAACAATGCATTTTGCAACATTTCATATTTGACTTTGCCCCAAATTCAGGTGTACCGTATAGTCCATGGTTACAAACGGGGCATCATTGTAAAGGGAAATGAACACGCATTTCAATTATAAATACCAACCTCAAATATGAGAATATAATAAGAAGAGAGATATAATGCTAAAACTTGATTACCAGGCCTTTTTTTGAGGAGTCTATAGGCCGTGTCACACAGAGGCCAAAAATCCAGATTTTAATTATCCTCTTAATTGCTGTCTGTCATCAATTATCCCTTCAAAAACCCTCTATCGAAGCAAGAAAATTCTCCCTTGAAAGGATTTTTCAAGGGATTTTTCTGTGTGACACCGCCTAATTTGATCATGAAATTAACAAATAAATCATTGCCACTACCATGGCATCTCCTAATGTAAAACAAAAATGTAGGCAACCATGAATACAGAATCGATGCTACGTCATGAACATGCATTCCTTTCAAGAGGCTGAATAAATAAATAAAGTAACCTACAATCTACATGTATATGTAAACCCTCATGTGTATGGCTCCTGGCATTAAATATGTATCGGATTTATAACACTACAGTCTATTGGGGGAAATGATTATGGTATTAAAAACGGGTCACTCAAAGATTTTCACTTTTTGAAGCATTTGAAGTTCATTTTGAAGCACAATTTTTTTTAGGGCTTCAAACACCTAGGGTCATGCATCTCAGATACAGGGTATGTAAAACTGCAAACATTGTTAAACAATGCCTTTGAAATTAGTAGCCAAGTGATCTTGAGGGAGCAGACAGCAAGAAACTGTGTGAAAATCATTTGGCTTGAGAAAGTCGACAGGAGTGGATAATATAGCTTGCCTACTAAATTCAAGGTTGGTTAGAAGCTTAAATTACATGTTGTGTACGATACTTTTACATAAAATATGCGAAATCTGCTGTCAACAATCAACAGAAATTGAAATCAGAAGCCTGGGAGAGCACAGGTATCTAGGTTGCCTGGCTGGCAACACAAATAGGAAATAAGTGAGAGAACCGATAATTCACCTACACAATAACAATTTACTGCAGAGTGCATCATCGCACAAACACTTTGCTTAAGTGTTTTCCTACTAGACACCGCTTCATGTCAGGTAAATTGTAACAGCAGCACTGGACATTCTTAAGTCAAATTCAAGAGCGCTTGATGTCACGTAGACCCTTCACCGAGAAACTAAAATGGATTCTAGCATCTCACAACAAGACTCCTTTAGCAAGCTAGGGACCTTGTTCACAAACTGTACTAATGTTGCAGTATTAAGGTATCAGTTTTCCCTTTTACAGAATACATAGCTTACATTTGTTGCAATATTTACTATGAGGGAAAGATGTTTCTATATCAAATGTAGACTTTTACTACATCCAACATCTCAAAAGGGCCACTTTCTACCACAATTTCAAATTAGAGCCATGAATATTACATCATCACTGAAACAGTTTACTTCAATTTCAGTCATTTAATCAAATGCAGTCAAGTTGCATAGAAAATAACGTAGAATATGACTCTATTGAATTCAACTCTCAATTGCATCCCTTTCAAGAACTCAGAAAACAAATCTTGGACAGATATAATTTGGAAATTAGTGAAAGGGAAATAAAATTCTTGAAGTACATGTACAAACTCCCTCATCCCAAAAAGAGGACTTTTAGCTGTGGGCAAGTAAAAAATATAAAATTAAAATAAATAATGCTACATCTCAAGCACACATTAAATCTCAAACTACAACATCTGCCTGAGTACTATCATCTTCATACAAAAAAATGTAGTCAGGATGCAGTATTCCTTGCTCGTGCACAAAACAGCTTGAAGTAACCATGACATTCCATCATCATGATCATGTTGTGTTTTTTTCTCACACCCTGGGAATGAAAAAAAAAAAATTCTCCTTCAACAAAGCCAGATAGTTCAGCACTCAATATGACTACTTGGAGAGAAAGAAAGAAAAGTGAGACAGAGACAGAGACAGAGACAGAGACAGAGACAGAGACAGAGACAGAGAAAGTGAAAGAAAGGGAAGGTAGGGAGACAGAGGGGATCAGAGTGAGAGAGAGAGAGAGAGAGAGAGAGAGAGAGTAGGGGGGGGGGGGGGTAGGTTCAGAATAAATACTGTAAATAGTGATAATGTTTATTCAAATTGGTAATCCTATAAGAAGGACACTGTCTCAGTGAAATATCCTCAAACTTGGGCAGCCCCTGCAATGCTGCAGGTCAGCCAGTGCTGAAGGCTTGCCAATCGGTAAACACACAACAAGATCAGTAGCAGCTTGGATCCAAATATAGCCATCATCCAGGGTTGAGCTGGGAAAACACTTCAAGAATTGGATCGACGCCAAGAATGTGTTCACATCTCACTTTACTCTCTGGTCTCCATGGGGAAGTAATGGCCAGTTCAGATTATAGGAAATTTATACAAAACGCGTACCCAAAAAAAGATTTATAAAGAATCCTTGGATATGATAGGAGCTTACAGACTACCAAACAAAACATGGTACATGTATGAAGAAACCAATTTTGATGAGATTAGTTGACATGACAGCTGGCCAATCATTAGCGCTTGTTCAGGATAAGCCCCGCCCAGTTATACAATTTTCGTACAATACAATGTTCAGACTAGAGCGGAACCCTGATTCTTTATCCACTTTTCATTCAAAACAATGCTCAAACAAATTAGCTATACAAGAATCGTATAGCTATACAACAATTATTGGTGGTCTGAATGAAGCGTTCGATGTTGGCTTTGACCTGACCATGTGGTGTGGCGTGTATTTCAGCTTCCACAAACACTGGGGTGCTTTCCTATTCAGGCATGTGATTGTAATTTCTCTCCCCTGGCCTGCTACCTTTTCTCGGTCTGTTCAATCTCTATTTTTATGCCAGTCCATTACAACTGCTTCAGCTAGAGCTGGTTACGATTATTCAAAAGCAATTGAAAAGCTTTTATGTTTATTCTAAACCACTAGATTTGATACGTACAAATTCTCTGATTTCCCTTATTCTGTGTCTCTATAATAATCCCTCTAAATGTAGATTTCTCCTTCTCTTCCATCTTGCTCAATCTTGCTCCATCTTTCTCTCACCATCCCCTTATGCAAATCCTAATCAACTCACCAACCTCGTTAAGTTATTCCCCTATGACTTAATTAAAGCATTACGCCCTGAAATAATGTACCAATGTTATCTGGCTTCTTTGTGTGTAAGCATGCATGACCATGTGAAAACTTTGATCTCAACATTTTATAAGGTGAAAATCTATAAAACATGAACATTTATAGTAATATTCATAAATAAATGTTAATTTCATAATGACCCTGAGACAATATTCTGTGATTCCTATGAAATCAGGAATTTGTGGAGCACCAATGTCTAGTTGCCTAATCATTCACAGGCCCTCATGAGACTAAAAAAACTACTGAAATGTCAGTCGATGATTCACCTGGGAAAGACTGGCATTGTGGCTATTTGTAAGTAATATGGAATAGGTACGTCTTTAGTTTGTTTTTTAAAGTGGATAGCAGGTCAGAAGAGCGAAGGTACTGAGGAAGACCGTTCCAATAAATCAAATAAAATAATTAAAAAAAAAAAAAAACTTAGGTGCAGAAGTAAATATATCACTTTAATACACTGCATTATGTGTCTATTGTCTATAGATACTACTACTTACAGTGTGATTCCAGATGACCATATGTCCACTTTGAACCCTGAGAAAACATCTTGACCGTTGGCTATCTCTGGAGGTTGAAAGGCTGGTGAGCCCTGGCTGGTCCGACATGCATCGTCTTCTGTAAAGTGGTCCAGAAGCTATTGGCAAAGGTGGGGGGGGGGGGGGAGAGAGAGACAGGAAAGTTAGCGAAAGTCAACACATGATAATTTCAATGCAAATTCAGCAAAATCAAAATTTCAATCCTTACACATCCAAGTATTTACAAAACTGATGTTGACATGTTATATTCGATCGCCCCCCCCCAAAAAAAAAAGGAAACAAAAAATCTTTTGAATTAAAAGCTATGAAATCATTTAAAGAGAAGGTTGAGTTCTGGGAAGAGGTGAAAAATAATTTGTGAGCATTACTCATTCTTATTATGCAAGTGTGGAAGAACATCAGTTAAGACATGTTCCCTGAAAAGCATGGCTCTTCAAATGCCTTCATATTCTAAATATGCATGTAACATCGTAAAAATCGGGGGCCGGCTTTTTACGCCACGTGTTCGTGTAGTCCCATATACATCTTTCTGTGCAAGTGTTTGTAACTTTACCAAGACTTGGCCAAATTTCTTATCATTTTGATGATTCCAGAACCTTGCAATACACACAAATTCTTATATGCTAGATGATCAACCTTTTCTGGTCGGTTCCACACCGTCTCTTTCACAATGCAATCGCATGACCAGAACTCAACTTCATCTTTAAGCCTGATTCTGAGAGAATTTAATCAAGCCTAAAGTTTGGAAATGCATGATATCAGTAGTTTTTTTTTATATCTATGCATTTAATCATATTGACATGATGGCATACATATCAAATTGCCATTAAAACACTTTACAAAATTTATAATTAAAGAGGAAAGAGAGCAAGAGATAGGGAGTGGTTTAGAGAGTAATAAATAGGCAATAGATCGATGTCATTATTGATGTACGATTCAATACTTCTCATATTCTTCCTCTTGTAAGCAAATAAAGTCCCACTTCAAACGTGTACTGCTAGCACCGCACTTCTCATCCATCGTCATTGAAGTGAAGTACTCCAATACAGTACAAACAGCCAGCGCTTCATATCATTCATTTCATACTGACAGATCATATTCATGACAAACTATTTGTTTTCTGTAGTCAGAATCCATTTACGATGCCAAGCACGCTAAGCCCTGGATGGTAGATGCACATGTGATTAATGATGCAGTAAAACGATAGCTCTTCCTGAAACATACAACTCAGGCAAGGTTGCACAATCTTGATCAGAATCAAATATGCAGTGTTTACATTCTCTTGAGGAGGATACAATTTATACTACATGTACATGTGTGTGTACATGATGGAGTTGTTTTCATTTCAACATTGCATAAAGCTGTATATTTCATATCCTGACAACTCATTTTTACATCATGTGTTTAAAAAAATTGATTTAAAGCTGAAATCATTCATGAAACAGACGATCATGATAACAAAATGGATATTCATGTGTCCAATTATATCTACCGGTATAGAGAAATAAATGGTCACCCCCCAAAAAATGAAATCAGGTCAGTTCTCTTTATGGAAAAATAAGTAAATTACGGAACCATCATGATTATAACGAATATTCATGTCTAGTTTACGAAGACACAGAGAAGTGGTAAAACTTAATTTCTAAATCGGGGCGGTTCTATCTATGGGCAAATTATGCGACATTAAGTGCAAAAAAAAGTAGGGAAAGGGACCATCACGATAGTAAAATGAATATTCAGGTCTAGAAATTACTCAGCAAAATGATAAGATATATCAATTTCTGAAATCAGGTCACTTCATATTTCAAGGACTTAACAGGGAGCTATTAACAATTTTTAGTTCTTCCCATTAGTGAGCATCTATCTCTATTTTTCTCCTTAGCAACCATCGGAGGTCATTGACGGTAATTGCTCAAAATGTCAGCAATTTGAAGAGGAGGTTGTTACGAAGTGCAGCTGGACACCTGTACATGCAGCAAGCACAAGGATCATGGTAGAAGATACAGAGATGCACAGAAAAGCAATCACTCCTCATTTGAGATGTACACTAGCTATTGAATGTTTATGGACAACAAAACAGGCAAGATTGGAATTGAAAAAGAGGGAAGAGAGAGAGAGAGAGAGAGAGAGAGAGAGAGAGAGAGAGAGAGAGAGGGAGAGAAAGATAGGACATAACAATATCGGGAGAGATAGGAAATTTATCAAACAGAAAAGATGAAAAATAGGAATGGGTATTGGGCAGAAAGAGAAATCAGACAAAATACATAAAAATAGAAATAGAATTCTACAAAGAAGGAATGAAATTAAACCAGACTGAGAAAATGACTAGAGGAAAAATATAGGAGCAAAAAGAAAAGAATGTTAAAAGACATAACACTCACGCCTCACGGTCACCTTTTATAATTGTAGGTAGCAGTGTAAAAAATTATGTTTCTGTTCACAGGAGCACTTCTAGGATTTGGTGTTGTAATAATGTGATCTACTCACAAAGATATATTTTTGGGGTATTTTTTTCCCCCCAAAAGTTCTTTCAGAGAGCTTACCAGAGCTGAATTGCTTATCGCCCCTATGTATTTGTTGTATTTATAAGTAGCCTACTTGGTTATATTTATATTCAGTATTTATTAGGAAAACTCATTCATTCACATGATACCTGAACATTTTGTTTTACAAAAAGAATACCAAATAAACACTTGAAGAACTAAAGAATAAAGATGCTATGTCACTTTACCTTTAAACATTAATACCTTGTGTGCATCTCCAAATACCATGTTCAAGTTGATATAACAGTATGTGAAAACATATGTGAATCTCATTACTAGGAATGATAGGATTTCCTCTTCTGCTATATAAAATGCTTGTTTTCTCAGATTTTATGTTTTTCGCCACATTCCAAGGTCATTTACCCGTGAAGTTAATAACAAGTAAAGCTTGAAAAATAGATGATTGATACATCCTCTTTGGTATCACGATATCCACACATTTCACCATTCACAATATTTGTTTACTCTACATCTACATGTATGAGGTACCACAATAATATGTATTCATAATTTCTTTTAGTTCAAACAATTGCAGTTTTGGTCCAAGAGTTCATTACATTCACTTCTAGGAAATCTAGAGACCAAGGGAAAACAATTTTTCAACCTCTCTCTTTCTTTCTCTCTCTCTTTCTTTCTTTGTTCTTCTCCTTTTTTTTTTCTTCTTCTTCTCCTTCTTTCTCTTCTTCTTCCCCTTCCTCTTTTTCAGACTTATCTTTATTTTTCCAATGGAAGTTTGTTTATTTATTTTATTTCAATATCATTATATTTCTCTTCAGATGTAACCATTTTTTCCTTCTATATTTATTCATGCATTTTTGTTTGTATATATATATATATATACAGAACAGCATATGTTTAATTAATTTGTTTGAGGGAATGAGGAGAAGGGAGTATACAATAGGCATGCAGGGAAGCAGGAAGAACACTCAACAAAAAGCAAACTGGACTATATTACTGAAGTATTTTTGTTAAAGTCTTATTCCACGACAAAAGACAAAATGCAAACGGCAATCTATATCTCGACAGCAAATATTTCAAAAGAATAGTCACGAAACTTATTAATTAAACCAGAGCCATCTATACACAGAGCTTGGACAAGTTGGTTTCAGGTGGTCACAGCATGGCATATATACTTTTGTTTTATCCTTGCCCAACATAGCAGTATTTGCCATGTTTTGCCCAACTCTTCAAATCAATGGTAGTGGGGATAAAACTACTAGCAAAAAATTGTAATAATTCATATTTTTCATTTTTTCACATTTTTTTTCCTCTTCATGATGACGAACGGAATGGAGTGACTCACTCACCTCTGCAACGCCAAAGTCTGAAATCTTGAGAATGCCGGCGGTGGTGAGAAGAAGATTGCTTGGTTTGATGTCTTTGTGGACGACATGCTGGCTGTGCAGGTATTCCAATCCGTCTACCAGCTGACAGAAATAACTGGAATTGAGAGACAGAGACAAAGGCAGACATTTTAAACAAGTTCTTGCATTTTTTAGACACTTTAAGTGAAATACACAATAATGGTGTTTACATGCAAGGTGGTGATGTTGAGCATTATGGCGATTGTGATGGTGGTGGTGGTGCTAGTGGCAATGGTCGTGATAATGATGAGGAGGAGGAGGAAGAAGATAGTGGTGGTGATAATGATGATGGTGATTATTATCATGATGAGCAGGACGATGATGGTGATGGTGATGATGATGATGGTGGTGGTGATGATAATGGTGGTGTTGGTGATGATTTTGGTGGTGAATTGGTGATGTTGGTATAAATGATAAAGATAGATATTATAATGCACATATCATTTTTGATCCATTAAACAATTTCAAAAATGATTTTAGAAATGATAACTACACTGTATGGCTTCAATTCTGAAATGTTTGAACAGTACAATTGCATTTATCCATTGTTTGTCTCATCTCTCCTCTCCTTTTTCATTGTACTATGAAACTAATTCTGTTTATGCCCACATCTTTCTCTATGTTTGACACTGGCAAAAGATCATACTTACTTTTGCCAATATTAAACATACAGCTATTACATGACAAGTTTTAATAATTTAGTATCTTACAGCAAGATGTGAGAAATAAGGACACTAACAATGGCAACCCAAGTCTGGGAAGGAGGCTATCACTCCGCAATTATGACTGATTGATTTTCTTAGACTCCCTGGAGTGAGGCTCAAGATACAGCTATTACACAACAAGGTTTAATAATTCAATATCTGACAGCGAGATGTGAAAAATGAGAACATGAACAATGGCAACCCAAGTCTGGAAAGGAGGCTATCACTGGGCCATTACGACTGATTGATTTCTTTCGACTCCCTGGAGTGAGACTAGAGCATAATGGTATCATGGGGACTGATGTGCTAGATGGATGCACCCAGTCGGTCTCTGAGCGAACCCTAATCAAATTAATGAGCGATTCGCTGGGGCTTTCTAGACTACAGTACTTGTTGCGTGAAAAAGCACGCGAAGATCGCTCATGTCGGACAGTGAAACGATGCTTCATGAATCGTTAGGGAGAGGAATTAAGGAACAATGGAATATGGGTTGCCAAGGATAAGGATAATTGCTCAATATTGTCTCATTAAAAAACTATTTTTCAGTCTTGAACATTGGGCAAACAGCCCAGAAAATTTACAAAACAGCTTTAAAAATACAACAACAAAAAAGCCCAGTTTGAGACTACATGTACATGTGATTCGGGAACTACAGGAAGAGAAACTATACCTTCTCTTTTTTTAAATTTGACATTTTGAAAATCATGAGAGACTGCAAGACTATAACCAATCAATTAATTTATGTTTATGGTTGTTGGTTAAATTGGAATTACACTGGTAATTCCTTCAAATAAATCATGTTATTACACTGCAATTTGAACACCTACACTGTAATGTACATGGAGTGCATATATTCAAATCAATTTTGCGTTTTTATTTTCCACATGTACCTGTACCCGTTAAACATATTTTGCTATGTGCAATGCACAAGTACGAATTGTAGACAGAATTGTAGACAAAATACCTTTGATTTTACTCCCGTATATCTTCAAATATTACCTTATATACAGTAACTAATTATAATAATAATAATAATAATATTCAGCTTTTATATACAGGTGTAGCGCAAATCACAATCGCTTCCAAACTTGGATATTATTACCCCGGCTTTAGCTGTGCTGCCATGATAGCGCTCTAGCATTTCAAGGAATAAATTCCTACCAGGTACCCATTTACTTCACCTGGGTGGAGTGTGGCAAATGTAGATCAATATCTTGCCAAAGGACAGTGCGGCGGCGGGACTCGAACCGCGGACCCTGTGATCGACATTTCGGCGACGTATCCACTCGACCACAACACCTCTGCACAAATTATCATGCAAAAACTTCTCAAAATAAGATGTACAATGTGTAAGCACCCAGAAGGGGCATTTAACATTTCAACTTGTGTCATTAACTGTAAAAACTCCCTCCCCCCCCCCTCCCAAAAAAAAGTGTCTTACTCATTTGCCTGCCAGATGGGGAACTTCTTGCACTCTGCAGCGTCCAGCATGTCCTGTAGTCCACTCACACAATACTCCATGAAGAGATACGTGAGAACACAAGATAGTCAAGGAAAGGTACAAAGAATCATTAAATAGATAAAAAGGGGCGCACGTGTGAAAAGCTATCATTTAAAGAGACATGCTTGTAACATTTTGAAAAGGCCATTTACATTAGATTACAGTTGGCCAATTACCAATGTGCACTAACAATAATTAAGCCACACCCAGTTACAGTATACCATTTTTTTACAATTTGACATTCACATTATAAGAAGACCTTGGTCAAAGCTCAAACATCCCTTTGGCTCTTGACGTTTTGTTATATACATGTACGTTACACAACAATCTGAATACAGAATAATTGCTTAAATCGTATAGCTATACAATGTATTTTGTTAGTGTGAATGAGGAGTTAAATAATGCAGCATGGAACATTATATGACTTGATCATGGAGCCCTGATCAAGACATGCATACCGATGAAGGCATTGGATATCCTATGGCTTTTATATGTCTTTTGGATGCGATACGAACCTAAAGCTCCCGCAACATGCATTTTTAAGAAGAAGGAATAAGTTTGGAGAGCATGTTTATAAATACGAAATCAGAGTCGTTCATTCCTTTCATAATAAGTGAAAGTATGGAAGAGGCCAATCTTCTTTGTTCGTGCACATGTATTCTGGTGAGCTTATACAGTGTATGACACTATTTTCACGTTTGTCATATTGCCATGATACAGTACCTGTCTACCTTTCACAGCAAAAATTAGGAATCTTTCATGGAAAAATTAGTAATACATATACATCTATTTTGTATACTTTTCACACAGAATATTTCAGAAAAAGAGAGGAATCTAGGATTCAAAAAAGTACATGTACACTGTAGCTTGAAGACCTCAAAATAGGTATAATTCCTCCAAAATTGCAATTGTTGGCAGCTATATGCATTGCATATACATGTACATGTACCGTACATGTATGAATTATGCTGAAATAGAATATTTACACGTGGATGAAGATATCTTTAAAAGAAAAAAAAAGACATATTCATGGCCTGTTTCTCTCAACTTAAATTTCAATCACACTTCAATTTAAAATCATAAACATTACACTGTATATGTACATGTATCAGATCAAATGAAAACAGAATGCAATCACCAAACTCCTGCTCTATAAATAGAGGAATGTCACTCACTAGTTATTTGGATATCAAACATTTCCTACTTCTAGATTTTGAAAGGCAAATCAAAATGACATTTTCACTTTCAGTTTCAAGTCGCCAGCGATTTTCAACATAATGTACAATTACCATAGTATACAATGTACATGACCCCTCTCAGTGTCACAATTCAGTAGTACTTGAATTTGATGGATGAAACTAGAACCAAGTCATCAGATTTGTTTTGAAAGGCAACAAAGGTGACATTTGACAAACTATACTCGATCCAAATGACATGACCCAATAAATACATAAACATGCTTCCTTGTGTATCCATGTATCTTTAATTCACCACAGAAATTCTGAAATCTAAAGCCACAACAGAATGTATCACTTTGATAGATAACATTTTAGAAAGGAATCATGATATGAAAATGACGTAACAAAATGCTGAATCTTTGACACTTTCAGTTTTACAGTGGACAAGGCGGTATATATCCAAACCATTTTAGTTTCTCATCCGTCATACATTAATGTTTTAATTAAGAAAAAAATGTCTTTCATCTATCTTGACATTCAGATCCAAAACAAAAGCTGTTCTAATCCAACAAAAACCTGTTTATATCAACACGGCAACAAAAAGAGGAATCATTACCAACACGTGAACATGTACATTGTAGATTCATTTCATTTCATTTCATTTCATTTTTATTTTCCACATTAAAAACCAGAAGAATATACAAGGTAAGAAAATACATTTTTATACATTTGACACAGAGCAAATGAAAAAAAGATAAGCGTAAAAGAACAATGAAAATCTACATCAGTTAACAAACATCAACATTAAAACATAAAAACATAAAAAGGTGAGTAATGTAGATGGGGCTAGAAAAAGCAAAGCTTATCGAGTCTAGCCCCGGTGGCAATGAAGGGGAAGTCCACCCTGAGAACGTGTGTGGCCAAGTAAAGGCGGAGTAAACCCATCCTCAGGGTGGACTCTCCCTTCAAATGTCTGGTTTTATAATTAAATTAGATTGACCCGATGATAACATAATTGTGATTTGAAACATAATAATAATTGTTTTTGAATTTCTTTTGAGTTTTGATTCCTCTACCTAATCTCATCAAATCTTTGAGATACATGCAAGTACACTTTGTGAAACATTGGGGTATATTTTCTTTCAGTTACTATCAAATTTGCAACTTTATATACACATTTTTTTTAAGGGAGGGGGGAGGGGGGAGGGAATAGGACCTAATACAGTTCTCAACTTTAACCCATCAAACTCCCAAGTTACAAATATTTGAAAGGATATATTTTCTGTTTCTCATCATTCTGGAGTACTTCAACGAGTTGTATGATGTTTGGATGGTTTAGCCTCTTCAGAAGCTGGATCTCTCTGCAATGGGGAAAAAAATCAAGAGAGAATGGAAAAACTAGACATATAATACTTGTTTGGAACAAGTATAGGTGGGCTGGTCAACAAAAATTTGAGACAAAATAGAGCAAAAATAAGCGACATACTGCTTACAAATTCTTAAAAAACAATATCATGTAGATTCATAACGTGAACTAAATTCACCTTCTATACATGTAGGCATAACACGCAAATTATGAAGTTTTTGACATGAGGCCTTTAATCAAAATTTTCACTATGATGACGTCATCAAAATGAAAAATGATTATTACTGCGCTTGTAGAGAATTGTCTTAGCTACAACATATCGCAATTTTGAAGAAAATTAATCAATATTTACAGAGATACAATCAATTTTACATAAATATGCTGACGTCATAATATGCAAATTCGTATTTTGAGTTCCAAGGCCATTGTGATGATGTCACGATACACTTAATGGCCAAATGAGACATGGAATCATATTTCCGACTCATACTCTATCTAAATATGAAAAAAAATTGAGGATCCCGGTGCATTCCAAAGAGCTATAATGGATTTTGTATTGGCATGTTTTTGCCCATATATGCTATGTATTAAAAGAGCTCGCGCGCACTGACATTTATCTTGAATTTACGCTCATCTTGTTAATAATGGTCATAAAGAGATAAACATGGTATCAAATTCCTTGAAAAAATATGAGAAATATCATGAAAGAAAAAAAATGGCGATTCTATGTTTTGTAATGGTGTTACGCGCGAAAACGCGCGCGCATGCTCCTACGCGCGATTTTTTATAAAATGCTTAAAATGACCTGAAACATATGCAAAAAAAATTTGAGAAGATTTTGAGCATTTTAAAATTTTGCGCGCGCAAGGACGCGCGGACGTACGCGCAAGCGCGCGTTTTTTGAACTGAAATTGACCGGACTGATAATGACCTTGATCATGATAAATATAAATTAGAAATGACTTTTGGTTATAAAGATATGATCATGAGTTGATTTTTACAAAATGGCGCTTAGATGACGTCATCAGTCAAGGTCAAGGTTGAAAACGTTATTTTGCTTTCTCTATATGCCTATACATATGTGTGCAAAATTTCAAAGCATTTGATTGAACCATTTCAAAGTGATCTTGCTCACAAAAAAGTGGTTCGAAATAAGAAAAATAAATAAATAAAGGCGATTTTAACAAAAATATAAGGTGGTCTGTATTAAATACAGCCCACCTAAAAAGTTATTTGAAAGATAAACACAGAGAAGCAGAAGTTCCTGACATTCACACAATCTATACAACAATGACAAGGAATTTACACTTGAGCAGCGACAGTACTTTTGATTTAAAAACACACAAGACTTGGTCATTGTATTCAATCATTTTGTATATTTACAACCCATCAAAAATTATTGTTTCTACTTATTAGGTAGAAATTATACAGGCTCTTTTGTTCAGTTTGTTGTTATTGTTGTTTAACTGTTTGTTTGTCTTTTTGCAGACAATAGCCATTCATATACAATATCAACATATTTGTTTTCAACTCCTGACAATGTAAATGTCAGGAATGCCTGTAGATGTATGCTTGAAGATGCCCCCTAAAAAAAGGGGGGGGGGAGGTGATAATTTTAATTAGAGTTTAAGGGACTGAGTACCCAAAGCCACAATCTCTTTTTCACAGGATACATGTACAGCCATGTACGTTTTAGTTTCAAAACTTAAACAAGCTATTCAGATTTAATAATTCACGATTATATGAAACAAAGAGTTTCATAGGAATTATTCCAGGAAGCTGGAAGGACTGGAGAAACAAATCAACACAAATAATTGGGCTACGTGTCAATCTGCAGATGTTTGTTTGTTTCAAGATTTCCTCTCTAGACTTGGGATACCTTAAAAACATTTCCTTTGAGAATTTAACAAACTTGGATCCTTGTGGGACAGCTAAACATGAAGGTGATCTCTCACAAATGTATGTAACAATTAAAGAGGCTTAAAAGAAGCTAGTTACATGTACATTATCAAATTTTCTTAATTGGATCCTTATTCATAGTTGTATTCATATCTGAGTGTAATGGGACATTAAATTTCCGTCTACATGTCGGTTTGCTCTCTTCCTTTCCCTCACTCTCTTCTCACTTCCTTCTTTCTCTATCTCTTCCTCTCTCTCTCTCTCTCTCTCTCTCTCTCTCTCTCTCTCTCTCTCAGATTGTTCTTGTGAAATTTGTGTCATCATTTATCCCTCTAGTCTGCAGCAAAACTAAACTAGTTACTAGATAACAAATTGCAGACATGTCCATGCAGTACCTGTGCAGAGGCCTACATCAAAATATATTACATGATAATTAAACTAATAACATTATTTTGTATCTCTGTTAAAAAAATGATTTTCTTTCATGTCTGGCTACTACATTACAGTTAACATAAAAATGTAAATATTATCATTACCAGTATACATTATACTACATATACAGACTTAAATGATCTTGAAGCCAAGAGTGAATGATGGACATTATTATAATTACAGTACCATTATAATTATTACATTAACATGTGCGGCTTTGTGCTATTCCAGCTGGTAAAGCAATAGGGACCATGTGACTCGATAGGGTAGCGGAACAAACTACGTGACCGTGAACATGTTTTCTCGCTCCACATTTCTTCTCGTTTAGGAACTTGATGGTGGTACATGTACTCTCGAAGACAGGAATATTGCACAATGCATGTACATAGTATGTTCACACATGTCAGTGGCACTAGATACAAGAACCATGCCAGCATTTAAGACATCAAAGTATGATATACATGTACCCGGTACTAAGATTCTTTTCAATCAAACTTCCCGATTTGAATCAAAATTTGTCCACGTCCATGTAAAATCCTTTATAAGCTACCTGTACATGTTCATATACTGAACACAATTTCTGTGATCATGCTTTTATAAGATATTGGGAGGGGGGAGGTATTATTTTTAAAAGGAGTCATTTATTACAGGTATGTTCATTCTTTGTTTACTGTACAGTACATGCAGGCATACAAACTTTTAAGCAGGATAGAAGGCTATCTATCTATGAAATACATACATAAATACAGTCATACATGTACAATATGTATCCATGGCACAGAATTGTAATTCATACAGAAATACGTATACCAGGACTAATTAACTTGAAAGGCAATTTATTCCATACACATCCCTGCTTAAACACACAAAAGCCATCAGGTCATGTGTTCATATTCCTTTGTCAATAACCTAACCTACATTGTACAATGGATTAAAAATAGAAGTCAACGACTAATCTACAATACCGAGCAACAAATAACCTTCCACCTGAATGCATTTTTAATATTCATGAAAAATAAATGAACAGTGTCCTTGTCGCAGGCAAAGGACAGAGGAAAATGAAGGGGGAACGAGAGTCCATGGGACACAGTTCCTTGGTGACTTTCCAATGAGTAATGCCCTCAGTTAAAATTAAATGGGGGCAGGTCCCCTTTCCTTTTTTTTTTGGGGGGGGGGGTGGGTTTATGAGGGGGTATTTAAAGAATTTTAATTTCCTTATATTTTGAAATCGGGAGAAATACCATGCATACATGTACATGTATATTATTGTTGTTGGACAGCAAGATTTCAAATGACACCTGCATTTGTATGATCACTTTATGAAAACAGAAATAAGAGGGCTTCATGCGTATGTATACATGTACATGTATTTCAATTGATGTATAACAAATTGCTCTGATTGAATAAGTAAGGATCTTAGGATGTTTCCCTTTAAACTACAAATGGGTAATTTATTATTTAATCAAAACACACACACAAATAATCCTCTAAGTCTAGGAAAGGCCTACCCTTGGCACAACGTTCCAGCTACATGTACAGTGTATGTGTATTTAACATTATAATTCTCATGACATGTTAATCCATGCGAGCTAGAAAGAATTCAACATATAATCCCATGTTTGGCTTTGGTTCTCTCTAAAGTGCCCTATGAACCAGTGTGGGTAATACAAAGAAGAAATATACAATCAAATGATATCATAACCAGACATCTAAATCACAATTAGACTTGCCAAGTCTTTAGGCACATACTTTACTACAATTCCTAAAGCCTTGAGCAGAGCCTCACTCTATCAGTCTCTGGCGGTGTCCAGTTTCTCTTTGGTAATTATATAGAGAATACATGCATTATGTCATCAGCATAGTCTCACAGTGCAGACACTGTTACGCACAGGGACTGACATGGGTTCTTGCCTGCAAGCGAAAACTTGCCAGTGTACAACATTTGCCAGTAGTACAAAATTTAGATTGCTATTCTTCGATATTGAGCTACACACGTTTTCTTTTGTGTTTTTGTGGTATTTGGGGGAGGGTTTTTTTTTGTTGTTAAATCATGAAGCTTGTGTACTTGTACATTTTTATGTACCGGAGAGCAAAAATATCCTTCCAAACTAGGCTATAGTATTGAAAGAGAAAGATCAGCAAATGATTGTTCATGTTTCCCACTTCTCAAACCTACATGTATCTTTGAACATGAAACATTCATGACATTTTGACTGATTGATTAGCTATTTACTTTTCATCTTTAAAGGTAATATATTTTAAAATATACACTGTATCAAGGATGAAAAGTAAGTTTTGTATTCATGTTATCATTACCATATTACTTGTATATTTCAATGTTTTGTTATGATGGAATTAATTTTGTTCTATATGTACATGTATTACCTTGTAAAAGAGACAATATCAGCCATGAGCTGCATACACATTAATTACATGTACATGTACACATTCTTTGTAATATACCAATTCAATTCAACCAACTTACTTAGTAAAAAAAGGAATTAATACATGTTCTCAAAGTAAAAATAGGGCAACAGTTACAATGTAGTATAGAATAGCAGTTGCAAATAACACAATGTACAATATGCCTACATTACGTACATGACAAAGTCTAGAAGAGAGACTATCTATTTCAACCAACCGCAGATGTAAACATTGTGCACA